TTATTGGGAGAGTTTTGCCTTCCGAAAAAGACCTACTCGACTCGAATTTGGATTAAACGGAGCAATAACTGCAGACACCGGGTGAGTAATTATACCAAAAAATAAAAAATAAAAAATAAAAACTCTAGCCATGCAGGTCAGTTGCAAAAATCTCATTCTATTCTCACAAATTAGATTAAAACAAAACCACAAACGAAAATATCTTTTTAGGCCGATAGCTTATGAGAAAGGAGTTCAGATCCATTCTCAAGGCACAATTATGGTGCCCTAACTTGCAGCTTGCATTTGAGATGTTGCTAGCTATAGACGGACAAATGAATTTTGGAATTAGCATGTATAGTTGACTACTACTCTTGTACTATCTTTATCCTAAAAAATGTAATCTCACTTTGAGTTTTAACATTTATATTGTTTTTAATACAAATTTTAAGATTTAATATATTCTGGGACGGAGGATAATAATTTATACGTATGTGTCTAGTTTTTGCATTGAAACTATTCAATTGCAGTCTTTTTCTTTTTTCTTTTTTTTCGTGGAAAGAATTCAGCACCCATTCCCAACGCAAAATGATTCTTTGACTATTTGAACTGAAGATGTAACTAGACTCGACACATTGTTCAGTTGGCATCAATATATAGGTGCTCTATTGTATAGAATAGACACGCTAAAGACATCTCCAATATCTCCACTTGTATTATTTTCTTCATCCCCCATGCTTATTTAGAGTGTGTTTACTGGTCAGTCAAAAATAATATAATACTTCTTTTGTCCCCGAAAAAGGAAAAAAAAATTACTATACGTTAACAAAGATGATTCCAAATTTTGGGTGTATTAGCTAAATACCTTAGTTAAAGACACAATAGTTCGTGAGAAGTGTCAAAGTTCATTTATCTCTTTTTCTATTTACTTTCATATATATACTATGTTCCGAAAAATCAAAATTCACTTTGTTGAAATAAACTACTTCCACGATGTTTCAACGTGCTTCATTTTAACTATATCAACCTGTCTCGTATTTGAAAGGAATTTAGATACATTCTCAATGCACATAAAGTTGACAAAACTTGCAACTTGAACTAAAACATATATGTGCATAGCTAGTAGACAACTGGACTAAAATGGTATTCCATGTGATTCTTATTATAAGACATTTTGATTGTCCTAAATTTTATTTAATATGTTCTACTAATTAAAAGAATAAAATCTTAAAATTGTCTTACAGTAATTGGAAGAATACAATAAATCTGAAAATATATATTCAACGTTTTATTTTCAATGAGAAGAACATACTGTACTAAAATAAATTTTAAGACAACTGAAAATATCTTATAATAAGGATGGAGGAAGTAATAAACATGTGTAGCCATTTGTTTTTACCCTATCTTATAGATTTTTCCCACCCTAAAGATCAAATTTTCCAGAATAAGAGATCTACTATATACGGCTCCTCTTGTGATATTTTCTCACAACTTCCCGCTACTTTAGGTATGTTTACTCTTGTTTAGTTAGCGATGAAATTGATTAATTATATAGGCACACCATGTACCTTGGTATAATGAGGCATGTTGCGGACGTGTTAGATGTTTGAATGGGAACATACAACTATGCTCGAATTAGTTTGTTCGACTTAGCTATTTTCAAGAGAAGTAAAGGTTCGGACGCGGCCACAGTTTCAAATCAATTCAATATCAATACTCACTCCCGTCTTTATTACTTCATATGTCTCAAAATTATTGTCCAATTTGGAGGGGGTATAAGTTAATTCTATTTGCCCTAACTTTCATTAAATTATTGTGTTCTTTTAATTAAAAATAAAATTTTAAAATATATTTTTATTCTTCCTATTATTATAAAATATTTTTGAAGTTTCATTTAGAATTGAAAGAACATGATAAATAAAATTTAGGACAAATAAAAGTACCTTATATAATTAAGATCAAAGGGAGAAGAACCGAAACTAATATATATAGCGACAATTTTAGTTACGGTTTTCGATCATTAAAAGCTTCCATAGTCTATATATATACTTCCACATGGTTTTCCCAACTACTTTTCCAAGAATCCTCACCAGATTTCAGCAGCAGATCATGCAAGGGCTTTCAGCACAAAGCTGGTCAGTTGCTTTTGGAGGGAAGGCTGGAACTTCAAGAGCTTGTAATATGCTACCTCCATCCTAAAAAAATAGTTTACATTGAGTTTTGATATTTGTATTAATTTTAGTACAAATTTAAGAACTCAATGTTGACTATTTTTTTAAGACGGAGGCAGTAATATTCAGTTAATAAATAGAATATGTGATCAAAAACATATTCCATCTTCATATCCTCATGAATGAATCGGCTTCATGCAGCTCCAATTGGCTATGCCCTCAAATGTTTTACACAAACAGATCGATAAACTCCCACTCAACCTCTAAATGGGCCGGATTCGATTATGGGGCCTTTAAGAAATCAACCTAGGTACAGCTTACCGTCAGACTAAGATCACATTTACGTTATTTTAAGCAAGCATGCATACAGCGCCCCTCAATCTATTGCATGTCTATTCATTCGGACAAATAATAACAAGCACTTAAGTACACTTTGCAAGGTGTAACTCATGGGCATGTGTAATACACTCTTCTTCTACATAAATGGAGCTTTAAATCCGGATTTCAAAATACCACACGCGCAATTAATTCTCCAAATTTCATCCTATTTTTTTAGCACACGTTTAATTTCAAACTGATTTTTTTAATGCTTATCCTATTAGCTTTTATATTATTTTATTTCATAAGATTTTTTTAAAAAAGTTGGATTTTATTTTTGGTAAAATTGGATATGTGTACGGGTAAATTTATGGATGAGTAACAATATTCACAAAAATGAATAACGATGCAAATATTGATGAATAATGATCCATCCTAAATGAATAACAATACTAAAATAAAGAATATACTCCCTCCGTCCCATAATTATTGTCCACTTTGTCCAAAAAATTTTGTCCCAAAATTATTGTCCAATATGACTTTTTATGGATCAAGTTACACATTTGTCCTTAGTAAAAAATATTATCCATAAAATTTTAGTGGTTAAAAAATTACTTATGTAGGGGTATATCCGGTTGTTTAAGGTAAAATATAGTTAAGTTTGACCAAAAATAAAATCTTTCATTTTAGTAAAACTGGACAATAATTAAAAGACGGAGGGAGTATGTAGTTTTTGCAAGATAGATAATTGTATTTTAATAAATAAATAATATATCGTTGGTTGATGAATAATGCACAACAGCATAAATAACTTTGATGAAAAAAACTAATAAAAGTATATTTTACAATGAGTTAATGTCAGCAACTAAGCGAATAAAATTCTAATTATGTTGCATGCTATATCAAAATTGAACAAGAAAACTAGTCATTGTTTTTAACATATAAAGTCTTGAAAAATCCGCTGATGTTCGATACATTTGTGTTGATTGTTTGATTTCAGCAACTCTGCCAAATATTTAATTCGCGACCGACAGAGTTCATTTTGATGAGCATTTTTTACCGCTGATTAAACAAAAACAACATTACAATATGTGAGATTTCACATTTAATCAAAACTCTATTAATCATAAATAACAAGACTATTGAAGATGAATAATCATCTTTAAAATGATGAATAATCAAATTAATATGGTGAAAAACTATTACATACTAAATGAATAATTATTTCACTAATGATAAATAACTTGACAGGTATGATGAATTATCATGTCTTACCGGGTTGATTCAAACAAAATTCACCGGACTAAATACAAAACAGATGAATAATCTCAAATCTTACTGTAATTCTCATATTCAGCAGCGTATATTGCAACTAAACTCATGGGATTTGATGTACAATCGGATTCCGTCTTCAAAAATACTGCCGACGAGAGGTTTCAATTCCAAATTGCTGCAGAGAATATTTTGTTTTTTAGATTTTTTTAGTTTGAGCCATATTTGGATTAGAATAAAAAGTTGGATGGATATGATTAATGATGGCTGAAAAATTAGGAGAGATATCAGGAAATTAAAAATTTGAAAAATGTTATTTTTTATCCTCTTTTTGGGCGCGTGATATCCACTCTAGGTATACTTTGTAAGGTGTACTTAGGTGCTCTATATTATAACGGTATTTATTGGTGCTCTCCTTTCTTGATCAAAAGCCTATTAACTACTAACCAACCATAAGCAATTTTTGGTATCAATTGAATTTTTTTATGCGGATATACAGCTAAGGTATCATTTTCTTAGACATTTTACCATTATGTAGATTTTCGGTGGAATCATCGATATCATTGACTCGAGAAGCATGGAAGGTAATAAAATATAATAAGGTACCATCCAGATTCCAGAGGCTTAAAAGAACTGGAAAATATGAAAGAGTCAGAATATATAAAATTGTGATTTTCACTTTTGCCTTGCCTTTACATCAGTTTAGGACTTCAAGACGGATAAAATATTAGAATGTCAAAATAATTAGTCAATGTGTGTGAGTTTTGAGATGGGAAACTGAATGACTGATGATCGTAATATTGCATATTGTAACTTAATCATTGGTTACTCTCAAGATAACACCTTGTCTCGAGCCATAAAAATTAAACAACGATTACTCAAAGTTTACTTTTATATTATGTACTTCTTCCGCCCCGAAATTATTATTTAGTTTGGACTTTCATTTTTAGTTTGAATTATACTAAAAGAGAAAGTTCAAACTGGACAATAATTTTGAAATGGAAAGAATATCTAATATCTATTAGATCCGATCAACAGCTAAAAGTAAGATTCGAAGTCTAATTAACCAAAGATAAAAAACTAATGTGAATGTAAAAAAATATGGTACAAGATGTAATTATAAGCTATATATCCTGAGTGTAAGTTTTGACTTTCATCTTTGAAACTCTATATTATGCTTTAAAATCTCATCACTTTTTGGTTCTACGTACCCAACAATAGATTGTACTACAATAAATTCAGTCGTGTATTCAACTGAACTCATCGAACCTTGGTTTGCATTTCCCAGTACTCACTTTCCCATCTCTCTACTTCCATGGTTAACTTAGCTTTTTCATCAATAAATGCTTTAAGTTCCTCAGGGTCATAAGCTGCGGGCAAACTGCATGGATTGGTATTACTAGGAGATTTCTCCAAGGATTCTTCCATGGATTTTCTCCAGAGCTCATCAGCAGGACATGCTATGGATTCAGCACAAACCTCAGTTGCTTTTGGTGGAATTTCAGGCTTGAACTTCAAGAGCTTAGAATATTCATTCAACAAATGGAATATGTAGTCAAAAATGTATTCCATCTTCATATCCTCTTGGATAAATCGACTGCCTGCGGCTCCAATCGCCTCTGCCTGCATTTCCAATTAAAACATACCAATATATTTTAATCAGCGAAGCGAAAAACGAAGAAGATTTCAGAACACAATGTAGTCGTCAGAGTTAGCCCTTACCTTTTCGGGATGATTGTTTCCGTATTCAACAGCGAATTTAAGAGATCTGCACTTATCATGGTCCTTCACGGGCCAATAATGGCGTTGGGGAACCATTCCTCTTATGAAGAAATCATAGAAACGAGGAGTCATATACAACACCGGGGAATCACATGCAAATATGTACTTTTCACTCACTGACCATGCCCATCCTTCTATATATATCTTGTATCTGCCAACGTCAATAACTAATTTAGAAATATAGTGTTTTTATTAAAAATAATTATCTCAAAAAACGAAAATTTTATAAGGAATGGTGGCAACTAGCTAGCTGTTTTTCTCCTCTTAGGGTGATCATTTGTTGATGGTGATGTGAAAAGAAACTGATGTTTTATAATCTCCCACTGTAATAAAAGGAAAATGATATATATAGTGAAAAAAAAATAGTGAAAAAAGATATCGAGTAATTTAGAGTATTTTTGCCTATAGTTTTTTGCCACTTTCTCATTAAAATTTTATCTTTCCCTAAACATTACATTTTTATCCCTAATTAATAGCTAGCTGTATTTATCTTTTCATTAGTCACTATTTCATTTCACTAAAATTTGTCTCTCTCTCCATCATTGCTCGTAATAAAATTAACCTCATTACCAAAAAAAATAAATAAATAAAGTAGCTACCTTTTTTTAGGTGTACGTTCCTAGAAATACTAAAACATGTAACATGCAAAAGAGGACCCATATTTTTATTGATAAATAATTCTTTGGAAGACCAAAATGGGAAATAATTAAAGGGAGGGAGATTTTGGGCAACCTGTAGGTGCATTGATCCCCAAGATTTGAATTGTTGAATCCCCGTTTGTATTCTTCATTCCAGTCCTACAATAAACACGTTAAAGAATTTCATCAATGTCATAATAATGTTAATATGTTAGTTCAACAAATTAGACGAACACCCCCCAAAAAAAAAAAAGAAAAAGACGGACGGAGAATATTTTTTTTTTTTTATTGATATACCTGGATGTATAAACGAGTGTTCCAATCATCCTTGTCCGTAACGTTGCATTTCAAAAGATCAGCCCTCCATGGAGCCACATGAGGGTTTCCCTTCCAATAGGCATACGGTACCCTATCTCTCCATTTGCTCTTGCTGTTTCCTATTTTTATGTCCTTCATCACACTCCTCCATGGCTTTATGTTGATCTCAGGCCTACAAAATTTAAGGACAACCAAAAAGAAAATTTTCAGCTTAATGAAGCATTTTTTTTTTCCTTCTTAATACTAGAAAACAATTCTTCAATGATATCAATGCCTTCACATTTAACTCTTTTAATAAAGAAATAAAAGAACAAGGAGGTAAAAAAAAAAGGTCAATGAATTTTGTAGAGATGTCGAGTTTATGGTAAAAAAATAATAATAATAATACCAGCCCCAAAAAGACCAATCTGGGAAGACAATGTCCATATGCTCCCAATCGGAACAATACCGAAACAAAGGACGAGCACCCAAATCCCTGGCCGGAATCACCGGCCGGTCTTCGCTGTCAAACATCAGCTCCAAATCCGGCAATTTTCCGGGATACCACCTGGCAAGCTGTACGATGCCCCAAACAGTAAACCAAACCCGATAAAGCATTGATTCCCTATATTTCTCCACGTACACCTTCCCGTCTAAGATCACCAGTCTAAAATGTGCATTATTTCTTGCCCCTTCTAACATCTCCCTAGTAATCCCTGTCTCTTTCCAGTGCCTTAAATCTTCATGAATCCATCGAAAATATTCCGGGCAGGTCGCGTTTTTCGATAACGGATCGGGTGCATGAGTGACTGGATGTGTTCTTGGGCATGTTTTATTGGCTTCATTCCATGCAGTGCATTTTAGAGGATATTCAATTATTGGTGCTTCTGATCTGTAGGAACTTTGTCTCAGTCCAGTATTCCCATAGGAAAATAGGCCTGAATATTTTCCCTGCAAAGTGAAAATTATCTTCTCTTGATTAATACCTCATATATGAATGTGACTTAATCAAATTAAGAAAAGCACTTTTTTGACCCCCCCCCCCCAGAACAAGAATGAAAAAAGAGAAAAACTACAAAAATATGTTTTACTCCTCCTGAATAGTCTTATTGTACTCCTTCCGTCCCATAATTATTGTCCAGTTTTACTAAAATGAAATATTTTATTTTTAGTCAAACTTAACTATATTTTACCTTGAACAACCGGATATACCCCTACATAAGTAATTGTTTAACCACAAAGATTTTAATGGATAATGTTTTTTACTAAGGACAAATGTGTAACTTGATCCATAAAAAGCCAAATTGGACAATAATTTTGAGATAAAATTTTTTGGGCAAAGTGGACAATAATTATGGGACAGAGGGAGTATTATTTTAGTTCAACAGACATGCGTCTTCTATTTGGGACGAAGAGAGTAGTAATTAGCACTATGTGTATGCCAATGAAAGTTTTATGTTACAGTTCATAACATAACCCAAAAAAAACTGTTGATTATACTACACTTAATTTGCACCAAATACTTATGAAGAGAAATAAATGTTTTCAGAAGAATCCAAGCAGATGGAAAGCCTTATCTAACATTAATCTGACTACAGAAATGTAAAACATCATCGTATATATACTTACAGGATCAATCCAAAGACTTGTAGAGATTAATAGGAGGGAAAGCAAGCAGAAGACTAAAAGGAATGTTGTAGTTGCTGTTGTTGTTAAGGTGTGTGCCTTTATAGATGAGGAAAACTTTTTTAGTATTCCTGCTTCCATGATTGTCAGAAGAAGCTATAAAGGGCTGCTGCTTCAGGCTTGAAACTTCACCATTGATCTTGTGCCAAACTTATCTATAGAAGTCGTATTAAGCATTGGAAAGGGGTAGTGTAAGCGTTTTAAATGAGCGACATATGATTCATCTAGTCGATCTTTTTAAGCTGTACAGTGAGATTTAGGCTCGGGTTGCTATCGTTTGTAGTTTGACATGTGAAGTGTTCTTTCTTAATGCCTCCTTACAACACGGTATGGAGATATATCATTTTCAGAAGACTTGATATTAGTGTGCATTTGTCAATAGATTCAACCTCGTAGAGTGGGAATTATGCATGTGAGAAAATATAAGAAAGTATATCAATATCACAAAACCACATATCACAAGTATTAAAATAAATAATAAAATAAAATTAGAGGGGAAAAAAAACTGAATTTAGTAATGTCAAAGGCGTTATCCTAAAAAGAAATATCAAATATGTTTCCTCTATATAGCGTTCGATTGTGTTCTTTACTGGAAAAAACAACAATCCACATATAAATCTCCATATATAGTGATAGTGTTCTCTGTATTGTGAAGTATTAAAATTAATATAGAAGAGGAGTTTAGACTTTTTCAACTTCTCTCTATCACAAACTCAGTCATAACACATATTCCCTCCGTCCCATAATTATTATCCAGTTTTGTTGAAATACAAGATTTTATTTTTTGTCAAACTTAACCAAATTTTAACATAAAATTCCACGTATAACCCTGCATACATAAATATTTTAACCGGTCAGAAATGAACTTTCTTTATTTTTTTTCACTTTACCCCAGATCCAAACCCGATTTCAAATGCAAGAACAATACTTCCAATCGTTTTTTCGGTCAGTACCTAGTCATAATTGAACCAATATGAAGAACATCGAATTTGGAGTATCTTCTTCTTATAAGTTTCAATTTTGGTATTTATGAAGGCAATCCTTTCCATCGGAAGTTTTTGAATCGAACAGAGTTTTCAACTGGAGACCGTCAATTGTACCAACTAAACCGAATTTCGGATGAATTGATCCGAATTTGGAGAAAATTCTTACTTTGATTTTCAAGTGGATGCTGAGTTTTCCATTTTGCCGGGAATATCCATCAAATCTATTGCCGTCGGTTGGAGTCGTCGGAATTTCTTGGACTTTCTTTTTCATTTTCCTTTCCGAGAACCACCCTCACATCTTCATCGTGGCTTCGAGCCGTTGGAGAGCCATCGTTTGCTGCCTCTGTGTGTTGTTTGCTTCTTTGATGTGCATAAGAAATAATGGAGTCGGAGAACCATCATTTTGCTTCTATGGTGTGGGCAGCAAATGAGGAAAAAGGTTTTAGTTAATTTTGTTTTCTTAAAGGGTATGTTTATAACTTAATTTATAAAAAGTGACAATAATTTTGGGATAAAATTTTTTTGGTAAATTGGACAATAATTTTGGGACGGATGGAGTATATCAATCAAGAGTATGACCATTAAAGACTTCATTACCTCCAAATTTAATTTTTAAGTATTAGAACTATATTAAAATTATTAATATCAGTTGTAACCTTCATAGTTTAACCTCCCACATTAATTTATCCTTTTCATTTATTCAAAACATAAAGTGGCGGAGTTATCACGCGCTTCACGTTGATGGGTGATTCCTCGTCAGTCATTTCCCGCCTGCAATCAGAAGAGACTGATCTATCGGATGCAAACTTGATACTTTTGGATGTTAAAGCCCGGTTCAAAGAATTGGTCGACGTTGATTGTCGTTGGGTGAATCATAGATTTAATTTTTTGCTCATTCTCTAGCTCAATTTGCTAAATGTAAGCGAAATACTGAGATATATTGGGATTTTATTTCCCAATTTGTACCTCAAATCGTACTAGACGTTCTTCTAGTAATTAAATAAAATCTTTCATTTTACGATAAAAAAAAAAATTCTAACAATATTACTCATTTATTAACATTACAGTCTTGTTTGGCGCAACTTGTGCTTTACGGTCAAATACTTCAAAAGATTCTTTAGAATGGAGTATGCACAGAGAGATGCAAGGGAAAAGAAAACTACCTCGAGATTCTAAATTTCTAATTCGTTATAATTGTAAAAGGTTAATGTCAATGGCAAAATTTAATAATTGTAGCTTCCTCATTGCCAATCTCAAGAATTCCCACATAAGTAGGCACATGGAACATGGAACATGGAACACGAGTTTACTATTAATGACGTTACCCGGAAACTAAGGATCATCTAATAGTCTAGCAAGAAAGCAAATCAACTTGCCTTAACTTACAGTCTTACACTAAGACCACTGTCAAAATTTTTGCTCCGCAGTTAGTAGTAACACATTTAAGTACTAATATAAGGTCTCCAAAACAGTTCAAAGATTTGACCTTAACAATCATCATCCCATATGCGAGAAAGACTCGAAATCATGAGGCTTGAGAAACCAGCTTCCAAAATGTGGGCTTCCTTTGAAAGACTTTGAAGCAAAACTGTAGTCAGTAGCTCTATCCTGAAAATTACATTAAGACGCCAAACATCCGAATTATATGAATAAGCTTTTCATGTATTGCACATTTTTGCATCACACATAAGTTGCATAAACATTTACCCTCCAAGACAGGCCCAGAGTAATTACGTAACTCATGAGTACTTAACTCTTAACCCACATATTAAATCACTTATTCATGAGAGAAAACTTACCTTGAGTTCTCGGTATGATAATTCAGTGATAGCATCTTGAGCCCAAAGATGATGTGCAAGTGAAAAAAATAAGATGAGCAACCGCTTCCTGTCAAGAGATTCTCAGAATTATTGCCAATAATCATTTCACAAGCTCAGCAGAGACAGAGAGAACACTAGAAACAACATACTTATCTTTAAACTAGGGCTAATACTTTTAAGAGCAGACATGTTCATATTAATAATAAAGAAAAGAGGCCACTGTAATCTGCTTCTCTGACTGAATTTCTAATTACATACTTGCATAAAGAGGCCTCAGTAGAAGGAAACATCGCCCCTTTAGAAGATGTGCCCTGCTTCCTTCCCGTTGTCCCGAGAATCACTTCATGCAAGCCGGACATATTCCAGCAAATAGAGTATCTTCAATTTAAGAATAAGGACATCAAAAATGGGATAATTTTACTGATTTGCTACTAAGAAATGGGAAATTTTGATCAAGCCTACCCACAGGTCAGAGTGTCCAGAGCTGTCTCAGCATGCTGAAACTCTTTCAGGGGCAAGGGAGCAACCCAAAACGTAGGCTGTCATTATCAGTAAAATAAGATTACCAGACACATACAGGTAGAGAAAAGAGGAACCTACTTTGTTCTACTTATGCCTATTTATTGACAGGAGTTGTGAAGGACATACTTTATTTGCTCGAAAGGGAGTAATTAACTTGTCTGACAATGGCAGGATCCTTTCATGTAGAGCTCTTCTCAAGTTATCTTCCACAACTAAGTTTTCGGTACTTGGATGGCAAGAACCAACAGTGATCGAAGAAACATACACTGGTTCCAGGAAATAAGAAAGTAACGCTCCTGCAACAACAGCAAAACCATCAACAACGAAACTATTATCAGGCCAGCAGCCAAAAGAGAGAACACATCATCAGAGAACTTCTGCAGCTATAATTGAATAAAGTCGGTGAGCCAATTCTCCAAAGCAAATCCAAAAAATATTGGCGAATTATTATGGAATTCATTGAAATAGTGTCTCAAAATAAGAAGCGAGTTCCTACTACTTAACTTTCTTTAAGGAGAAATGGCCCACTAAAGCAATACACGGTTTAGAAGCAATCAAGTCAGGATGAAGATCACCATTCTGGTGTTCAACAGAAACAAGTACACCTTCCTAATAAACAAAATACAGAATACAAGGACAGGAAGCAAGAAACTGAAGGAAAGGAACTTATTTGTGAGCCAATCAATCCAGCCAAATCTTTAGCCAGGACAGAAGCATACAGAAAGCAGTTGTAAGAAACAAAGAAATACTCCAATATTAAACAAGACAGAAGTACAATTCAACGGTAGAAAAATGACACGGGGATACTGGATTAAACAAACCTTGTACTCCAACAACATTCCAACGGGCAATCTTATCTGAGCAGCTAACTGACAGAGTTGTATCGCCACGACCAGGCTTCCTCTGAACAGTTCCCATCGCTTATGAACAATTGCCCACATGTTGAGATAGCACAAAAAGTAATGAATAGACTGCATAAAGAGAAAGAAATAGAAAAGGCATAGAACAGGAAAGAAAGACGAAAAAATTAATAGTTGGCGACAGAAATTGACAGGATTCAAATTTCAAGAAAGATCCAAGACAATGTCACGAGTATAAATTTCTTGTGAGGCATAAATAGCTGTTTTTTCAAAGAAAAGTTTTTCTGTCCCCGTAAAGCTGATTCCTTCACGCAAACTTAAAGCTCAATCTACAAACTCCATTCACGATCCAACTTCCTCATTTCTTCATGTTTAGTTTTTGACAACTTAGTGCACTTGCACACTAGAGGAATGGTAAGATGCCTACCCTCTGACCATGTACCATCAATAGTCAATCCCAATTATGAAGATGCAGATTAAACGTTTCGGCTATGCTTAATTTCAGGTGGAAGTATTAATCAACAGTTCAAAACAAATTGCAGAGGTTACAAAAGAAATTGTAAAACAAAGACCAGAGATCATCGAATTTTTACCATTATTTGTTGCCTGATAATTGCATAATCCCATTGTAGAAGAACTGATTCTTCCAGAAGGGCATGATGAGATCTTGCCATTTGGGGAATCATCCTTCGTTTGGTCATTATTAACAGAGGCCACTCCACCTACAAATGATAGAATAACCACCTAGTCAGACGTCGAAAAAGCTCAAAAGGCAAAGAAATCATGTTAAAAAAAGAGTCATACATGCAATTACCTACAAGGTAACTGTGATATGTACAAATGCAAATTCCATCCCTGCTTCATTTTGAACATTTTTGCTTGGTCTCTAATATTCTCCAAACAGGAATGCTGGTTTTCAACATCAACACAAGTTCCACCATGGTCCTTGAACTTCTCGTGTGAAAGAGTTAGACTCTCAATTTCCGAATAGAAGTACCTGGATCCATTATGGTCACAAGTCACAGCTCAATGAATTGCTTCACATGCAACGTGCATTTCAGTTCCCAAATCATCTCTAGGATGTTCTAGGCACAACTTAAATTCCAAAGTTCTAAGTTCACCAGCATGTAAATTTGAACAGCAATGTGGTTTTAAGAAAAAGGTTTCCAACATATTCTCTTCTGAGAGTTCTCCTTGCTGTACTAAAAATGTGCAAACAGGACTCTTAATTTAGATCAGAGGGAGTATCAAAAATTTAAAATTTGCTGCTAGAAGTCCTAAAAAAGTCTCAATTAAGTGCAAAGGAAATATGAGGTAACATTAAAAAAAAAAAAAACAACAGAAACGCTAAGGTTTATTTTTGCAACAAGTCAAGAACAACAACTAAGCTTCTATCCCAGAACATGTAACCTTCAAAACTATGTTCAACAAAGTATAGAGAATCATCCCATAAGAAAACAATTTCCAACAAAATCCGTCATTACTAAATCATATGCAAAAAATCCCAGAACATAAACTGACGAAAGAAACTCATTTTGGAAGAAAATAATACCTTAAAAGAGCTCTTCTTGCAATAATCTCAGCATGGGAATCATTGATCACGTCCCCTTTCGAACTCCTCCTCGACCGTCCAATGCATTTCGTCCCCGTCCCCAATGCCACAACTTTCAATTCTACAAACATTAAAGGAATGATGGGTTTAAAAAAAATTAAGAAACATAATTCAAATTATGCAATTCTTGCAGTAGTAATTTTGTTTTGCTGAGTGGAAAAAGAAAAAACAAACCTCCGGAAGGGGAAGACAGCAGAAAAGCAGCCAAGACGGTAACTTCCCGGCCCTGAGGCTTCCCTTTCTTCGGTAAAGATTCGTACAATGAAATTACTGCTTTTGAAACTCTCTCTCCCCATTGTTCTTTGACTTTGAGCTCAGCAGAAGAAGAAGAAGAAGACGGAGATGACGGCGTCAACATTGCCGTTTGATGTTTGACTCTGGTTGTGAAGACTGAAGAAGACTGACTCTTTTTTCTATGAAGTAAGGTCAATTTTTGTCGGGCCTAGTTTGAGCCCGAAGTACTATTTTGGGCCATACTTTATGCCCAATACACTACAACAGAACAAATGAAGTAATGAACAACAATTATTTCGAATTAGGATATGTTTTCTTTGAGACGAAATGGTGAAAGTTCTAAATATACTCCTTGATGATTCACATGATAACTATATATGTCCATCTTTAAAATTGATATTGCGAATAATTCACAAATTTTTGAATAGAAATTATCAAGATATCAAAGTTGTTATGGTTCTCCCACTGAGACTGAATAAATGATGCAGAGATTTTTTTTTTTCATTATTTGTATCGACACGCATATGCCTAAATTTTATTATTGTAAATAAAAACAGAGGGATTAGAATTCGTATATTTTCCAGTTTAAATTGTTTATTTTTAATTTAAATTGTACTAAAATTAAATTAGACAATAATTTTAAGACAGAAGGAGTATGTCATAACCGTGTCACTGTATTAGTATAGTAACAAGAAGTAGGACGAAATATAATTAGTATCCATTTCATGGTATGATTGCAACAATTAAGAAAACAAAAGAAAGTGACAAAGACAACCATAAAGTTTAACCTTTTCCTTCACTAAAATAAGGTGAAAATCTGGCATCCAAAGGGGAAGAAATTATTGGAATACTCTCACTCCATTTTTTTTTTTTTTGGTCCTACTTATTAATCTATTAAGGCAATAAACAGAATTATTACTCTGGAACGTGTAGTAGTGAGGAACATTTCTTGGCATGGGAAACCAATAATGCAAACAAATCACAAGCCTTTTTCCAGTGGAAAAGCAAACCTAATCAAACTCAATCCACATCGAAAAATAAATTAAATAGATTTAGGGACCCGCCTTCTCAATTTTGTAGTAAGTGCTAGAAAGGTTTGGCCAACTTCTCTTATTATGACTCTTAACAATATTACTAATATAGGATACTATTGATATGGGTTGAGTAGGTAATACTTTAAATTTTTTTTAATTGGATAGTAAAGATATGTTTCTCTAAATTGATTATTTTGATGAATCTTGTGTTGCTACTAACATAGTTACGTGTATTAACTCAAAGCCAACCATGCAATGCCGTTAATTAAAGAGAAAGAAATCCCTGTATTTATAATCATACAAATATCAGAAATTAATGTCGATTATTGTTATGAAACGAGAAAAATATAACCCTAATAACACACAAAAAAAAATCACATACATCTGATTGACTAAAATCAATCAGATACAGTTTGACTAGCTTAATAGTCAACATGCAAAATGATATATGATTGATTTTAGGCAATAGAAAAGCTAAAGAATTCATAAACTCTCACATGGTGATGAACCAAACAGTACTATACGACAACAATCATGCACGCCCCTTATGCATCATTATCGTGTATTCATGTTGTTTGGAAAAGTATAATTAAAACAGTCATGTTTAGTGTTTACTAATTAAAGCAACAAAATTTATACTAATAATATACATTTTGTTACTTATTAATTATTATATCATTTTCGTTGTGGATTTTTTTTTTTTTATAAAAAAAAACTAGGTAGTACACCTTCTGCACATAAATTGAACCATGGATAATTCTACTACCGGAAGGATTTAGGATTTGGCAGTTAATATATCCACTTGATATGATGATATCCATCAGTCATCACATAGAGGCATGCGTCATTTTATTTGGCCAAAACAAATGGTTTCGGCCGAAGGAGACAAAAATCCTAGTTGAAGGAAAACGGCCTGACCTCCACTCATGTCTATTTCTTTCATCTTATAATTATTATTGATTATCGTAAATTTTAGAAAATTGGTATAAAAAATATAAAAATATGTCTCGAAAATCAATTTACAACACGATATATACTAAAAATGAAAGGAATACTACTAGTATTTGGAAGTATCATTTTATTTTTTCTGGACAAACAAAATCAAAACTAGAAATATATAGTATCCATATTTGTCCCAAAAGATATTTTGGTGTTTTGGCTCACTATAGTTTCACTACGTCATGTTTCATGTATGTGTAATAGCTAAAAAACATTTTAGATTTTGGAATCAACCCAAACATTATTTTTTTTCTTATTAATATGTTTATCCAATTCTTATCATATTTTAATGACTTGACTAATAAATACATCAAATAATTGTTATACCAAATAATACTCATCAAGACATCAGACATCTAATGCATATCTTTTCAGAACGTACCTACGTCACTTGTGTAATACTCCATCTGTTCTAAAATTATTGTTAAGTTTAAGATTTCACTTTTAATATAATTTAAACTAAAAATTAAAAATTTAAATTAGACAATATTTATAGAACGGAGGGAGTAAAACTTTTACATGATGAGAAGTGAGGATTCATGCAATGATTTTTTTGCCCCTCCAATAATGATGTCCCAATGGATGTATCAAAAATCACTCTTTCAAAATTACTCTAATAGTACGTAGTTCTAAATTCTACCATTTTCTTCTAATAGCTCATTATAACAGTCTAGCTTTTAACCGACCAATTAACAAACATCTTGTCGGCATGAAGGACCATCATTCCCTACATCACATGTACACACAACCTAGGTGTACACCACAGTTTTAAACAATCATGATCGTCCAATAAAAATCCCATGAAAAGCAACGGTCAGATTGAATTCCTGTACACCTAAATTTCTACATCGCGTAACACAGGATCAACAATTATAGAGACCATGCTATAATGGTAACACGTTCATGACACCGAGCATCAGCCATTGATAAATATAGTAAAAGCTTTTCCACAGAGTAGCTGGAGACCAACCGTCTCTTCAAGTGTATTCTTCTTTAGCTAAATTTAGTCAAAAGTTTCAATCTTTTTGGTTTTGGGTTTTAAAAAAAAGTTTGGATTTTTGAGTTTTTTCCTTTTTTTGACAATAGCCCACAAGAGGAAAATTGTTGGAAATTAATGGCGGAGGAAGCAGTGAAACCGGCGCCGGCCGCGGTGGAAAATGAGCCGCCTCTCGCGGCTGCCCCACCGGCTCACGACGCCGTGGAGGAGAAGGCTGTTGTCCCTGCAGCTTCTGCTCCTGTCGCCGACAGTAAGACTAGCTTCAATTTGTATTCATTCACAATTTTATTTGTTTTTGAATGATTAACTTGCCTTTCTGAATAATTTGGATTGTGAAATGAAGTGGGATTGATTCTTTTGAGTGGATTTTCCATATTGGGAAGTTTATTTAAAGTTTCTTGATTCTTATGCGTTTGCAAGATTCTGTTTCTGAGTCTCCTCCACTCCACACATCACCCAGCCAAAGGAGGGAAGAATAAATAAAGTTCTAACAAAAAGTTGACGTATCATCCTTTTTATTAATGATTTTCACAAAAGAGATAAGAAGTTTTCTGTTTTTTTTTCTTCTTTTTTTTCCATTACTGGCATTGTTCTTATATTCTTTAAAGGAAATAAAAGTGACTTCTTTTTCGTGGTTCCTGAACTTAATTGGTTGTTCATGGTGTATGAAAAGCTATGGCCTGAGTTGTTTTTGCTGTCTTTGAACGCTAGAATAGGAATCCTGGTGATATTACTTTTATACAGGTTATTTTATATAATAATTCCCATATTTTGCATGGTCAAGGGAATGTTTTATTTACTGAAAATTTATAATAAAGAGCATCTTATTCTAGGGCCAAGTTAATGTCTTTCCTGAATTGAGGAGGGTACTTCTAGTGGTGATTATATGTTGAAAATTTGAGTGCACTGACACCTTTGCACTTTAACCGTGTCATGAGTTGTATATATCCATATATCAGTCATGTGTGGCCTATTGTGAGCAGCATTGAGTTTCATTTCTGAGAGGGATCACTTGAAAGGTCGTCTTGAATAATTTTTTTTTTTTTGGTGAAGTCTTATGTCTCTGAGCATGTTGAAGTCTAAGAAAGGTACTAGTTTGATGAATTGTAGTGCTTGTTCTGCGCATGATCATATTTGTTAAATTTAGAAAATTCGGTTCGTTGGAGCTTGTTTTGTACAATTGTATGCTGCGATGTTGCATCTCAATGTATTCCTCGTCTTCCTGTTTTACAATCTTTTATTGACCTTCCAATATCATTTTGTAAGATACCTCTATCCCATGCTGTTATTTTAGTTCAATTTTGGGGGGTTTTGATAGCTTTAGCATAAATTTTACTTCCACATTCTGTCCAATAGTTTTTCTGTTATATTGGGTTTCTTATTGAAATATTCTCGGACTTGTTGAACTCATGAATCGAGACACGCTCGAGGACTATGCTCTGTTTTTGTTTATTAATGGTGGTTATGTTCATCACTTGCTTCCTGTATATCCACATGATAGTTATATCTAACAACTAGTATGTCCGTGCTTTCGACAGAAGCTTCAGAACTTGCAGTGCAGAAGCCTACCAAAGGATCACTTGATAGAGGTGTGTCAGTGAAGTTATTTCTGCAGTCTTTTTGTTGCAGAAAGCATTGGTTTTTCTGATAATATTAGCTTCTGCAATATGCTTAGACTCTGATTTGATTAGTTATTGTTAGTAAGCACCAAGTGCATTTATTATTTTTGTCTTCATGTCCCAGATATTGCACTTGCCCAGGTTGAAACTGAGAAAAGGTTGTCTTTCATCAAGGCATGGGAGGAGACTGAAAAAGCTAAAGCCGAAAACAAGTGAGATTCGCTTTAAGTGTGTCATTACTGTTTTCTTTAACTTTCCCTAGGGGTTACGTCTTGCATGCTGCTGAGTATTAAGTTCTTTGATTGGATTCCCAATTTCGTGATGGTTTTAGTAAATCATAAAGTGGTGTTCTTCTTGTTTGGTTCCTCCTCAGTTTCTTACTTTAAAAAGGATAGAAATTTATGCTAGGATTATGTTCAGGAATCTAGTGATCCTAATTTTGCCAGCTCTTTTTTCGAGGCTACATTTGCTTTTAAACTGGATCAAATTCAATGGATAATGCTAAGTGTTGCTTCAACTCCTCTTGCTTTATCATTCCAAAAATGAAACAATTCCTTTTTCTATTGAAGTTGGAGTTTTGCTTGTGATTCCGCCTCAGAGATACTCGGTTTCGTGCTTTCTAGGGTATTTGATGAATGTCAAGATACAGTCTCTTTTTTTCCCCCTTCTCTTTTACAGGGAAAAATAACTTTTGCCTCGAGAATGATCTTGTGCATATGATTTGGACAGGGCACAGAAGAAGTTGGCTGAAGTTACAGCATGGGAAAATAGCAAGAAAGCAGCTATTGAAGCTGAACTAAAGAAAATTGAGGTGAGTCAAGTGTTTTAGTATACAGTTGAAGATTCTTCCTCCTTGTTTCTTAAATAATGCGATATTTATCTTATAACAACGATAGATTCCTTATCAAGAAGGTTCTTCAATGGCACATTACAATTATCGCAATACATGATGATCTCACTAGTGATTAGACATGAGGTTATTTCCCGAGTTTTTTAAAATTCATGTGATTGTCTCCGATCCACTCCCCTGCTTTCTTTTATTCTTGCATTTGCCTCGTCGGAGATGATGTTGTATTTTAGTGAAGTGGTTCTTCATTATTAAATGAAAGATTTGAACTTCTCCTTCATTTGTCTAGCTGCTAGATGTAGAAGACTTGCTCTGAATGAAAATTGTTATCTGCAGGAAAAAATGGAAAAGAAGAAGGCAGATTATGCAGAGGCGAAGAAAAACAAAATAGCTGCAGTCCACAAACAGGCTGAAGAGAAAAGAGCCATGACTGATGCCAGACGTCGGGAAGAAATCCTTAAAGCAGAGGAAATGGCTGCCAAGTATCGTGCAACTAATTCAACTCCTAAACAGGTGGGATGCTTCGGAGCCTGAAAGGACAAGTTCCGATTTTTCTTGTAAATGCTTCTGTTTGTTGGCTGTAATTTTATGTTTATTTTATCTCAAGACTCGGTTTTCCTTTTGAGAAGAAGTGGTTTGTATAGGGAAACATCTTAAAGCTTGTGAAAGTGCTGTGTCATCATTTGAAAAATGTGTAATTGTGTGTTCTCAACATGTAACAGAAGATTTTGTTTTCAAAATGAATGTCCATAAAATTTGGACACGTTGATTGCCCCCTTCTTACAGAAAGTCTGTAATTGTTTGTTGCTGCTTTTACCATTGCAGTGACATCTGCAGAATGAACCATTAAGATTTAGGCCAAACCATTATTTCCATTTTAGCCTTTTGGAATGTACATATAGCACAAGTGAGGTCATACTTGCCACTACTTTTTGTGAAAAAATGACAACTACTGTTAGTTTTCAGCTTATGCATCAACAACAATGCATGCTCCTATACCACATTTTGTAGTTTACATGCATTATATGCCGCTTAGGTGTTGTGCAAAATGCATTTTCATTCCGAGTATGCGAATGGACACCATTGCGCACAGCTAAATGAAGGGTGCGCTTCTATCATCATTGGCACCTAAAGCACAAACGTCAATTGATCATCTGACCACAACTATCAAGAGTTTTCTGCTAACATCACCATGGATATAGAGTAGATTAGTAAATATCCCTTAAGCACAAGGCTTCATACTCTGCTGCTAAGAAACGGAAGAAACTCTTGGCTGCATTAGTTATCTATGCCTTTAAAGTCTGATTTCTAACATAATGGCATAATATCTTTTTGGTTTTACAGCTGGAGATGCTAAAAACAACCAGCTCAAAACTCAGGCTACACCGAGAACTTTTTTCTTTTACTTTTTAATCAGCTTCCTTCTTCTTGAGCTTCAACTGTTAACACCAGAGTACATGTAGTTATCGGTATTTCCTAAGAAGCTCATATCATTGGAACCAGGGAAATCTAGGAGTAGCTGCAATGTTAATTCGGAGGAATCCTCCAAGTCACTAGAGCAAGCAGAATCTGCACCAAGAGGAACATCTTCAACAACTGGTCTGCTACACTTGTATTCTATATCTTCAGTTTGATTGCTTCCAGTTCCAGCCGCCATGGAATAATCAGTTGAACACAGGTTCTCCTCCTTGATGGCCCCTGAAGTCGATCCACACTTGGTCGATGAAGAAGCTTGAGAGGTGGGGCTTTGACAAGAAGTTTTCTGACTTGGATTGAAATTGCGAAATGCTTCTCCTACCTCGGAATTCCACATCCGCAGAATATAGTCCGACTCAGATGACTTCTCAGTTGATGAAGGCACCAAGTGGAACGATTCTCTAGATAGGCGCAGGCGCGCCTCAGCTTCGAGCCTTGCACTCTCCCACTGTGCCATGTGACGGGTGGAAGAGTTTGCAGACAGTATGTTCAGCATAGCTGAAGGCTCATGAGTCCGAGGATCAATGCCAAGACATATCAGGCGCTTTTTAAGATGAGTGTTCCACAAATTCTTGACCTCATTATCGGTTCTACCAGGTAATTGAGAAGCAATGGCAGCCCATCTGATAAGAAACAACAAGGATCTTTCATTCAACAACTAAATTCGAGAGTCTATATGTTTATGTAAGAAGCCAGGACAAAACTTGGCTGAATTTAACACTATCATTGTAGGAATACAAACAAACTAGACACTTAAAGAAAACCTGTTGCCAAGAATTGCATGTAACTGAAGGACAAGCTTCTCTTCATCTTCAGTAAAAGGGCCACGCTTGATGTCTGGCCTAAGATAGTTTGTCCACCGTAGCCGACAACTCTTCCCACAACGAAGAAGACCTTCAAAAGAAAATTTGGATTAACTTTCACAATCTTCTCAAACAGAACAGAACAAGATTGTAAACAATGACATACTGGAATCAACTCAGATGAGATCAACCGAAACCAGAACATTCATGAAGTTCAGCTTCAGAGATGCAGTTTAATAATAACCAAATGCAACATTGCAATTCATGATTGGAATGTCCAAATGTAAGTAGGATCAAAATTAGGACTCCTCGTCAGAAACTATCAAATTCCTTCATCAAACTATTAAACTATAATACTGAATCATGAACAAATTAGTTTCAAAAGAATATACCTTCAACAGAACCTACGGAAACAAGATTAAATCTTTTACCAACAAAAACAACATTAGCGTGAAAGAATACTGAAATGCTCATAACTGACTTAATATTCTCATCAACCAGAGCAACTTTTGACCATGCAAACTTCATAAACTAGTGTTTAAAAGCAGGGGAAACAACAGACAGAAGGTAAAAAGCACCTGCATTCTTGGGAAGAGAACGCCAGCTACCATGACCATGGTTCTTGATGTATTCAACGAGCTTCTCGTCTTCCTCCGCAGTCCATGACCCTTTCTTCAACCCATCCTTCTTTTCACAACAGGGTGCTCTTCCCATTTCCCACTAACTTCTTCACTAGATGATGCCTATTCTCCCTGTCTTGATCTACCTTAAATTACTTCTTGAAGAATGAACAGAAAAAGTGGAGAACAAAGAACAAAAAGCTCAAGTTTTGATGTGCATTGAACCAAAGAAGTGGGATGGAGAAACGAGATTATATGATTGAATACTGCTCGAAAAGAGAGAAAGGGATGAAATGACCTTACATGCACACAAACACAAGAACATGCCAAACTTCTAGCTTAGCTGAAAAAGAAAGAAAGAGAGATAGAGACTATGGGTACTCAGCAAGATCAAAGCCGGCTATGGATTGCATTTAAGACAATGGACATAAATAAAGATACTTTCTCTGCAATTTTTCTCAAGTTACATACATAAAGATATAGAAAGATAATAACACTTGTATGCAAGCAAGAGGGTTTTGCAGGAGGAAATTGAATGAATGTTTGAACCCACAATAAATGCCATCTCTTTTATATCTGAGAATCTTTTGGTTTTTTTCCCCACTGGTACAGTAAAAACTACAGTGGAAATACTAAATGCCCACTACTTAAATAACACTGCTTTCCCTTGAAATGGAACAGAGGGTATTTTAGGCTTGCATTTGTTTAGCTTTCCACAAGCACATTCTTTAAAGACACCATAACTTTCATTATTCCAGCATAATGGAGCTCGTAAGAGCTGCTCAAAGTAGAAAGAAACTACAAACAATTGATCAACAAAAGGACAAGAAGTGTGTGACTGTGTGTAAGAGAGTGACATCTTCCTATATGCCATTAAATGCCAAGACAGAAGAAAATGCAGAAAAGAGGGATGAAGTGAAAGGGCATTAAATGCCAGATTGAATCAAAGGGAGGACACAGAAACCATATTTATGTAAAAAGATATATTTTGGGTTCTGCAGCAAATCATCATATGATATCTCTTCCTCATTACAAATCTATACATACATGATAGATATACACATGTTTATTATATGCAGCGTAGAGGGGCCAGGGAAAGAGGGACAGGAGGTAGCATTAATGGCGGTCGGCACAGTGAAATGGAGTACGGATTGATGCAAGAAAAAAGCATTAAAGAGTGTGGTAATAAATGAAGAAGAAGAAAAACCCAATCTTTAATGTAATATTTTTTGCTATGATGACAAGTCTATAATGTGTTGAAATTGTACTATGTTATTGTTTTTCTTCTGGATTTCTCCTCCACACCATCATCAATGATCTTTTGCGTGGATTGCAGAACCAAAAACTGGGCATGTGTCCTTCCACTTCTTCTTCTTCTTCTATAACCCTGCAGTCATGTGGCTTGTTAATTGGTATCATCATCATCACCATCAATCATCTGTCATCATTCGAAATACAAATGAAAATGGAGGAGGGAAGAGAAAGGTTGACTATTGAGAACATTGAAAAAGGTGATGGGAAAAGAAAGATATGGTTCCAAAATTTCAGAAAGCAAACCAAAGTGAATTTAATGCAGTCAAAGTCTGGACTGGTGTCACAGTATCTCTGTCTCTTTCAGCCACATATAGGCCTGTGTTTGTACTCTTACCTGTTTAGCACAACTAGGGGCATTAAAAAATGTAAATTCCGATTGGAATTAACCAATTTTGAGTGGATTGGACGAAGTTGCAAAACTGCAAGTCTCTGGAACAAACCAACATGAATACGACTGGAAATTTATAGAGATTTTATGCTAAAAAGGGAATTTAGAGTTTAAGTTAGTAAAAAACCAACCTAACTCTCCTCAAATTATGCAATTAAATCTGTTACATGGACTCAAGAGAAAAAGCATTTGACCAAATCTTTCACTCCTGGCTTTCATATTTATGACTAATGGAGACATAAATCCACTTGAAATGATTATAATCAAATCCCATCTATCTAAAACAATCCCATTATTACAAATTCCACTTACTATCTCTTGGGTTTTCGCCCTAACACTATTACACAATCCAGCTTAGCCCCGAAATACAGAAGTGCCTACACCACGGATCACCGACAGTAAATGGCTTGATCTATGTGCGGTGGGATTTGCTTGATTTCAGTTCCCAATTCTTGCTCAATCCTATACCTGAATGGCAATGAGCCAAAGAAACTTATCAGTATGCTAAAGAAAGCACCACCATCAACAGTATTCAGGAGAAAAAGAAAGATATCCTTACAAGTTGAAGCGATCCTCATAGGTGATCAGATTCACAGCCAATCCAAGATGCCCAAACCTCCCAGATCTACCAACCTGTGAGAATGCATAGGGAAGTTAGTACCACAACTTTTAAGCTACCATATGTATCAAGTAAAAGTCACGCCAGCTTACCCTGTGTAAATATGTTTCTGAATTTTTCGGAAAGTCAAAATTAATGACAACATTGACAGCCTGAATGTCTATCCCTCTGGTAAACAGATCTGCAAGCAGAAAAGGCAGCCAATGAAGGTCAAAACTTCAGAAGATACCAGAAATGTGCAAACTATTATCCACAAACTACAAGAATTGACATGAGCAACAATCAGAATCCCACAAACGGGTTTGTGCCTTTTATCCTGTAAAGACTCAAGATATAGCAACAACTACTACTTTTCTCAGATGCAAGCATTAAACTACAATACACAATGAACTTGGAATACTCTCTTATAGTCAGTAACCTATTACTTCAAGTGACAAATCCTAAGGGTAAATGGAGAAAAAAAGATCAATCCAAATCAAAAAGATGAAGGAAATATACCAGTGCAAACAAGATTCCTGCATGCACCATTACGGAAGTCGTGAAATACTCTATTGCGGTGATCTTGAAGCATTTTTGCATGAATATAGAAGCAAGAATATCCAAGTTCGGTAATTTTCTTGGCCAAAAGCTCCACTCGATTGACTGAATTGCAGAAGATGATTGATTGATTGATTTGAAGCTGCAGACAAAATGACAAATTAGACATGACCAATGCATCAAATACTTGGTAAAAAATTCAGACAATCAGGGAAAGGACAAACCTTCGAGAAGAGAGTGTTAAGACAGTGAACTTTCTGTCTTTCTTCAACAAAAGCATAATACTGTGTAATACCCTTCAGAGTAAGCTCGTCCATGAGATTAATGACATATGGCTTCTTCAAGTATCTGTCTTTGAAATCCTTGACAGTGACAGGAAAGGTAGCAGAAAACATCAAGATTTGCCGGTTTGCAGGCATGAAACGAATAAGATGCTCTATAGATGGTTGGAACTCCGGTGATAATAGCTTATCAGCCTGCAAACATCACAATACACATCCAGATCTTAAGACAACGTAAGACATGACAGACAGACAGAAAGAACATAAACAAAACAAGTTCAAAGAGATCAAAAAATGTATTCCAAGCAAGTAGAGTAACCCAAAATCCAATTTAAACCTTTCCCATGTTCTCCCAACATCTGCTTCTAAACATTTTTTAAAGCAAAATTACAAAACTGCTCCTAATACTCATCCCACAATGTAATGTCGCTACATATATCATACCTCGAACATTACATTTTATGCATACACATACTTACATCCTAAGCAAAAATCAGCCGACACAAAAGACATACAAATCCAACATGGAAATGTAATATAAAGACAAGAAGTGGTACCAGACCTCATCCATAATCATCATTGCACAACCTTTCAAAACACAAACACCCTTCTTTGCAAGATCCAGAATTCTACCCGGAGTTCCAACAAGCAAATGAACAGGTTGATATAGACGCATAATGTCATCTTTCAAGCTTGTCCCACCGGTGGTAACCATGACTTGAATTTTCAAGTGCTTGCCAAGTTCTTTACAAACTTGTGATGTCTGAAGAGCCAATTCTCTTGTAGGGACAAGGATAACAACTGTGCAAGAAAAGCTCAATGGTTAAGAAACAGTTGATTTAGAGTAACATCTTCAGATGAATAACTCAGAAGCAGATAAGGTGAGTGCATACTGCTTTACTGTTGTTTTCTTGCCAAACTAAATGAAAATCAACCCTTCCCTCAGAGACCAGTGAATACAATCAATCAACATTAATAAACAATACTACCAAACAATCCTACCCTTTTACTAGCCAAACTATGTAAGCCTATTCATCTGCCATAAGTTGAATTCTCACAAATGCTTCATTTAATGCATAGAGAAAAAGCAATAACAAAATAAATTACAAAAGAGAAAATAAGGGGAAGGGCTAAACCTTGAATGACATTGTTATCTTGATCAATCTTTTCTAAGGCGGGAATACAAAAGGCTGCAGTTTTTCCAGTTCCATTTTTAGCTCGGGCCAAAATATCACTTCCAGTTAGAGCGATTGGGATACTTTCCTCCTGAATTGGAGATGGTCTTTCAAAACCCTTTTCATATATTCCCATAAGCAACTCTCGCTTCAAAAAGTAGTCTTCAAATTCATTTCCTTTGGTGGCGGTCACATCCTGTTATACAAAGAGTTTATAGCAATCAGAGCATGACATTGAAAAGACACCAATGCATAACAGATCACGTACCCTACAGTGACACCACACAAAAGAAACAATGAACATGTAACAAGAAAACTGCAGTTCCCAAAAATACAGGGGTCAACTAATTAAAAGTTTGTTCATTTATTGACACACAGCAGGCTTTTGAAGTAAAAGAGAATTAGATTCATCCTTTTGCTAACACTAAATCCAACAATTGAAACAAGAGCAGCAAACATTGACCTTATGCGGACAATTTGTTTCAAGACGGGAAAAGTAACTGGAATGAACAAATCATCCATCACCCAAAGTGAAAAGACATGAAGACAAAAACCCCAAAAAAAGGCAAATGGAAACACAAAGGAAAAAAGGATCAAAATGAGATAGTTCTCAGCCTAAAATAGAAGTAAATTGGTTGTAATTTCTAACAATTGCAAGTTAAAAAAGAATATTAACTAACTGAGATAAATCTATAAATATTACAACAGCAACTGATGTACTAAATCTGTAAATAAAAGTGCAAAAACAACAGCATACCAAGTATACGCTAAAAAGTGTAGATCATCATCTTACCTCAGTTCTATACCGCGTATCTGGTGGAGGAACCTTTAGCTTTGCCTTCCAGTCTTGTGAACTGCAGCAAAGTCGTAAAAGAATTCATCAAATACACTATGAGTCAAATAAACTAGAGAGGACAGAAAAACATTGACTTAAGGAGTTTGTGGAGTCTAGAAGAAAGAAAGTAGAATAGTTATAATGCGGACAAAGAAGGGCCTAAGAACTCTATCTTTAGTATACTCCATATTTATGCCCAGGATTATCATGATCCAAGGAAGGAGCCAAAGTGTTAGGAATTTGGTTAAGTTAATCCTTTATTAAGCAGTAATTTAATTAGTTTATTTCAGTATTGATATTTACGAAAGGGTATTTTAGTATATTAGTTATGCTGCAGGATTTTCTTGGAATAAAAAGGAAATTAGGTGAGAATCCTAGTTGTCTTTGGTTTAGGTTAAGTTTTAGGCCTATATATATGTACCTCGTTTGAGGGTTTTAGACAGGTTATCAGATTAAAAAAATTCCTGCGAGCTTTTGCTTTCAACATCAGTTGTGTGACTCAACTAAACCCTTGGTGTGATGTCTAGGATTCCTGCGGTGCGACGCCAAAGGGCCCTAAGAGTGATTCTTAGGTTTTCTTCTCTTTTCCTACTGCTTATCTCTGTGTTCCTGCGATTTCTACCCTTATTCTCTACAGTTTTCTATTGATTTTCCGCTGCATAATACTCTTTAATCAGCCTAAGTTCTGATTTTCTCAACCACCACGTTTGTGCTGCGTCAAGTTATTGAATAATACAAACACAAAAGCAAACAAGCATATGCTTCATTGACGATGATAACTAACACAATTGACCCGTAGAGGTTGAACCTTAACACCAAAACTCTAAAACTTGACAATTTCCATATGCCTAATCCTTTTCCCTAGTATGTTCAAGATTCAAAAAAGCCACAGCTTAACATAGAATTACAGCACCAGTACGACAAAGCAGGTAAGAGAATGTTTCACGTAAACATTTGTAAGAAGACCGTATCAACCTTAGTTAACATCTCAGTTTAGATCTCATAAACGAATTTAAGATCACAAGGAGCTGAATGATTACAAAAAAGACAACAAAAGGATGTAACAACAACTATACTAGCTACAAAAAGTAGCCTATTGCACCTTTCTTAGACATTGATAATTCAAATCGAACCAATTAATAACTTTTCTTATATTTGGATAAATCAAATTGAACTAATTCTGGTATCCGCCATAAGACTAACCATTAGCAGCCATAGACGTACTTAAAATTCAATTCTCAGGACCTAGTAGTTGTCACACTACACACAAACAGAAACAGAAAAGACTTTGTTCTCAGGCAATGACTACCACAAGTTTCATGGCGTATAATAAGTGAGTATTTCAGCAGGAGAAAAGTTCCATTTACATTGTAACCAAAGTAAAGAAGGTTACCTTTCAGCCAAAAAAGAAAAAAAGAAGTAAACAAGGTTAACTAACAGAGCAAGAATCCAAAGTTAGATGGTAGAAATGTTCAACCCTCTTTTAAAACCATTGAAAGTTCAACTAATGTGCCAAACAATTTTGATACAGCCTACTTCATACTTTCCTAAAGTCTCATTCTAGACTTAAGAGTCCATCAGATTCTTGCAGAGTCATATGAAAATGCTTATAATCCAGTTTAGAATGAAAACATCACTAGACATAGAAATCTTGACCCATCTTTTCTTATTTCTAAACAAGAACCCACTAGCCAGAGAACTAAATACTAAAAATCCACTAATTAGTACCAAGAAAAAGGCACCAAATAGATCTAAGAAGAATATTCAAGAAACTACCGAAACATTCAGTAAAATTATTACCCAAAACGTCAATAACCCCAAGAACGGAAAACAAAGAGCAATGGAAACTTCAAGAAAAAATCTTACCTTGAGTCAACGGCTTCAGATTGGACGGTCTTCTCGACCTCATCTACTGCAGCCTCATTACTTAACTGATTTCTACGCAGCCATTGCTGCTGCTGCTGCGGTGGTGGTTGATTCTGATAATGCATTGGATTCCTCTGTATATACTGCTGCGGATTCCTCGGCTGAAAGTTAGGGTTCGCATTGGGGTTCATGTTCCCACCGCCTCTACCAACACCCGGACCACCGATCCCCGGAGGATACCTGGTTCGCTGATTCATCACGAAAATGCGCGAAAACCGAAACCCTAACACAACTAGGTCACCGGATTCTTGAAGCTAAAACAATTTGCAGCCGAAAAAAAAAATGAACAGAAAAAAGAAGGCCCTAATACATACACAAATCTTTCCAACACTATGTAGATCGATTGGGGGGAGCTTGGGTTTTCCGGCAATCAACAAGCAAAATTGTGGGCGAATAAAAACTGCCACAGATTTTGCAGTCTTGGATGGAAAAACCTAGAACCTATAATAAAACCTAAAAATACCCTGAGTCGAATTAATTCAAATCTACAAAAGAAAGGATTAAAGAAAAGAAAAAAAAAACGCCATGAAAATTCTTGAGGGGAAGCTAATTTGAGGGCTGATCGCTGAGGAAGACGGAGGAGATATTTCTGAGTGAGTGAAGAAAAGAAAGAGACATGACCGTTTTAGGGCGTCAAAGAAATTTTTCCCAATTTGTTAAAGTCGGCATGATATTTATAACAATTTGCGTTTCCGCTCGTCAAAGAACCTGATAGTTGCAGAAATGGGCCTGTCACAATTTTTGGTTAATGATTGATTTTTAATTAAACAATAATTAAAATCCATGTTCATGCGATTTGCTTTTGTAGATTAGGTGATTAGAAGAGTATTCCAGAGTCCAGACTCAGTTGACCTGTCATTTTCTCGCTTTTCTTGTTTGTTTTACTTTTTCTTTTTAACAAAGGTGTTAGTATTATATTTTTATGGATAAGATAATTATCCTCTTTCTTAATTTTATGTTTGATTTCTTAGTTTCATTAAAATAACATTCCTATAGCTTTCACTCGTTAATGAAGGGTTTTGTTAGGTAAGATGATTATCTAAAATGATGTTAACAATGTTGAAAAGTTATTACTCTTAGATTAAAGATGTAGGTCTGTATCCTTTTTGTTTTCATTTTCGTTTTAATTTTGAGTTAAAAACTCTTTACCATATGTCGAGGGATTAGTCACTGTTGCCGACAGTGGACACCCTGCAATATTAAGGAAAAAAAAAAAAAAAACTCTTTATTATGTGGTGAATCCTCGAGTTTAAGAGGATATGGATGAGTAAACCAAAGATCATACCAATAATTCCAAAATCTACGAGGCCAAACTTTCATTTGCTTGAGTACTTTCTCATTTAGCTCAACTGCTCAAGGTATTTTTTATACGGTTAAATTGATGATTGTATCTATACATGAAGACCATTACATCATCTCTCTCTCTCTCACACACACACACAAAAAAAAAAAAAAAAAGGCCAATCAGAATGTTTTTGCATGAGTTTGCAGTTCGCATGATGATCCAACACTCTGTCTGATATCACTGTAATCAAACTTTTTAACTGATTTCATAATCTGCCATTATCAACACCAACAGTAGCTCTAGTTGTGCTTGATGATGATGCCAGCTCCTTTTCCAGATTCTCAGCTTTTTCCTTCAGTGGGGTGACACTGAGAGCACTTGAAATTTCCTTCTTAATTTCTGCTTCCAATTTCTGTGCTTTCTCTGATTTTGAGTCCCTTAGAATTTCCTCCTTTAGTTCTTGAATTTTCTTTTGAATTTCAGTGTTTTTCACAGCATTTTCGATCTCCCTGCTGATTTCCTTGTTTAACTTCTTAACCTTCTCTTTTGCATCAGGGCTTGCACCAGGTTGATCATTCCTTTTGGAAATGGCCACAATTTCCAAGTTAGCTGACTTCAATGCATCCTCCAGTTCTTTCCTCAGTGTCTGTAGTTCTTCAGATAGACTACTCTGATCAGATGAACCTTGTTTCTCAAGAGTCTTCTTGTAATGGCCAATCTTAACTTTGATCTCTGGTGGGATTTTCTGATTAACCTCAGCTTTTAATCTCTCAGTTTTCTCCTTCAACTTGATGAGCCTGTTAACTGTGCTGAGAGTTCTCAACTTTTGTTTCAGCCGAAGATAAGCGCCAGGCCGGGACAAATTGCGCTTAAACTCCTGCACTATTTTATCTCCTTTTTCTTTTAAAGGGGTGCTAAGGGGTTTATTTGGAGGGGCTCTAGTGAGTTCGAGTTTAAGTGATTTCACCTTCTCTTGCAACCCCATAGAAATGAAAGCTTTTGTCATCTCCTCGTCCAGATCCTGTTCGAGCTTCCTGATCGCCTCAGTGGTTGTCGGATCAAATGTTCCCTTCGCTTCCAGGATGTTCATCTTGAGTTCTTCTAGCTGAGATTCTATCTCAGCAGTCGTTGGTACATTTACCTCAGATGGCTTCATTCTACGTTTCTTTTCAGGTTCCACTTGACCATCTTCTTTGTAACCTCCTTGTCCAATTGCCCGGAACTTGAGCATGCGGTGGCGAATCAGTTCCTCAGAATCCATCTTTCTTAATTCCTAAATTCATAACAACCTTAATGAAGTCGATGGACAAAAGACTGTACGCACATTACTTTTACTGACAGTGATGAAAGTTTTCTGTATTCTACTTAAAAGAGCTAAACTTCGATCATAATACAGAATGACAAAGGGAGAATATCTTTACCTATTTCTCTGATATAAATTTATTAAGCAGACAAACACATGCAAATACATTTTCTCCAATTAAATTCGTTTTGATTCTAAAGAAATATGACACTGAAGATGGCATAAGAGTTCTCATCGGAAATGTAAACTAATAAAATTACTTTACCTCCATAGCTCTAAGAATTGCAAGTTTAATCTGCTGCGAAGCCCAAATAGGATCCGCATGAGCACCACCAAGAGGTTCCTGGAGGCATTGACAGCAAAAGAATCATGAAACTATTATCTGAGAGGAAAATGCAATACACTAATGTACGTGGCGTTAAATCTTGGGGGGATGGTTAAACTTGTGAGAGCTGTTTATCCTCTTGGCCTTAAGTAATGATTTCAGTAGCCATAATCTTCAATCAAGAATAGGTTCAAAAGGTGCAATAAGCAGGTTCAAATGCTAAAGAAGATGAATGTGCTTACTGGAATGACACCATCTGCAATCCTTAGTCTGTAGTGTTCTTGAGCAGTGATCTTCAGCTTTTCAGCTGCCTGTTAAATTGTGAGAGATGATAATGCAAGTAGGATTTCTCACACCCAAAAAATCCAGGACCAGGGGAGCTTTAAAAGAGTACCTTCGGTGCAGCTGAGGATGATTTCCACAAGATTGCAGCACATGCTTCCGGACTAGTTAGAAAATAAAAAAAAAAAAACCAAATTGAGCAATTTTCAAACAATATATATAAACTTAAAAGTAATGATTGGTACACTGAGTCTGCATCCAACAGAATAATGTCTAAGGAACATGTAGCTTGTACATTAGTGGGGTCTGTGCCAAACATCATCATGCTGTTTTATAAATTCAGACACAGTTTGTGACTCATCCTCTCTCAGGGAACTTCAACTTCCTCTAAACAAATTTTGTTGGACTAGACATTCTCTTGGAAAGCCAAAGAAATCAATAATAACTAGGATGGACTAGTGATGACAGACCAAGAAGCAAAACATCACCTTGCAACATAAAATGCAGAGTTTTCCATCATTAGCAACTTGTTCGCGCAAGCGATGGCAAGAGCACCACCTGAACCACCTTCACCAGTCACTATTGTTATAATGGGAACTTTCAGGCCAAACATTGTCCTTAAATTATGTGCTATTGCTTCGCCCTGCACGATTTTGTTCAAATTACAATAAGACAGTTCTGCAATATTAAATGTAAAAGTTCAAAAGGCACAACAACCTGACCAAGTTCCTCTGATTTCAAATCAGCAAAAGCGCCTGGTGTGTCAACAAAAGTAACAATCGGGAAACCATGATGATCAGCATATTTCATCATGCGCAGAGCCTTTCTATAGCTGCAAGTAAGGTCAAATAATATGTAAGCTAAAACTAAAAGCAAAGTAGTGCAGAAGTGGCATATGAACATCAAATCAAATCCTATAGTGCAGAAGCAAAGTAGAGGGCCACATGGCCATTTCAAGGAGAAAAACTAAGGACTCTTTTTCCATGGAAGAAACAGACAGTAATTTCCTTAAGAAATCTCGTGGACAGAAGCGAATGGGGGACAAGAAAAACCTTTCTTATGAAATTGAATGCATATTCCAGGTACAAAGTCAACCAGAAAAGTTGTATGCTACATTTGAACCCATCACAGGAGGAGAACACATAGAAGAAGAATGCATATAGTTCTGAATAGTGATCTTCATCTTTCCAGAAGATGATTGTGAAACTTACCCATGTGGAGTTGGCATCGCAAAGTTACGCTTTATATTCTCTTTTGTGTTCCTACCTTTCTGATGGCCTATGAACATGTAAACTTCACCTTCAATGCTCCCTAAACCAGTCACAATTGCTGGATCATCGTAGCCTGCTCGATCTCCATGCAGCTCCACCCACTTCATCAAGTTGAAAATGAGTAAGATTTTCAACTGGCAAAGCAATATAATGCCATCAATTAATTTCAGGCAAAAGGCTGAAATATACTTTTTCAGTGATGTTTACGATGTGATCAAGAACTGTTGGCCTATTTGGATGTCTAGCGATGTTCAGGCGTTGAATTGGAGTCAAATGTGTGTATAAATCTTTGAGAGCCTGAAAGTACACAGACAAGAAGAAACAAATGTTGGGCGTCAAACAAAGCTAAAAGATAATGCAGTTGAAGTTCACTAAAAACCCACATGAACCAGAATACCTATGGAGTACCTGCTCATACTTGGCTTCCAAAAGATTGATCTGATAACTGAAATCTAAGCCAGTTTCTTCCGCAAGTTGGCTTACCTGTTGGAGGGAAAAAATCAAAGAACATGAGATCAATCAAGTAGAAGCTAATATTCTGTCCATTGACATCAAATAAGTGATCACTCCACTTCCTCAGTAAATCCAAACTACATTCATACATCCACAATTTTACGAAACATTGATTCACTTCGTGATGCATCTCATGTAGCAATGCACTCAATGAGTGGCTTACCTCGATGATCTTTTTCTCCAAATCGATGAGTGGCTTCTCAAATGCAAGAGTTACAGGCTTTGGTTTCTCATCCAGAGGCTTAAAGTAGGACAGATACTTCAATGGGTTGTCACAATTTGGATCAATATTATCAGGCCATGGATGATCATGCTTCTTTCCCTTTTTAATCAGTGCAGCCATAGGAAATTTCCTCCCATTCCTCACCTTAGAGCCCTCTACATTTCTGAACCAAATGCTATCAAAGCTCCGAGTCCGAACCCAACCTCTAAAACTAGTACCATTACCGAAGAATTCATTCCTTAACTCGGAAAGGCCACTCTCTTCCCCCGTGCCAGTTCCATATTTCGCCGCAATGATAGATAACGTAGTCATATCCAATAGCAATTAACCTGAACACAACAATTAGCGGAACCTGTAGCCTAAGTTGCAAAATGCAAACTTTGAACTTTAAAAACTGTAATGAAACAGAAGCCTTAAGTTCTTTGATTATTCCATTCACATTTGAGCTTCATCATACTACTTTTTATCCAAATGCAGAATATCCTAATTCTCAAATAACAAAGAAATTACAGAAGAAAAAACAGTTTAACCACAAAAAGCTAGTAATGAAATAAGAGGAAACATAGAAGCAAAAAGGGCTGTAATTTAGCAGAAAACCATCAGAGCCATGTTTACACGAAGTTCCAAGAATACATAAACTGCAGAAGGTGAACACTTCCATGAGTTAGAAAATGAACCATTACTGAACCAAATGAGTAAAGTTGCATGAAGGGATGTTACATAAGTTAGCAAAATAAGTAAAAAAAACCAGAATTGAAGTACATATGCAACATATCATAAGCTAAAAGGACTGCATAGATTGGCAGCTTTAGCATTAAAAATATTCCAATGAAATAGGTTCCTATCAAACTATAGTGGCAAAATCTGTCATGATGGACTGAAAAAATGGACAAAACACAGACAGACAGTATAAGAAATCAACGGTTCTAATTACTCATACCATGATATTGATATGATATGTGCGTCAACTCGAAATTTTACTTGCTTGGTCCCTTTGGCTCTAATAATAAAGATTGTGTCTCTCAATGTTGCCATGTTAGCTAGTTTTTGGGATAAGGTTGATTTTTTTGGTAACTCATTGGTCATTTTCCCCATCAATTTCTTTGTGGAAAGCATATTATACATATGTTGGTGCCAAATGTCATTCAAAATGAAACTTGTATAAACTTTTGAAAAAATTGTTTAATGTTGGCCATCTTAATCACCTTAATTGATAACAGTACTTCACGTGTTTATTCTGAATTAAATCTTTTTGGTTGATTATATTCAAACGCATCTCATGTTAATTCATGTAAATAAACTACTGTAAATGATATTCTGTATATGCACAATTTTCAACCATGTATACATTGTTAATTTTTCTTTCCTTTTCTTTTCAATTTTTTTTTGGTTAATAATAATCAAAAGTATATTGCTACAAGCAAGAAGTGTTCAGTTGACCAACACATATGATCACTGGGACCGACTCATCACTGTGTGAGTGTGTGTGACAGTGTGAGTCATCAACTTAAGTGTTATCTACAACCAAAACATATTTAGCTAAGTAAATAATTAACTTCTAACTCCATTTTTTTTCCAAATACTACAAATTTTAATCTGAATTTGGTAAGAACTTCAAAACTACAGCTCTTTTTGTTTTTGTCAAAATACCCTCTTTGTCTTCTGTCTGGACTGGAGTAAGGCGATGGAAATTGACGACAATCTCTTCTCATCCTCAATCACAACGGTAATTTTGTGACCCTTTCACTTGATTGATACTTTCCTTGTGGCTTTGAATCGTCATCGAGATGACATTTTTATCCGTTTTTTCAATGGTTGGGACTCTTTGATACTGCAAAATGATGATCATGGTTGGAAACTTTCTTATTATTGATCTTAGTCATGCATTCCCGCTTTTTTGCTTGATTTCTTAAAATGGGATTTTTCAGGAATCAATGGAAGGCCCTGATTCTACCTCAGAGGAATTCCATGACTGTTCAGTTAGACTGGTCTGTTAGTGTTCTTTAACTCCCTTTTTTGGTTCATAAGATACAAAGCAAGAAATGGGCTGATTGGTTTTTACCCAATTGCAGAGAATGAACCCAGAAAGGCGAAAAGAAAAGGTTTACATTGGATGTGGTGCTGGTTTTGGGGGTGATCGTCCATTAGCGGCGTTCAAATTGCTTCAGAGGGTGGAGGAGTTAGACTATATAGTTCTTGAGTGCCTAGCAGAACGCACCCTTGCCGAACGTTACCAAGCAATGAAGTCTGGTGGAAAAGGATACGATCCTCGGAGTATGTTTTCTTCCAATTTGTTTAGTTTTCTTTGTTTTTGATGATGAGGGTTCAGATAATTGTGTGTCTTTGCTAGTTTAGGCTTGTGGTTAAAGTTTCTGGCTTGATTTGATCGTTCTCTAATGTTTAATGCACTCTACATATTTTGAGAGCCATTGATTCTTTATTCTTATTCTCAAAGATTGTAGAGTCTAGATACAAGATGCAACTTCTGTAGCCTATATGCTAAAAACATGAGGATTGTTGCAGTTTCGGAGTGGATGCAACTCCTATTGCCTGCGGCCCTGGAGAAAGGAATTTGTATAATCACAAACATGGGTGCATGTAAGAAAATCTGAAAAGTTAGAAGCACAAGTCCTGCTCACTGATTTCTTTCAGTTTTTTTTTTTTTTTTTGTTTTTCTTTTTGGGTAAACATTTCTTTCAGTTTAATCTGCACCTTTCTTTGCCTGACTTGGCTGTCTGCAACTGTATGCTAGGTGATCCATATGGGGCTCGAGAGGAAGTTATAAAAACTGCCACCAAACTGGGTATTAGCATAAATGTCGGTGTGGCACATCAGTTTGCTATTGATGACGAAGGTATTCTCCGAAAATTCTGGATATTAGCTAAAACTTTTATGATCTTAGCATAATGAAATGTTCGATGGAGTGATGGATGTTGTTGGGCAATTGATTGCATTCACCTCATTTTCATTTTAAACCATTTATCTCTTAGTAAAGTTTTCTACTTAAATCACACTCTTCTTACAACATTTTTTTTGTGCTTAAATTTTTCAGGTTTGGATGATCACCTGAAGAACATTGATGGTGTAAGATTTGGTATTCTTTTCTCAAATAATCTCCAAGTCATAGCATCTGTAGTTTCCACTTTTCTTTTTATATGTGGGGTTTATGATATTGAGACAAAAACTTTTGCCTTTCTCATACTGTACAATTGTTTTATATACTCCCATCGGAGTTAAGATATAACTTTGGGATATTGATTAACAGCCTGTCTCTGGGGTGTGGCTTGAAACATCATGCATGCGGATGGACTTCCTTTTTGGCCATTTAGTACATTATTTATCCCTTACAGATTTAGGAAGGCTCTCACAATCTGCCTAATTTCCTCAGGCTGCAAGTGTCTATCTGGGAGCAGCTCCACTCGTCCAATGTCTAGAGAAGTACAAACCAAATGTTGTTATTACTTCCCGGGTTGCTGATGCAGCCTTGTTTCTAGCACCAATGGTATTACCTTGTTTTGATTTTTCCTCTGAACTTTACTTTGGAGACACATCGTTTGATTTCTTTAAATGTGTGACTTGTCAGATTCTGGCTGATATTAGTTTAATGCAGCATGAGAAAAACTAGACGAAGTACTATTCTTCCATTTCTTTTTAAACTATCTCCCATTTTCATTTCTAAAGATACAAAGTTTGTTCATTTAATTTATGTCCATTCTAATTCTCAGGGTTGGGATTGTGGGTATCTTTAAAATTGATCGTTCCAGGTCTTTTCCGTACCTTGTTTAGATTGTAATGCCTTTGGGTTCCTGTTGGTGTAATCAGGTTTATGAGCTTGGTTGGAACTGGGATGAGTATCAGCTGCTTGCCCAAGGTACATTAGCTGGCCACTTGCTTGAGTGTGGTTGCCAGCTTACAGGAGGATATTATGTACATCCAGGTGATCTTTGAAGTCTTATATGTTTTACTCTGTGGTGAAGTACTGTTTTTATGTTGATGGATGACTTTCCATTTTGACATATTGTTTTATTTTTCCCACTGAAGGTGATAAGCAAAGAGACATATCTCCTGAAAAACTTTTAGATTTGTCCCTTCCATTTGCTGAAGTTTGGTTTGATGGAAGAGTATGTGTTGCAAAAGCAGAAGGAAGTGGTGGGGTTTTGAATTCAAGCACATGCGCTCAACAACTTCTTTATGAAGTTGGGGATCCTAGTGCTTATATTACTCCTGATGTGGCAAGTTCTGCTTTACTTCTTTATACTGTACCTTAATAAGTTTCAGCCTTGTTGAAGTGAAAATGAGTAGCTGACATCTTCTATTTCTGGTGCAGGTTATAGACTTACGAGAAGTTTCATTTCAACAATTGTCAAATGATCAAGTCCTCTGCTTTGGAGCAAAGCCATCTGCTGAGCCATTACCTGATAAACTTTTGCTGCTAGCCACAAAAGTACAGCAATATTAAGATTGCACAACAGTGGTTTTTTCTCAGTGAAATGGACATTACATGGTTTTAGGTCTGCAGATTATAGTTATTGTTGTCAATGTGGTTGTTTTTTCATGGAAAAATGGGTATATTGGATGACAGTAAGTTCTTCTATTGTTTCCTTTTTGTAGACTGTCATGCTATAAAACCCATATTTTACGTCCATCTTTTCTCAATTAATTCGCACTTGCATGATGTTGGTAGTGACTGTCAAATGAAATTCCTTCCACATCAGTTCTGTTGCATAGATTTAATGAGCTTTCAGACATCTGCATGTGGTTCAGATATTTGATCTTTTCTTGTTGAGTCTCTCTGTTATGATTGCTTTATTTAGAAAAGATGGACATTATCAAACATGTAAGTTTTATATTACTTTACCATCTATATCTGTAGGACAAAGGCTGGAAAGGCTGGGGAGAAATATCCTATGGGGGCTGCAAATGTATTGAACGTGCCGCTACTGCTGAATTTTTGGTAAAGTGAAGTCTATGTATGCTGATTTGCTTTCCGTTTGCTCAATTTTTTAAACTGGGCTTGTTTCGACATCATAAAATGTGTCAAAATTTTAAGGTGGCTGTCAACCTAATGCAACCTTCCTTCTCCTGGGTTGAATTTGGCATTCAATTAACTGAATGGGCGTCATGGTTTTCTCCTTAAATTTGTAGTTATCTATATCATTCTTCATCTTGGAAAAGGTGTAAGTCCTTACATTTTGGGATGAAAGTTTGAAGGAATTTAGAAGCAAGTATCTCAGCTTTTTTTCGTTTTTCCAATCTCAGGTAAGATCATGGATGGAAGAAACATTCCCCAGCACAAAGAATCACATAGTATCCTATATTATTGGCCTGGATAGCTTACACGTGATGTGCAAGACAAATAGAATGATCCAAACTAGTGAAGATATTAGATTGCGGATGGATGGCTTATTTGAAGAAGAGAAACATGCAATCCAACTTACAAAAGAGTTCACAGCCTTATATACAAATGGTCCAGCTGGTGGTGGTGGTATCAGGTATCTAAATTTGTGCAAGTTAATGTGGAACTTTGATATGGTCACATAACGAGGTATTATTTTCTGTTATTATCCACTTCCATTTCATTGATATGCAATAAAATTAGTATCAGCATATTGATTCCTGGCATGGGAAATTGTTCAGTCACTTTCTTGCTGATATATTGAATATACCTTTCTAGACATTGTAACTAAATTCTCTCCAACAACCACTTCTTTCTTTTTCTTTTTTTTTTTATCACTTGGTATACAAACTTGTTCTTTTCGACTTTATTGGTGGAAACATGTTTTATCTCTTCTTTCATAGCTTCTGTGTTCTGATGCTTTCTGTACTATTCATTACGCAGCACTGGTTACAAGAAAGAGATTATACTTGAAAAGGGATTGGTATGTCTCGCTTGTTTGTCTTGTTCTTTTTTTTTTCTTCCTTTCTCTATCTCTTTCTCTGCGTGGGTACAGTCATGGGCAGATTGCTGGATTTTCTGACTTAATTATAAACAAAGAAAATTATTTGGATTGCATGTGGAATACCACTAAGGGGCAGTGTTCAATATCAAAACTATGCAGTAGACTTAGTGTCTTTAAGTTCATCTCAACTGAAATAGACTACTACATCTTGGAATCCTGAATTTGTCAGAATTTTTTTTTTTTTGGATGCAGATTGGACGCCAGTACATCACTTGGCATATTTCAGCTGCAAGAAATGGCACAAAGGGCTCCAGTGATCTGATTCCTAGACGTAAAGATGTGGAAAAGACGTCTATGAGTCACGGTTTGGACTCAAGACTACTATCAGCTGAATATCAGGAACTTTTAGCATCAACTGGTTTTCCAGCTCCTTCTGGGCGGGATATTCCTCTCTATGATGTTGCTCATAGCAGGGCTGGTGATAAAGGAAATGACCTTAATTTTTCCATTATTCCATACTTCCCACCAGATATTAATAGGTTGAAGCTGGTCATAACACCGGAGTGGGTGAAAGCGGCTGTTTCGGAGCTTTTAGACCAATCTTCTTTTCCTGATTTAGATTCTATTGCAAGAAGAAACTCGTGGATCGCAGAAAATGTTAAGGTTGAAATATATGAAGCAAGGGGAATTCATTCTTTAAATGTTGTAGTTCGTAATATTCTAGATGGTGGAGTTAATTGCTCAAGGAGAATTGATAGGCATGGGAAATCCATATCAGATCTCATATTGTCCCAGCTAGTTATATTGCCTCCTTGATTACAGGTTAATGTGTCACTATACCTTTGACATTTTTGTCAATGGCTGTAACTCGGCGATCAATGAAAAACTCATTAATGGTTGCAAATAAGATACGTTTTCTGTTTAATGCTATAGACTGCAGTTTCTTATAGTAATAATAGGTACCACATGATTCTTGATGATTAAACATGCTGTACGAATAATACACTGTAGAAGACCCTGATGACAAGCAACTACAAAACACTGCGAGATGAAGATACTCTGAAGTTTAATACATCCCGTCATAGAAAAGTTGCATTTTGTGTGAGATGATTTGAACTCACTTCCAGGGTTTGAATTTGGCTACAGGAGGTCAGCTAAGATTGTCTATATTACCAGGCTACACTATACCAGGTATGAAGAAATTTTCTTATTCCCGTCTCAACTTATTAACTTGGACACAGTTTTTGGGAGTAAAAACATGTATTACCTTTCATACTTGGAAACTTTTGTTAGATAGTGTGCTTGATATGAACTTAGTTGAGCATACAATTCTCTGGAAAATTGCATGGGATTGAACACTAGTACAGTAGAGAGGAGCCGATGAACGTTGCAATAGAAATCATTATACTATATAGTATACTTTGAGATAAAGTAGTCAAATGGAGTGATTACAACATGCAGACTTAGTTTCTGTGACCTCTTTAGCTCTCAAAGTTATGTTTATTTTCTTTACAATCATTTTCCTTTTAGCAACCAAATATTATATACAGCTGCTCATCTGTTTCTGCACTTTCATTCTTTCCTTGCTTTGTAAAGAAAAGCAGTTGAACTTCCTCTGTAGATAGTAATACAGAAGATGTAGAAACACACTCTGCTCGATTCAGAAATGAAAAAGGAAAGAAAGCAAAGAAAATAGCAGCATCTTATATCAGCAGATAAGAGTCATTATACTGAAATAAAGGCGGTACGAGCTTTAAGGCCAGCAGGAATACAGGTAATGACATAAAAGGTGACCTTATGCTTGAACCTCCTGAAGATTAAGATGGTCTCTCCTCCCCATTGGAAAACTGATAAGATTATCTTCTTCATGGGCTTCTTTGTTGTCGTGCTAGTAACTCGTTTTCCATTTCCATTATCCACTTTGTGATGATTCTCTTCTGCTTTGTTATCATCTTCATGATCCTGATAGAGAGGGTAACTTCTCAGGAAGGCCCTTCTGTTGTTGTAATCTTCATACCGAAAACTTCTTGCTCTCAACTCAGGTTCCTCCATGCTTCTTCAAACTTTCAAAACCTGTGTGATACAATGAGTTCAGATTATGACTTATTTGCTCAAGAGGGCTCTCTCAAGGCTCTACTTTTATAGTGCTTTTTTGGCCTTTTTGGCTTTGTGGGGTGATTTGATTTTTGAACTACACAAGCTAGGTTGGCTGGAATTAGGCTAAAATATGATATGTTTTGTCATTGTCCCTTTTTTTGTTGTTGTATTATACTTGGGAATTCCACTATTTTTCTAGGGGTAAAAGTTTTTGGTTGAAAAAAATCACGGCATCCAATGACTAGGAATTCTTTATGTCCGAAAGCGCATCTCCATTCAGTTCCCTTGATTATATAATTTCCATTGTTAAACAAGATTATTGACGTAGATATTTAGGTAACCTAGTTGGCTTGGGAGCTAGTTCCAAGTTTTGCTTTTCTTAAACTATGTCTTTTTCCGAAGGAATTCGTTATTGGTTCAATTCTAAACGATTTATAGTCTACAGACTACAAAACACGTGAGAGCGTTAAATCGTAAAGATTTGGTTTTGAATTTGATCCCTTAAAAAAATGAAGCAAGCTTCATGCCTGGACCAAGTTTGGCATTGACAAGCTTTTCAGTTCGATCATTGATCGTATTTTGTGTCATCACCAAAACTCGTGGAGAATATGATTAACTCCCTCTTTCTCAAAATTATCGTCCACTTTGAAATTTCACTTTTCATATATTTTAAATTAAAAATGAAAATCGAAATTAAACAATCATCATTTTGGGACGAAAGGAGTAACTATTTTTTTGGCTACTCAAACTAAGCAAACACATTTTTTTTTCCCTCCTTACGAGTGGGATACGATTTTAAGTCTAAATTCAATCAATTCATCTAATTCCAAATGATTTTTTTTTTTTTTTTTGCAATATTCCATCAGTGCCTAAATCAATTGGTCAAGATATAATTGGGGGTTTTAAGTACACGTTCGTCAAATTGGCAGGATAGAATAAGAAAAACAACTACGTGGAAAGAAAAGCAAGGTGTTCGTGGAGACAACACAATGACAAAGCTGAAAACATGGAGAGAAAAGATGTGGGTTTTTTTTTTCCCTAGCAACTTGCCATGGACGGCAATAGTATGGTGCGTTCTCTTTAAAAGAAGACTTATACAGTACTTTTCGTAGCTAACTAAAAATAAAAATTCAAACTTAATAATAATTTCAAAACAGTCGAACAGAATAAATACTAAATAAATTATTTTTCAAAGGAGTGGAAGTACATAATAATTTTAGAACGGAAATCGTAAACAATGAGATATCCTCTTGTTTGCAATACTATCACCAATGTATCATGAATCTCGTTTCAACGATAGAGGTATAAATCAGAATTTTTTTTTTTTCTTTTTCGATTTAAAATGGGTCAAGATGTTTGGAACACGACATAAAATTTATGGATTTGAGTAATCAAGGAAGTTGGGATTGGTGATAAAACTCTAATCATTTTAATTTCCTTGTTCTCCTAAGTAACAATCTCTTTATTCTTTTGGGGCTACTACCTTTGCTCAAACTCGCAGTTACTTAGGGTACGTTTTTTTTTTCGTTTTTATAATGTGTGTTTTTAGGTGTTTTTTGTATTGAGAATAAAAAAAGTATATTGAAAATATAAAAAACTATACTGAGATGAGACAGTTATTATTTTATTAATCTAAAAAAACCATAAAAAAAACCTAAACAAACAAAGCCTTAGATAACTCATATAGTGATTACAACTCCTCGCACCACATTATTGAAAACGGAAAAGAGAGTATAACACAAAACCCTAATCCTTTGCAATACAATGTACACAATTTTTATAGTTTTGAGTTACTGTTCCATCCATTATTTGTGGTCTGTTGAATGATTGTCAAACATATTATTAAGGAAATTGGATGTCAAAATCAGAGGGCTTGTTGGTTACTATAGCTACACGACTGTTATCCTATTAAGGCACGTTGAGAGCGATTTCTTATCCCATTTTCCAACTTTGAAGATTAATCTATGGTGCCGTTCACGCATTAGGCGTATTCAATCGATCATATCCTAAAGCTTAAACTTTAGTACTCTTTTTGTCTAGAAAAAAATGTTATGAGGAGTACAACATGTTAAAATTGAATTGATTTAGCTATTTCAAGATTATAGAATTAACCCTATAATGATTTGCAAATTACATATATATATATATTATAATAACATATTCATAATCACATATGCGAGGATTTATCAAATTGAACCATTTACGTTCTTATTAGTCTCATACATTATGGATTAAAGAATGGTTGATAATGCATGCGTTGCCTTGAAGAGATTTCAAAGAGAAAAAAATAAAAAAATAAAAAAAAAGGCAGTCGATTTTGAAGACTTTTGCGGTACCCAATGAAATTAGAACTGTATGTAAGCATAAAATTCATTCTGCTTTCCGCCAAAAACCTTTTTCTATTTTTTGGTTTGATTTATATTCCTTGGGTTCTGAAGAAATTGCTACTTTTTTTTTTCCTAGTCACCTCGATTCAATTGATAATTTTTGCTTGATACTGTTTAACTTATCTGCATATGAATCCATCCTTCCATTTGTCAAAGTTACTTTTTTTTTTAAATGCTAATTAACAAGTTTAATTTTTAATACTACTGATTTAATTTCATTTAAAAGTACATCTATGTATTTATTTAAAAAGGACGCAGTGGGTCTAATAAAATTAACTCATTCAATCCATATTTAAAATGAACACTCTGGGTCAGTGGCGAAACCAACTACACGGACTTGGAGAGGCTAACTACATACCATGATTAAGATAGATAGTTGAACATAAATGATACATGGTTAGCGGTAACTACTCCTAAGAGGTTTCCGGCCGGCCGGGGGCTCGGTATCCCCCGAGTCCCTAAAGGATTCTGCCCCTGCAGTGGGTCTAATAAGATTAACTCATTCAATCCATTTTTCTTTTCCAAACTCAGGTAAAAAGATATAGAGATATTGTATTGTTATAATTCGGACCTAACAAAAATTGAATGGATTGCATTTGTACCAATCTTTGTTTTTCGGTCTATGGTGTAGATTTGCGACAAGTTGATTCAATGTCATCGTTGTTGATAAATTGAAACCTTTTATATTTTGGTGCATATGATAACATAAAGTTTCCTTTTATTAGTTGCCTAAATCTCATCCCTTAGCTTTTCTCATTCTTCTTTCCTGGCCTCATTTTTTCCTCAAATTGATCCTAACTTTTTAAATACAACAAAATGTAATTAATTCGCTTGAAAACTAAAAGTGAATGAAATGAAAATTCAACTAAACATGACACAAAAGTTTTCTCAAATGACTCATATGAGATCAAACATTTGATTAGTAGCATACCTAGCTAGAAAACTTTGTCATATAGTCTTAAGTTTCTCCTATCATATATGTAAAATAATGTTGGGAAATTTTTACCTCCGAAAAAGGTCCTTATTCTAAATTAATAAATATACCGATTAATTAGTATGATTGAGTATGTAGTTTAGGCATGGTCCAAAAAGACATAGTAACCAAGAAAACAAATGCAAATCTAAATGGAGAGAAAAATAAATAAAGACATCTCCTGTACAATTAGAATTTTCCACATTCTTATAGTATGGATTCAAATGAATCTCATCTCAGAGATGAAAAGAGAGAAAAAGAGGAAAAAAGGAAAAAGTTAAAGGGGAACTTTGCACTAGGAACTTCCTATCTTACAAGTTACATTATCATAACACACTCAAATTCATCCAATTGTTCGAGTGGGAAAGCCTTTTCTTCGGGAAAAATTAGGATTTCTCTTTTCCAGAAAATAAAATAAAATATAAGTAAGAACAAAAAATATAAAAACATAAACATCAACACTAACGTAATTTTTTGCGGTGGCTTTGACACAGAAACTAATTATCACTGGAATTAGTCAGAGAAAAATGCCTATTTTATCTCCCAACTTATATCCACAATTTATTACATAACCAAAAAAATTTCCCAACCTTAATTGCATCAACAAGAGGGGATCTCCAATCACGTGTCCACAAATTAATGGCTAAATAGCGTAAATTACACAAGAGGTTATTAGACATTTTAATTTGTTAAATTAGAAATATTGAATATAAATCTGTTTTACTAAGACACAACAAAGATTTTTGTCTAGTCTCAATAACCGAGGTTTGCTCTCTCTCTTTGTACAGAATTTTTTTTTTCTCTATGATCATATATTTGTTCAGATGAGTTATTGAGATTCAGACCATTCAGGAGGAAGAAAACATTTAGCCCCAAAAAAAATTTTTAAAAGTTTTTTTTAAAAAAAAAAGAAAAGAGGGGAAAAGAAACATGGCATTCACAGGAACTTTGGATAAATGCAAGGCTTGCGACAAGACTGTGTATTTTGTGGATTTGTTGACTACTGATGGAGCTATTTTTCATAAATCCTGCTTCAAATGCAGCCATTGCAAAGGCACTCTTGTGGTATGTTTTCACAATTTACATGAATTTTTGTTTGAGATCCAAAAATATGGCGATGAATAGCACCATTACCAGTGTTTTATGCGTTTATCTTAAAAATTAAGAGTTTCTCAGAAGAAAAAACAAATATCATTTTCTCTTAATTCTTCACTATTTTGTTTGGCAGATGAGTAACTACTCGTCGATGGACGGGGTCCTTTACTGCAAGCCTCATTTTGAACAACTTTTCAAGGAATCTGGAAATTTTAGCAAAAATTTTCAAACTGGTCAGACTTCAGAGGACTCTTAATTAACTTTATTCTGTATTATTTAGTCTAGTAATTAGTTTCTCTAATTTAATTTCTTCGTTCCAATTTTTCGTGTTGCAGGAAAACCCGAGAGGGAAAATTCACTGGTAAGATATTCTAGCATATATGAATTTGCGTCATCATGTGTTTTTGTTAATTTCCATTTTCATAATTCGTATTAATTATTAAAATTTTAATTTAACGAAGTAACAATTAAATTGGGACAGAGAGAGAGTGAATTACAAATAATGCTAATTCATTAATACATTTCGGTAAAAATCGTACGTTCCATGCAGACGAGGGCACCAAGCAAACTCTCTGCATTGTTCTCTGGAACTCAGGACAAATGTGCTGCTTGTAGCAAAACCGTCTATCCATTAGAAAAGGTATGCCAATCTCTGAAACTCAAATCACAAAATTCAGTCCCTTTATTTTTCTGAAATTTCTCATTGTTTTATTATAACTGATATAGTATTATTTTCACACACTTTTTTACATTTTTAAAAAAACCGAAACCATTAATCCGATGTTTTTCCACATTTCTGGGGTACTTTCCAAATATGATACATTACTATACATAGTGCCATCTTAGAAAAGTTGACTTCTTATACAGCCGCAAAATCACACATAATCTATTTGAAATAAAACGCTCATTTGTCTATGGCAATCAAACAGCCACCAAAAAAAAAAAAAAGAAGAAGAAAAAAGAAGAAGAAGAAGGGTAAGTGAGCTGATAATTAAACACACGTATTTTGGTTTGTGGTTGTAGATGACAATGGAAGGAGAATCATACCACAAGTCATGCTTCAAGTGCGCTCATGGAGGCTGCCCACTTACACATTCTTCCTACGCAGCCCTTGATGGCGTTTTGTACTGCAAGCACCATTTTGCTCAGCTTTTCATGGAGAAAGGCAACTACCAGCACGTACTCAAGGCCGCCACCCATAGGAAAAGCGCGGTCGCCCCCGTTGATCCCGAGCCAGAAGAATCAGCAGCTAGTAAGGATGCAGAGGAGATTGCTGGTGATCAGGCCGCGGCCGAATCACCAGCAGAAGAAGAAGAAGATGGTCCACACACACAAGAGCAGTCCTAGAAAAATATAACCACCAAAAATAATTCTTCTTCATCATATATTGATCATTATACATACCCTCTCTTCTGGTCTTCTACATATTTTTTTTTCCGTTCCGGGATTTCTCCTCCATTTATCTCGATAGTTTTCTTATTCTTGAAATTGAGGTGAAATTTTTTTTCTATGTTTTTTTTTTCTTTTTCATGACGTGTTCAGCAATGTATCAATTAAGGAAGTTTGATGTAATTTTTTCTTCTTTTTTTTTTCGATTTTCTTTGTACAAGCGACTATCATATGTTACCTACTAGGGTTTAATTGGAGCAAATAATTCTTTTTGATCATGTATAGACGCCCTTTTCTCTGAATACATTTTTTTTTACTAAAAGCATGTATGTACATATATTGCACATATTTGAAGTTTTGAACTATCATATTCAACTTTAACTTTGCTATACATTTACCATGAGAGCGGTTGGGAGGGTTATGAACACTGGAAAAATGATATATACAACACGGAAGAGGATTATTATCATCTCGAATCTTGCTAGATATAGATTTTCTTGGTATATCTTTTTTTTTTTTCTCGAAAAGAAGAAAACTAGCTAAGTTGATATATAGTGTTGAATTAGAGCATATTGTAATAGAAAGTTTGAAGACAAGATTGAAACTTTAATTTTTTAGAACAAGAGAGATCTTCCTATTCACTAAGTCCACACAACAAGTTGTAGGATATGCACATTTACAGGTTGCAACATGAACAATGGAAAAAACCTAACGGAGAAGAGGATTTGATGGGTTTTGACAATAAAGAAGAGCTAGGATATGCACATTTAGGTTTGCACACAGGGGTGGAGCTAGGCCCCTTACACTCGGTGGGGCAAATATTTTCACAAGAAAATATGTTTTGCAAAAGTCTAATTTTGTAACAGGTTTTTTGGTTTTCTTAAATGTGATTAATTTTGATGGACAATTATGTTTATTTGATCCAGTCTATTATATTTTGATATTTTAAGTACTGTATTTTGTCTTTTTATTGTAGGAAGAAAAATTCACACAAAAGTTACCATTATTCCAAGAAAAAAGGGAATAAAACAAGACTTACGTAATAAAAACTTACAAAGTTTCTCCATATAAATAAGCCAAAATAGTTTAATCATAAAAAAAAAACATAAGAAAGGGTATAAAATGACAATTATTAATTAAAGACTTTCATTTATCTTTTAACACGGGAAATAGGATCGAAGGGTTTGAACTTTGGGCCTTTGACGATGGAGAATATAAGGCTATGTTTGGATGGTTTTTTGAGTGTGTTTTTTTTTTTTTGTATTAAGAATGTAAAAAAGTGTTTCGAGTTGCAAAAAAGATATGATGGGATGAAATAGATATTAATTAAAAATTCTAAAAAAAGTCTAATAAAAAAACGAACCAAACAGAGCCTAAGAAACTCTAGATTTTTTTTTATTTGAGAAGTCTAATGACTATTCACTGTAAAAACTAAAAAAACCTAGAGAAATTGGTAAGATAATGGGTATTCACTGTGGCACATAAAAACTAATCATGACATAAATTGAAATTCAAACTCAGTAGTCTTATATTTTTTCCAAGAGTTAGTTTGCAGTTTCAGTTTTTGCCTCCAATCTTTCTAAATTTTACTGGGGCAAATATTAGTTATCTTTGAAATTTTAGATAATATTAAGAGTAGTTGAGGAAATTTGAACTAGGACGATTGCCCCACCTGGTTACTATGTAACTCCCCCCTGTTTGCACACGTGATATCTCAACCGTAAAATATATTAATATTTGTAGACGATAAACGAAGCAAAAGTTTACAAAGAATCAAGCGTACACTGAGGACCAGATTAAACTGGATCTGCAAAATAGAATTCTTTTTGAAGACAAATTCAAAATAATTGTATTAATAGTTTGAACATGAATTTAAAAAGAAAAAATAAAAGGAAGCTATAGAAAGGGTTACTTTAGGTTGTAGCCATTTGGAAACCGAAAAGACACCTACATTTCGTGATGAGTGACCATGCATCTGCATACTTATTTTTGTCATTCACGTTCACAAGGTCAACTGAGAGATCAGTGGGGTTGTGATGTGGGGAGAAGAAATGAAGAAATAAGCCATGAAATTTACTGCTTCAGGTTGAACTACCTCTTTGAAAAAAAAAAAAGAAAAAGATTAACTTATTTGCTCAGTACTCCAGTCTAAGTAGTTCACATTACAATTTGGAAATACTACTGTTTTTAGTAAATTCGCAAAATAATATAGACTATTTTTATCGGACAGATGAAATATAAAATAATTAAGATTAAGTGAATAATTTTAAAGATTATCATTTCAGTTTTTTCCACATCGATGAATTGTGTGATAAAAAGTCCCAATTTAAAGATTTTTCATATGCGGATAGTAAATGACTATAGTTTCAAACTCTCAATAACAGACATTTCGTCGGAAAAATATTTTCTTCTCACCAAAAACTTACATAACTCAAATCCGAATTATGAGGTGGTTACATAAAGGGACTTAGGACTAAACAGCTTACTTCATGGACAAATGGACATCATTACTGACTAACCGGAAGGGAAAATAATATGCTTAATTATTGACAGCGTCTAATTTTGATTTTATCGGATCTTTGAGAAGAATGCAATTTAGGAAGTGTTGCCTTTTTCTGTAAAGCGGTTAGTCTCTCTCTATCTGTCTCTTTTCTCCTTTGGCGGTTTCGACGTTTCGTTGCACATGATTTGAACTATGATATTCTTCTTTCACTTAGCTATAATATTCTTTCTCTCTCTCAAATGATTTCTCCAATTTTAATTTTCATTTTTATAGAAATTATATCAATGTAAAAATTTAAACTGTACAATCATTTCGTAACAGAAGTAATTAACTAAAAATTTAATAAGCTCACAAACATATCAATCAAGATTTTGTCAATATAATATAAAGTTAACATGACCACAATCAATCTCTTTGCCGAGATAATTTGTCCTTCTTTTTTTTTTCCCCTCTTTTTTGGTTTTTGTTTTCTCCCGAACAGGAGATTGAACAGTTTGGTTTAGAGCGGGGCAATCCTTCTAAAGGTACAGATTAACACACCATTCACCTCTAATATATAAATTTTTTTTATATATGAAAAGGTCGTGCAAATCTCAAGAATGAATTAAAAACAAATTGATTTCTTGTACCCATTTGGAAACCGAAAAGACACATGCATATTTATGCTGCGTGTGATGAACAGCCATATATACGGTACGTATTTTGTCATTCAACTTCATGAGCTCAACCACAATTGCAATCCATAAATAAAATGAAGTTATCATATGGAATTCGGGCCTTAAATACATGGAGCAGACGTGAAATTATAATCATATGCATACTCTTTCTATGATTCTATCCAAAAAAATATATATTGTTGGGATAAAAGAATCCCACATCGGTGTCGTTTATAAGTACCAAAGGCCACCCCACTCATTGCCAATTAGTTTTGAAATGAGAGCCCAAGGTGACTTTGACATGGTATCAGAGCCCACGATTTGTGAACCTGTGATAACTATGGACCCGTGTGTGCGGGCTTGTGGACTGACCCAGCAGTATATCCGGAGTATGTACCCGTATGTACGGGCTTGTTGACTGACCCAGCAGTATATCTGGTGAATTATGTTGTGTTGTGCAACCCCAATGGGTCAAATACTCCATTAGGCTTGAGGGAGGGTGTTGGGATAAAAGAATCCCACATCGGTGTCGTGAAGGATCTGTCACCTGTTTATAAGTACCAAATGCCACCACTCATTGCCAATTGGTTTTGAGATGGGAATCGAAGGTGACTTTGACATATATTGCGTAGGATTTCATTTTAGTACAATTTGGATTAAAAATAAAAATTTGAAATTTCTTAGTTCTGTCACAATTTAGTCGACCGAAAATAAACATAAATAGCATGAACGATGTTAAGGAACAAGTTGTAAGAAGTGGTATTGTGTGGTTTCAATATTTGGCACGAAATGGTTATTGAAAAATCAAAATCACATGATATGCGAAAGGAATACCGAATATCCCATCCATCTCCCATCGTTCAAGAGAATCTAGTTTTTGTAACTCCCTTTATGTACCCAAAAAAAAAAAAAATTAAAAAAAAAATAAAAATCTAGTTTTTGTTTTGGCAGCTAGTGACAAATGTGGTTAGCAAATTCGATCACGTTTTCTTTTTAGTTTTCACTCCTAAGCATGAAATTGAAATACTTTCCCATACTTTTATGGGAGAAAAGGTTGCGGGATGCGGTTAGGATTACAGTAGTTTTCATATCCTCACTAAGTTATATATTATAATATGTAATATTTTAACATATATAATAACTATAATAACTATATATATATATATATACATACATATCTGAAAAGAACATAATAACCATTTTAGCATAGAACGAGTACTAAAGAGATTGAACAGATCATTTCTCGTAAAAGCGCCAGTTGGAATCTCCCTTAATCTTAAAGAAAAATTGGTCCTAGCAACTGTTAATTGATCTGCTTTTATTTTTTTGGTCCCAACTAATACTGAATTTTACGGTTTTGTTCTCCCTTAAGCATATAACTAGAATCTTTTATCAGTGATGATGACTCAGACGTGACAAAGTTTCGTCAGAGTTGGTACGTAGCTGCAAACAGTGGGCCAAAAAAAAAAGGTTGATTGGAGTTCTCTTTTAATTATTATTCTTAATTATTCTTAAAGTCGTAAATAATGGCAGTTTTAAAATGTGTAATTAAGAAATTAAATTGCCCCAATATTCATGTAATCAGCTTTGAATTACATTCTGGTATACGTACGAGTTTTTCATTCATAAAAAAAGTATTCTCTCTGTCCCATAATTATTGTCCAATTTGAATTTTCATTTTTAGTTCAATTTTGTACTAGAAGTGAAAACTTAAACTGGACAATAATTTTGGGACGGAGGAAGTATGGGAAAAGAAAAGTTACTTGAAGAACAAAAATTAAAAGAAGGCGGGACTTGGGAGAAAAATCTATTCTTTAATTTCCTACTAGTTTTCATGTCATTTTTTAAAATATATTTTTATGTGTTTTCATTTAATGGAAAATCTGATTTCCCTTTTCTCTTAAGGAAATTCTTTCTCTCTCTCTTTTTTTTTTTCAAAAATGTGTTGGGTAATTAACAAAAATGGATGTAAGCGAATAAAAAATCAATTTCGCATGACCCACGAGGGGCTTTGCTTCATGCACATTTGATGCTGGGAGTTTTTTTTTTTTTTTTTAAAAAAAAATTAGTTCAGTAAGACATTTTTTTTAATCACGCTACAAGCACCTCCATCATTATCAATTAATCCTCGCCATCATTGGAGTTATTTCTGTGAATTTACCACTTGGCGTCCAGTTTCCCGATATACGGTATGTGATACTCTCAAAATTATTGTTCAATTTAAGATTTTACTTTTAGTACAATTTGAACTAGAAATGAAAATTCAAACTGAACAATAATTATGGGACGGAGGAAATACTTGAAATGGTTATGATTGAAATGAAGAGGGTAAAAAAAAAAAAAAGAACACTTTTCATCATTATAATCTCTTAATAAATGGATTTTTAAAACTTTATCCTAGGAATTAGATTACTTGCTTTTAGAAATTAAACTACCAACATTATGAAACTGATAAATGATTATATTCATTGAATTATTAACTCTATCACAATCTTTAGATGATCATAAGATATGGGAATATTAAATTTGAGATTTTAATTGTCTCGATAACGATGAATGAAATTAGTGGATCGAAAGAAAGGATCAATTTTATCATATGGTGTCAGAAATATGAATTTATACTCTAATCGAACACTAACAAAAAAAAAAACTAGTTTAAAAAATTAATAAGTAAATGTATCCCAAATTAAAAAAGAAAAAGCAATGCAAACAAGAAAACGGGAAATTGATGATAAATGAGAGTGGCAAGAAGCAAAAAAAGAAAAGCTAGATAAATTATAAAAAATCTGACGTGAGCAGAGGGCATTTGAGTAAACCCCACATATTATTTATCCATTTGCTAATTGATTTTTCCAAAAAGAAAAATAGTCAAAAATTTTATTTTATTTTTTGTTTTTTCAATTAAACTTGCTCTTCCGAAACCGGAGGTGGAGGCCAGAGTAAGAAGGAAGAAGGAAGCGGCGGTGGCAGAATCACAGATTTTCGTAATCACATCATCACACTCGAAACGCCACCGTTCTCTTCATTTTCAATCTACTGATAAAAAAACATAACCTGAAAAATAGGAGAAAGCCACGTCATTCATTTCTAAAAGCTGTCTACTCCTGGCCCCCATAAAATTAGTCTTCAGAAACTCCACTCCTCCGCCGCTGCTTCTTCTTCTTCTTCAGTCCAAAGTATCCAACTACTCAATTCTCCGGCCGGCGGTCTTCATCGGTAAGTTCAAGGCTTCATCATTTCGGTGTTTTCATCGAATTTGAATACTCCACTCAAAAATGCCCATGCATACATGTAATTCTCGTCTGTTTGTTGCTAATTTGTTTCTACTATGCGTTTTGTTAATCCGTGGTGCCGTTTTTCGTCTTGCTTCATTTTTGTTGTTCCAACTCATAGCTCGGAATGAGCTGCCGCATAGGAATCATCGATTAGAGAGAGTACTTTTTATTTGTTATTTATTAATTGCGTTTTGGAGTGGATTGCTTTTGTTTCCTGGTTTCTTCGATGAGGTCAATGCTAGTCCAACGTTGCTGAGTGAAAGATTTTTTTTTGTCAGCTGTTTATGGAAACGGATTGAAATTTTAGTAAGTTGAACTAATTGCGCCTTCTTTTAGATAATTTCTTTAATTTTATTCGAACGCAGTCGGAGCTTGTCTTATGCTTTTAGCTTTTCCTTTCTGATGGCATTTGTGATTGTTAAGAGGCGTAAATGTTGATATTCAAATGTGGTGAAAATAGAAAGCATATTGCATATGAGAAACAAATTCTGAAGCTACTATGTGTAGGTGTATATTCTAGACTTCATTGCTGATCTCAATAGCTAAACATGGTGTTTATATAATGTATGCAACGGTTAGCTCCCTGATATAATACATTCGATTATGGCGCGTAAATGCTTCTTGTGCTTTTGAATTGTTTCTGGATGCGTGTATTTGCTCTTGCATATGATGATGGTGTTGGTTTGAACACGTGCAGCGACTAGTTTGCTCACATTAGTTTCTGGCACGTGAATTCTTCTTATGATTCCAAACCTTTTCTGGGCACGTGTAGTAATTCTTCTACTCACAAAACTAGACAGATTTGTGTAGTTCGAATACCTTAAATGATCTTTCTTGTTTAGTCACATGCACGGGCTCACTTGGTCATTTGTAGATGGGATGCTACACCATTAAAGGGAGATGATGCCTTGCATGCTTTAACACATTTTGTCCCACATTTACACGTGACATGAAGTACATATACGTGAAGATATTTGTATTTATAAAGATGCAATTACTTTCTTTTTATTGATGCGATAGACGTGTCTAAATTTGTTAAGATTACAACTTAAAATTGATTTGTTAAGATTACAACTTAAAATTGTTTGCTGAGAACCAACCATATCATTAGCTGTTAGGTTCATGATTGAATTCATATATGACTGGAAGGTGCCTTTTTTAATTAGATAAAGACCATGAAATGGATACCATAATTTATTCATCTTTATTATTTATTTACTGGTATATATATTTGTGGCTTATTTACATCTCATAAATTTAATTTACTCGTGTCCTGATATTAATTTTATTCTGCAGGTGGTGCTTGTGCAAGTACTTCAAAGTGAATATCCAGCTTGAAAATTTTTTCATGGATTTTTTTCTTGTTTCTTAGTGAATAGACATATAGGAAATGGAGTTTACTAATAGCTTATATCGAGCGAACATTACTCATGCAAGTAATCCTATTACTTACCGAAGTCTAGAAAAATTTAGTATCTTCCCTGGACATTCAGGTAAAGGTATTAATCTAAAATGTCTTGGTTTCCCGAGACTCTTGTCAAGATCTGGCCATGTGCAAGCGTTAAAACATAGCAACTCTTGTTGTGGGACTATATCAAGAAGGAAGGTATACAATCTTTTGTGGCATTATGATTCTTGTAAATCAGCCATCTATCCACCTGGGAGTAGTGTTAAAACGTCAAAGGAAAGAAAAGCACAGTGTCAAGGAAATGATTCAATAGCTTTTGTTGATGCCAATGGCAGAGATGTGAATCTGTCTGAAGGAGAGAATGATGAGAGCTTGAGGACAGAGACTAACATCAGGGATGATTTGAGTATTTTGAAAGAAGAATCACAAGGAGAAGATCAACCAAATGTGCCCAGTTTAGAAGAATTGCGAGAGTTGCTACAAAAAGCACTTAAGGATTTGGAGGCTGCACAAATCAATAGCACGATGTACGAGGAAAAAGCACAAAAAATATCCGAAGCTGCTATTGCATTAAAGGATGAAGCAGTAAAAGCTTGGAATGATGTCACTGATGTCCTTAATTGCATTCAAGAGGTAGTCAATGAAGAGACAATTGCCAAAGAAGCTGTTCAGAGAGCAACATTAGCTCTTTCCCTGGCTGAGGCAAGGCTTCAGGTGGCAGTTGATTCAGTAAGAACTTCTAAAGAAGGCCAAGGGCTGTTGGAAACTCGTACGGAAGCTAGTTCTGGTGATGAAAATGGAGGGGAAGAACAAAATGCATTTCAAAAGGAAGGTGAAATACTCCTGCTTGCTCAACAAGATATAAGGGAATGTCAGGAAAATTTGACAAATTGTGAGGATGAATTGAAGAATTTGCAAAGCAGAAAAGAAGAATTGCAAAAAGAATTGGATAGGTTGAATGAAATTGCTGAGAGAGCAGAACTAAGTGTTTCAAAAGCGGAAGAAGATGTAGCAAATATAATGCTTTTAGCAGAGCAAGCTGTTGCTTTTGAGCTCGAGGTTGCCCAGCGGGTAAGTGATGCAGAAATTGCCTTGCAGAGGGCAGAGAAGAATCTGTCAATTGGTGAAATTGATGGCTCGGACACCACAGTACTCCAGAGTGGATCAACATCTCCAGAAATGAATGATGAGTCTATCACGGAGGAAGGAACTGAAGGTACTTTTGTCAGTGTTGGTGACAGCAAAGATGGGACCATAGATGACAATAAATCATTTTACGAGACTCCAGCTGATAGTCAACCTGATACCTCCTATCAAAAATATGAGAGTTCATCTGATGGAATTGATGATGATAACGAGAAATATAATATAGATTTGAACAGAGATTCTGAAATAGAAGCAGAGAAGTTTAAAACTGCTCAAACAAAAAACCAGGAACCTCTGAAAGACCCAAGTGGCTCACCATTGAATACTCCAAAAGCATTACTGAAAAAGTCTTCCCGATTCTTTTCAGCCTCATTTTTTTCTGCTGCTGATGAAGAATTTACACCTGCCTCAGTGTTCCGTGGTCTTCTGGATTCAGCCAGGAAGCAATTGCCTAAATTGTTGGTTGGTTCATTAGTTGTGGGAGCAGGGTAGGTCTGACTGTTAATGTATTCAATATATCTACGAAAGGCAGCAAAATATTTCTTTTTCCTCCTGCATCTGTATTCTACCATGTAGTACCTCAAGTTATCAAGTTTTGTTGCTGTTATCTCTTAAGGTCTTATGTCCTCTTATGTTTTGGCTTTGTAATACAGCTTTGAGTGTTGCACTCTGAAATATTTATCTGTGAAACTGGTGTCAGATTTGCATTTTATGTCAAGCGGGCAGACAGGATTCCTCAGTTCTTCCAGCAGCCAGATACCGTCGTTTCTAGTATTGATGAAGTTTCTATCAATGCAAGGCCTTTTGTTAGACAATTACGTAAAGTGCCTCAAAAGATTAAAAAGCTGATGGAGATGCTTCCTCATCAAGAGGCAATTCTTCAAAATGCCTGTTACCAGTTTTCTTACTCCTGTTGCCACTTTTCTTCTCCCATTTCGCTTATATCTGTTTTCCATGCTTTTCAGGTCAATGAGGAGGAAGCTTCGCTTTTCGACATGCTGTGGTTGTTGCTAGCAAGTGTCATATTTGTACCGATTTTCCAAAAAATCCCTGGAGGTAATAGAGGCATTTGATTTTTTCTTTTCCAAGGTCTCAAACAGATTGCGCAAATCTTAGTATCTCCATAGCACATTCTGTGAAACTCTTCTGTGATTGTTCTCTACCAAGTGAACTTCCATTCAGCATTTGGGCTCTTTTGTAGTCGCATTTTTTTTGTTTAAATGTTAATCTCTTTCAGTGTTTCATTTTTATTTTTTCGGTTATATTGCCATGATTTACAAACGTGTATGATTTGAGCTTCGTCTTGAAATTTGTAACCTATGTCCTCAAGTTGATGTTGCCTGGTCATTCTTATTTTCAGGCAGTCCGGTTCTTGGGTACCTTGCTGCTGGAATTTTGATTGGACCTTATGGCCTTTCAATCATTCGTCATGTGCACGGGACAAAGGCCATAGCAGAATTCGGAGTTGTGTTCTTGCTATTCAATATTGGCCTTGAGGTGGAATCCATCGTAAACCTTTTGTTTTTCTAAGATAGAGACCGCACATTTAAGTTGCAATGATAGATAAACCTCCGCCCTGCTTTTTTGGCAGCTTTCTGTTGAACGTTTAAGTTCCATGAAGAAATATGTTTTCGGCTTGGGCTCTGCTCAGGTAATTGGAAATCTTTGTAATCATCTGGCAAATTCTTTGGTGTGGTGATCTATGAACTACTTAAATCTATAGCTTCTGTTTTCTGAAAAATGCAGGTCTTGCTGACTGCTACAGTGGTTGGTTTGCTTGCTCATTATGGGGTTGGTCTGGCTGGTCCTGCTGCAATTGTCATAGGGAATGGTCTGGCACTTTCGTCTACGGCCGTTGTCCTTCAGGTAAACTTGATCGCACTCCTTTCATGTTTTGTTCTCCGGAGAAATTTCCAAATTTTTACTGCTTTCATTACTTCAACTAGTATCGATTGATGGGAGAGAGACATATGTGGCCAAAATGATGTTTCCACATATCTGAATTATGTTGGTATTCATTTGCAGGCTCTTGTTGGGAGTGTCTTTCGCATAACTTCTCCTCCTTTTGCAGTTTATAAATTATATTTTGGGATGTATTTTTGGAATAAGAGCATTGATTACCCTGGTATATGGGCGTTGTTGTTGGGTTTCCTGTTTAACTAACTGCAATTCTAGCTGCACGTTTCTATGATGTGTCAATTCTAAATCTTTGTGCTGTGACTGAACTTATCATTGAAGATCTGAAATAGGCTTTTTTGCGGGAGCTTAGGCTGTGATTCTGGACAGGATGAATTTATGCAGTTTCCAACTGTCTTCATCTATATGTACCTGCTTTTTGGCTGTGTTGAGGATGATTCTTGATATGATAGTCTATTAATTGTTTCCTTTGTTAAATTAAAATAATTTCCCGGGGATTGCCTGCAGGTACTACAAGAACGAGGTGAAAGCACTTCACGCCATGGACGAGCAACATTCTCTGTTTTACTTTTTCAGGTATAGACATTTTGATCGATGGAAGTGTTGCAAATATATAGATCAGGGTCATTTTGGAAGTTCTCTCTCTTTTCTTTTAATGTTGCCTCATTGTCTTGGACTTTTGATTGTGATTCTAATTCATGTGTCCTGCCTAGATTTTACTCACATACTGTTATTTTCTTGCAGGATTTGGCTGTGGTGGTTTTGCTTATTCTTATACCTCTTATTTCACCAAATTCGTCTAAAGGAGGGGTAAAAAGACTTTCCACAGCCTTTTCTATTAATAACTAATGGAAGTCATTACTTCATACTCTCTATTTTCATTTTCTATCTCTCTGGATGCGTGAGCTGCCGCAGGTTTTCTCTCACATGTTGTTTTCTATGGCAGCTGTCTTGATGTTGCTCGCTAAAATTGATTTCCTAGTTGTAAGAGGACTTGGGCTTCATTTGATAAAATTGAAATCTGAGATATGAAGCCCGTAAAGATTTACTGGTTGATGAAAGCTACCATTTGAAACTGAAATTAGTCTGAAATCTCTGGTCTGAATTGACTTACATTTTTCTAGATCTAACATAGAAATCATATTTTGCAAAAATATCAATGGATAGGACTCTGCATTTGTTTAGACTCTTCTTTTGGGATGGAGGGAAGAGTGTTAAATTCTTTTTTTAATTTTTTTGTAATTAAGAAAATAACAATATTTGATATTCTAAATGCTTTATAAAGTTTTAAAGTAAAACACATTTTCATTATCATTTGTTTAGGAAATATTCTACACATGATGATGACTTTTGAAACTTGTAATCTTGACTTAAAATGAACATCATGTGTAAATGCGAGACAGTGACAAAGAGATAAGAGAAAGGTGGGGGGTTCGAGCAAATCATTACTGATAGGCTTGTTTCTGGCTTAGTTTTTGAGTACTTAATCAATCTTTGAGTCATGAATGAAGTTATCAAATAGAGTTTAAGTTCACCATATTTAATTACGTTACGCGTGTCCCAAAGCTTCTTTGTCAGCTCTAATGAACTCGGGGTGAACCATATCTTGTCTTTTCAGATTGGTTTTCAAGCGATTGCTGAAGCCCTTGGATTGGCTGCTGTGAAAGCTGTAGTTGCTATTGCTGCGATTATTGCTGGGGGCCGCCTGGTAAGTTCTTGCATGCTTTTAGCTGCAGAAAGTTAATGGAATCTGCAGACGTTGAAGAGTTCATGCTTGGGATGCTTTTGGCCATTTATCTTGCAATCCAGATTGAAGATAATGTACAAAATGGGTGGTATTTACATGTAAGAGGAATTTTTATTTGGTTGGCTAAACATAACAATCTTGTGTTTGCATCTTTTTATTAATGCAGTTGCTCCGTCCTATTTACAAGCAAATTGCTGAGAACCAGAATGCAGAAATATTTTCTGCAAATACTCTGCTTGTTATTTTGGGGACTAGTCTCCTTACTGCTAGAGTACGTACATTCTTATTTTATGCCATTCTCGTGTACTGTCTCATAGTACGTTAGTTTTCCTTCAAGGTCTTTGCTAATTGATTAATGCTGTTGCTGCTGGATGTGCTGAAACAGGCTGGTTTGTCCATGGCTTTGGGAGCCTTTTTGGCTGGTTTACTTCTTGCCGAAACTGAGTTTTCTCTGCAGGTTGAATCAGATATTGCTCCATATCGTGGCCTTCTATTGGGCCTTTTCTTCATGACGGTATGTCCTCACATGTCCTATTTGATATCAACCACAATGAAATAATAAATAGTTATAGATTTGTATTTTGTGCTGTATTTATCTTTCAAGACATCTCTTTCTTTCTCAGCTCTCACTTCTGTTACAACTGCAAATTAAAAATGGACATTTCTGTGTTTGGGGAGCATCGGATAGTTCTGCTTATGTTATTAGAGTAGTATGAGTTTACATATTAGCTATTATTGCTTAGAGCTAATGGTATAATATTTCAATTTGCAGGTTGGAATGTCTATTGATCCTAAACTTCTTGTTTCAAACTTTCCTGTTATAGCGGGGACATTGGGACTTTTGATTGCTGGAAAGACCATATTAGTCACTTTAGTTGGTAAACTGTTTGGGGTTTCAATTATTTCCGCTATAAGAGTTGGGCTTCTGCTTGCTCCAGGAGGAGAGTTTGCTTTTGTTGCATTTGGTGAAGCTGTTAATCAGGTGACCTGAAATTTTTTCTTTCCCAGTGTGGATGATATCTTTGCCGTTATATATACAGACTCGGTTCCCTCTCTGAAATCGAACTGTGTGGTTCCTATGATATTTATTAGGACCATTCTGTTAGGTAATGAATTTTTTTCCCTAGCATTTCATTGCAAAATATCTTTCACACCTCCTATTGAGCAATTCGGTACATGTCTGGGATATCAAGTGGATGACGGTCTTGTGGCTGGTGATGTGTGTGTATGGTGAGGAACGTTAGGTTTTTATCAATCGCTCATCCTAAATATACTTACTCTCCATATCACTCTTTGGGGAGTCGATATGTTTTTTATAATTGTTGTCTTTGTAACACAAGATGATTGTATTCCAAATAAAGTCTCTATTGTGTTGATCTCCTCTCCTGCGAGAGATCCTTTTTGATTAGAAAATCTCTCATTTGCAGTTAACTACATATTTAACTCTTTCACCCCTTTTTAGCCTTCTTGAGCTCATTAGTGGCCTATTGGAAATTGTCCTCACTCAAATGTCAAAGCTAATCTGTTGCCCTTCTTTCCTTGATGCCAGATATTTTAGTCAAATTCTTAGAAAAGAAAGATTTTCAGTCCATGCACTAGGAACTAACTGTTGTTTTTCTTTTTAACTTTTCAGGGAATAATGTCTTCTCAGCTTTCCTCTTTGATGTTTCTTGTGGTGGGTATTTCCATGGCCCTTACACCTTGGCTTGCTGCTGGTGGCCAGTTAATAGCCTCTCGGTTTGAACTTCATGATGTGCGGAGCTTATTGCCCGTGGAGAGTGAGGTGAATAACTTCATGTTCTGTTGATGCTGTACATCATTTTACTGTGGGGTGTGATTTAGCATCTGTAGATTTGGTTTCCTGTTCAGACATTGAGAATTTATATTCTGAAGGTTTATGGGGTACCTTTTCTTTTTGGCTAGGCTTCAATGATGCACAGATAATCAGTAATTGAGCATTTGTTTTTTTCCTTCTTTTGGGTGTTTGATCCTATTTTGAATCTTAATCAGCTGACATTTGTAACTTTCTGATGCTTAGTTCGCTGAGCTAAGTTTTGATCTGCTTTTGACTGTACTTTAATTATCACATTAAATAACATTACTGACTTGCATCTGTGAACTGAAGAGGTTTCCCGTTTGGAACTTTACAGACTGATGATCTGCAAGATCATATAATCATATGTGGATTTGGACGTGTTGGACAGGTTTATGCTTACCCTTATCTTGTTTCATTGTCCAATTTAAGACCATTTCTGTCATGGGTGCCATAGAATAGTAGCAAGTTATACAAGCTGCTGCAGTTAGTACTCTTTAAATGATGATTTTTTCACTCCCTCCAAACAGATTATTGCCCAACTTCTCTCAGAACGCCTAATTCCATTTGTTGCTCTGGATGTGAGGAGGTAAAGTTACTTCTCTCTCCCCTATGTATTATGTTGTATCTACAACATTACATGTTATTTTTACTTCTTGTTTTTAGAATTTAAATTATATGGTGTGGGTAAGAGTAATTTGATTGCTGGATATGAGTTTGTGTGATGTAAACTAGAACCTCACGAGTTACGACATCCAGTTTCTTTTTAGCCCTTTGGCATGCTGATATTTACACTAGATAAGGCAAGGAAATCATCCTCAAAAACCAATAATCCAGGGGATGCAGAAAGTTTGTTACGTCCATGACCATAGCTTTTTTGTAGTCTGGAGATTTAGCGGGTTGTTAACTGCAAGGTTGGAATATCCTTTACACCTTCAAAAAGGTAGAGAATAGAAGGGCAGCCTAGGTGGGGGAAGTTATTTTTAAGCACATAAGGGAATAGAAATGGCATATTGAGCATGACAATTTAGACTACATTTGTATCTTTCTCTACTTTAAAGGGGCTGAAGGTCCCTTGGCGTTTTGGGTGGTTGATGATTGAACATTTCATTGTTTGATGCAAAGCAACTCTGAATTTATTCACTATGTTTCTTTGTGCCATGAAATGAAATGCTGTGCCTTAGACTTTTCGTGTTTAAAGTTTCTATTGCTTTTTCTTTATGCTCCCTCCGGCACTAATTATATGGTACGAATTAACGCTACAGTGGTTCAAACTTGTGTCTTATAACTAGGACGAGAGGGAGTACAAGAATAAGACTTGATACTCTAAGCAATAAGGTTATATTTGCCCTTATCTGATGAGCAAAACCTTTTGTATCACCCAAGTGATTTATTTGACTGTTGGTAATTGCAGTGATCGAGTGACATTTGGACGTCAACTTGACCTTCCTGTGTACTTTGGTGATGCTGGTAGTCGGGAGGTATGTGAAATGCCTGCTGGAAGTGCATTCTTGCTTTATTGCAGCTTGAATCATGAGCTATGTAATTTTATGAATTTTAGGTTCTCCACAAAGTTGGTGCCGAAAGAGCCTGTGCTGCTGCCATTACTTTGGATACTCCTGGTGCAAATTATAGAACTGTTTGGGCTCTGAGCAAGTATTTTCCTAATGTGAAGACATTTGTCCGAGCACATGATGTCGATCATGGGCTCAATTTGGAAAAGGCTGGGGCAACAGCGGTATCTTTCTCTTGCCTACCTTGGTTTTCCATCTCTCTCTATTGTATCAATCCTATTGCGTGTTGATACTCGTGTGTACATTCATTATGGACTGAATAGTCATGAAGGCTGATAAACTTGGATATATTCATTCTGGACTTAGTCATGATAGCTGATATTCTTGGATATATTCATTGTGGACTGTCATCATGATATCTAATAGTATTCCCTTTTAGACACACGATAATAAAAAACCGGGCTGCATATGTGGCATCGAGTGAAGAGTTGGGCTGTTAAGGCCTTCATCGAAGCCTTTCCTTGTTTCTCCGAGGCTATTTCCTTGACTTAAAAAATAAAAATAAAAACCCATGTCTCCTGTCACATAGCAACTGCCCGTACTCCTTGCTTGAACTCCCCTTCTTAGACAGATGGGCATAATAATGGATTTAAATAGCATACCATGATTATTAATCGGAGAATTTTATTTTGCATTTCAGTTCTAAATTGATAAGTTTTGCAGGTTGTTCCTGAAACTTTGGAACCAAGTCTGCAGTTGGCTGCAGCTGTCCTTGCACAAGTAAGTCCAATCTTTTTCATCAACTCAGCTTTTAAGTTTACCAATGCTGAAAGTAGTAATTGTCTCAATTAATCTTTAGGCCGCATCTAGTCAATTTTGATTTTCTGTCGAAATTAAGCGGTGGCAGTTGATAGTTATAGTCTCTTTCTGGGTCAATTTCAATGTTTTCCTTTGACCATGTAGTGGGACTTCGTCTTAGAGAGATGATATTATGATTGATAGTTTTCTCTTGTATGCATTTGAATTTGTCTAATAATCATGTCCTTGCCATTTAATTTGTAGTTGTATCATAAATGGGTGTCCAAATTTCTTTCAACTAAAAGAGAATCGTTAGCATACTATTTCTGTACTGTTCACTTGTCTAGTCTGTTGGGGTTACCCAGTTACTGAGCTGTAGGCGCCTCAGTTTTTATGGAAGTAAATAATACTCCCTTTGTCCTGTAATATAAGTGCCCTTTGTTCGGTAAAATGGACAAATAGTATTAAGGTCTTGGTCCTGAATAAAATTAACTGGGAAGTTGGAAGCATTTGTAATAGGCATTTAGGCATGGTGAAATTTGGAATGTTTTCACATTGCATAGGGGTGCTTTGTTCTAGTAATTACTGTGGTTTTCTTCTTTCAGGCTAAACTGCCTACGTCAGAGATTGCAGCAACGATTAATGAGTTTAGGTCACGCCATCTCTCTGAGCTCACCGAGGTACGCAAATTTGGGCATATTTCTTTTTCTTTATGCAATACTATTACGGCCTCTACTTGACAAAGGTTTACTATCTGAAACCTTGTCTGTTTTGCAGCTATGTGAAGCTAGTGGAAGTTCTCTTGGTTACGGATTTAGCAGGGTCATGAACAAGTCCAAGACGCAGCTATCCGACTCTGACGATAATCAAGTTGGTGAAGGAATATTGGCGGCGTAACTCTTATTGATGGATGTATTGCAGCTAAAGACTGAAATGGGGTTGTATTATTTGCCCCAGAGGAGGGAACCCAAAAAACCAAGAGGGGACCTTTTAATAGAAGACGATGAAAGCATGAAGAATTGTATAGCCTTGATGACTCGTGGTTATCCATCTACCCCTGTTGTACAGAATATACCGCAACAGTAGGCGGACTTAAGGAGACTTAAGCCCGCAGGTGATATGATAGACTTTGCTGCCCGTAAATTTTGATGGAGAATTCCCAGATACATATTTTTGGCAAATGTTACATCAGTTTCAGAACTAATTATAACAGTGAAAATGTCGAGATGCTCGTGATACGGCAGTAACGATGGTACTTTTTATAACCATTAGGATGACATCTGAAGACCATTCGATTAGTTTTGATGCTGCATTTACCTTTTGCCTCATTTTCTCGACAATCGAACGTAAATCAACCTTTTTCAAGTCCGGGATACCCACGATCGCAACTTGGAAGGTCTGGATCATTATTACTATTATCAGATTGTTAATGAATACTGATTAATGCTTAACACACAATTGATATTAATTTATGGTAAAGTCAAGACTTAAACATTGAAGAAGAATTAATACATTTCACATGGATTATAATGGCATTTTCATAGTTTACGACTGTGGATAAACCTGCCATGAAAAAGAAGAGAATATAATACTACTTCCGCAAGTGATCTAAAAGCTTTCCATGCAACGAAGTGACAATTACTATAACCTTCTAGTTCCACCAATTCAAACTCAAAATCACACCATTTCCGCGCTATCAACCACAAAACACAATCTGTCAAAATCGCTCTTAACAATGGCTGGAATCGCCTTGTCCACCACCCATAATTTCAAACCCGGATCTTTCCATGTGGATCGCGGGCTTCACTTTGAATTTGGGTCTCATAACAATCCCGCATTCTGCTGGAGGACTTCTTCCTTCTCAACTGGTTTGTCCAACTGTGCATGAAATTATGTGTTTTTCGTTTTATTCAATGATAAAACATTGGATTTTTTTTTTTGGTTTAATTATGTGCATCAAAAGGGTTCAATTTTTTGGGGAGTCGGTGAAGTATAAAGCCTTATACTTGATTATAACAGTCTGTTGCTCTGATGATTTTGATGGTTTCGTTCAATGAATCGATTTCATAAGTGTTAAATATGATGAACCAATTATTGATCGTGTAAGACGAAAGGAAGTTACTTGTGTTCTAATCCCTAGGAAATTTTAATGTATTTACTAATTACTGGATTATGGGATTCTAGGATCATTTTTGTTGCCCAGCTGCTGCCAAGGCTAGTGAAGCTTCTGTGAGAGTAATTAATGGCAATTCGATTGCGGATGATATCACACTTGAAGTAGCTGCTGAAGTATCTAGGATGAAGACGAAAACCGGGGCTGTGCCGGGGCTAGCATTTATCTTAGTAGGGAATGGGAAGGGGTTCGTTTCAGCAGAATATGTTCTCGACAAGTAGCATTCTTGTAGGTGCCCTGTAGGAATGATTTCCTACGAAGCACACTTTCCAGGAGATTCTTCAGAAGAACAAGTCCTTAAGCAAATAAGGAGCTTCGATGATGATCCTGCCATCCACGACAGCATCCTTGTTCAGCTGCCCTTACCTTCTGTAGGTTTATCAATTGCGATTCTCTTTTCAGCATAATTATCATCCGTATTTGATTCTAGTATTGTTAGTCTGCTGGAATACTGCAATTATGAGTTTGAGAAAGTGCCGGTTTTTCAAGGTTTAGAAATGCTTCGTCCTCAGTTTATCCATTTGAGTTGTTTGTCTGTGGTTTTAGTCTCGTCCGTTTTCATCTAACGATACAATCTATAATTGCAAATGTGTTATCTCTGTTACAATTTTGAGAGATCATATGTATACTCTTCTTCCATCAAGCTGAACTCCTTTTTGTTTCAGCATATCTTAATATCTTTAATCATGGTCATTTGATCATGGCTGTATGGTTTTTTGGCTGGCTTCCAATTAGTCATATTAAGGGCACTATTTTCTTTGTTATCGCGATTGTATATTTCAGCCATTTATGTCATTTTCTTAGTTAAATAAAACAAAATAATGATAATAGAAATGAAGACTCTGTTGTAATAAACTGTAGAACCAAACAGTTGCGTTGTAGAAGTTTGTTCATTCCAGTAACTATTGTTTATTTCATTGAACCAGCACATGAATGAGAGCAAAGTTTTAGAGTGTGGAAGGAATCCATCCATTTAATATTGGCTGTCTTGCTATGCGGGGCAGAGAACCGCTGTTTGTTCCATGCTGTCCTAAAGGATGCTTGGAGTTGTTGCATAGAAACGGTGTTGCAATCGAAGGAAAGAGAGCTGTTGTTATTGACATGAGTAAAGGAACACAAGTGGCTCAATTGCTACAAGTAAGGTTTCTTCCCTTCTTAAAGTTTCAGCCTACGAATCTCAATACTTTGCCATAATCATCGTTGCGGAGAGATTGATTCTTTATTTCTTTTTACTCTTTGTGTGGTAGAGGAAACATGCAACTGTGACAGTGGTCCATTCAGGAACTATGAATCCTGAGGAATTCACTCGAGAAGCAGATATTATAATTCACGCTGTTGGAAAGCGAACTGTGGTGAACAGCAGCTGGATAAAGCCCGGTGCGGTTGTTATTGACCTTGGGACAAATTACGTTCCGGTATGGTGTTAGTTCTTCTATTCTGTGAATCATTAAAGGGTTTGATGTGGAATCAAATTTTGGAGGAGAAGACTGATTACGTTCACTATGTTGTTTTTTTTAGGAATGAATTCCATGCATTAAATTAATTACTAATTAGTACATTAGTAAATGTCAAATAATTTGTATAGTTTTACTTTACATTATCAAATGATTTGTTGAAACAAAAAAGCCGAAAAAAAGGACAAAATGGCATGTAAGATGGCTAATGTGACTTCACAACATGGTTTAAAAGTGGCCAACTTTAATAATATATATATATATATATATTTTTTTTTTGAGAAATAGCAAATACATATCATTGCTCATATACGAGAGTAAGTGTGAAAATTGATGAAATACACTAATTCCTCGCCTCAAATTTAGATGGAAAGTTTGGATGATTGCCTTAAATAAGACTTTTGGCCGTCTTATATATAGTGCAAGTAATCGCACTAGGTTAATTTATAATTCCTCTTCTAAATAATCAAGAAGCAAACTTAGGGTTTAGGGGTTCGAAGAAGAAGAAGAGGACGACGAAGATGCTGCCATGGGACTCGCCCGGTCTAATCATCGGGTGTTCAATTGGTGCGGCGGTGGTCCTTATGTTCTTAGCTTGTATTTGTGCGGTATTCGGGAGGTGTAAAACACCATCTGAGTGAAGACAACACCTAGTTGTTACTTTGTTGGGGTTCAATTTTAGAGATTTATATGTTTTGATTTATTTTTCATGAATTCTTGGTTATTCGATCTTTAGTGAATAAAATTTTTGTTCGTTATAATAGTTTTTGTTTTTTTTTTTCTTTTTCCGTGTTACGTGATTTTTGCTTTCTTAATAATCTTATAGCTTTCTCTTAATTAGTAAGTTTTACATTGTTGTATAAGTAATATATACATAATCAAAACAATCATTTTTTTTAAATGGATTGCTCCAGTGAAAATTGAACCCTGATAATAACCATACCGTTCCTAATTCCTAACAACCTCACCCAATCCTCCCACCCAAAAAATTATTGTATATCAATCCACAATTCAAAACTTATGTACTGAGAAAACGACTTTCCAAAAAAAAAAGTTAAAATGAAAATTTTTTGAAAAACACGCGCCTATTGCTTAGTATAGATTTTAGTTGAAACAGTGGCTGTATAGCAGAGGAGGGAAAATATCACCCAACGTGTGCTGTTTTTTCAGTATAGATTTGATTCCATATTTTTTTATACTACAAGTTCACATCGGGTTCATATTTTTTAGCAAACATAAAAGTTAGAGGGAGTTTAAAAAAAAAAAAAACACGATGCAAGTTGAAATATTACTAATCAAAAACATCCCTTCAAATTACTCACCAAATAAATTTAGTTTCATTGTTGCATGAGGACGATAAATGAGAGATTAAGTTCAAACACAAACAAAACGATTTCGATCGGCCAATAATTTGCATCACATCCATTTCAGGCCTCTTATTTTTTGTTTCCTTTTCTTGATGGCGTAGTCAAAGTTTAAAACCCAACAAAAATCTAATAAACCCAAAAAAAAAAAAAAAGAGAAACGAAATGAATAGAAAAAAATTTCACCGGTCAAATATGAATTTTTTTTTACCCCTTCCTTACCAAATAAATGAATATTACAACTGACACTAGAAAATTAAACAGAATGGAAATACTACTAATTGGGAAAGAGACCCAAACTAAATGACAAGAAAAAAAAGCTGAAACAAACCACCCCTTAAGCAACAAAGCCGTACAAACGGAGAGTAATGCTAGCTGGAATCGGTAATGATGATGAACAGAGTGCGTTTGACATGAGTATTGGATTTTATATAAATATAATACAGTTGAAAAAAATAACGTAGTAGTACCATTGGCATTATCATGATCGAACAAAGAGAATCCCAAAATCAAAAAGAAAAACACCCATTAATTCCTTCATGCTGCCAAACTGTCGAAGGAGATAAGATGCATTTCCTCAAAGCTTAAAATAGATGTAAAATAAATTATTGTTTCGACTTATTCAAATACGAACATTGTCGTTGTGTAATCCCTATATAATAATAAATTATAAATTAATCAAACTAAAGCTACTGATAATGGCAAATAATAACAAGCTCTTAGGAGCTCCTAGCATGGTGCTCCTAGGAGGTACGTGTGTTTCAATTTTGACAAAAAAAAAGTGGAGATTTTCGTCCTATTTTATTGTATCCACTCGCGCATTTAAACTTCAATATTATCGGATTAATTACTTGATCACAAAAACGTGATCTCCACTCCGTTTTAAATTTTGAACGGTTATTTTGTTTTCTCATTATCATGAAGATCATTCATTCATTCAATAATTGTACCCAAATCAAAGTCATCTATTTTAAATTCATCGAAAATAGTTTTCAATAACAAAAGTCTCTAACGATGGAGGGTGAAGATTTTTACATCAGAACGGAATCATGCGACGATGATTCGATACATGAGGAAGAAGTTCCTGATTTTGCAGTTGAAGTTGCTGCTTTGGATGGTAATATGAATGCAGATGAAATAGAAGTAATCGGTGATGTTATCATGTTTCTTCATCAATTGTTGGTGACGATGGATCGTTGGTTGTATACGATGATCAAAATCTTGATTCTACAGGAGGTACTATCAGCATTTTGTTCGAATGTTATTGTTTTTTAAATGAATGTTGCCTTCGTTGTTAATGAACAATGAACCATGTATGATGAATATCCCTATGGATATTTATGCGGAGGAGATTGTTTGTGAATGTTTTATGATGAATGAGTAGTGTACCTTTAAACAATGAATAACGTACGGTCTTACAATCAATGATTTATGATATTATTTAAATTTGTGAAATACAATGTGTATTAGTGTTACTGATGTATATATATGCTTAAGGTAATGCATAACGTATGGTTACTGATGAACATAGCCTCAATTTTGTGTTTTGACCAGTGTTATTATAATTTGTCGATTGACTGATGTGTATCTTAAGTAATTTATTGAATAACAATAACTCATCGATGAATAACTTTTTTAATCTTCAACGGATGATGCGCTAATTAGACGATGTTTTAACTCTGAACAAGAAGCATTTCGTACTTATAATGCTTATGCAAAGCACATCCGGTTTTCAATTAAAATGTTCAAAGACAGGAAAAGGGTCAAATCTGGTGTTGTGTATTGGAAACAGTTTACATGTAGCAAACAAAAGGTGAAAACTTCAAAAGGTCTTTGCTATACCAAGACGGATACGCGTGTTGGTTGTAAGGCGATGGTTGTGGTGAGGAAGGATGATGAGGGGATATGGAAGGTGGTGAATCATGTGACTGATTATTGTCATGACTTGTTCCTTTAAGACAGAGGCATTTGACTCATTCTTAAAGAGAAGTTTCAACGAATGATGTTACGCTTTTGTCCAAATTAAAGGATAGTCGTATTGGCCTTACTAATGGTTTCGGAGTTCTTAAGGAAAAAGCACAAGGTGTTCCTAACCTAGGCTACATCATAACAAATGCCAGAAATAAGGTTGCAGCCCATGAACATTCTAAATGAGAAGATCGTGATGCGAACAAGTTGTTGGATATGTTGAAGGAAAGGAAAGGGAGTGAAGATGGTTTTTATTATAACTATAGTCATGATAAAGAATGTAGGCTTTCTTGTGTTTTCTGGAGGGATGCACGCATGAAAAGAGGTTATGATGTCTTTCGTGATTTGGTTGTTCATGATATCACTCACAGGACAACAAGATACAAACTTGTATGTGCATCATTTACTGGAATGAATAGCCATACACAAAACCTAATGTTTGCTGTTGGTTTTTTGTTGCATGAGGATACACCATCATTTAAATGATGTTTTGATGAATTCTTAAAGTCTATGGGTGGTAAAGAACCGACAACCATAATGACTGATCAGTATGTTGCCATGGGTGCTGCAATCCCTTCAGTATTCAAAAAGGCACGACATCGTCTAAGCACTTGGCATATCGACGAAAATTCGAAGAAGCGCATTGGAAACCTTTGAAACAATGTTGGTTTTCAGGATTTATTCCGGATCGTTTTGACACACACCGATACAGTTATCGAATTTGAGTATTATTGGCATCTGTAAGTATCATTTATTCAATGTTACTTTATGTACTGTTTGTTGTCTAATGAATATTTCTGCATATCTGTTGATTATGGGAACCCATTTAGATTAATAAAGTTTCTGATTACGTATTACAATTTTTTTATGCACAATTTCCTAAAGTTGATGAATATCTCAACATTTGTTGATGAATTAATTTTCTGATTTTGCGTTGTTCTATTTTTTCTACAACTAGGATGGACGATACTTACAATTGTCACAATGATAAATGGTTGAAAGACAAGTATGATACCGGAGAGAAGTGGTGTCCGGTATTTAGCAAATGATTTTTTTCAGGTGGTGCATTTTCATCTCAGAGGAGTGAATCAACCAACAGGTCAATTTCACAATCTCTTACTAAGGCTTCTCGGTTATGCACTTTTTATGAAAGGTTCAAAAAAGTAATTGATGGTTGGAGGCAGAAAGAGAATGATGAAGACCACCGTTGCAACAATGGTTGTATTAATATGCCTTTTCCGAGTATTAACATGTGTCGGCATGCAAGAGAACTATACACAATTGAGGCATATATTGTTTTAGAAAAGCAATTTGATACCGCTGTTCAATGTAAACACTGGTTTGTTGAGACTTTTACTATTGACCCTGATCTAGAGTTACATCGTGTGAAGCGGATGCTTGTTGATGTCTTGGTTCATCAAGTTGTGTTTAATGCTCGTTCTCACGAGATTAAATGCACCTGCAACATGTTTTCAGATGCGAGATTCTTGTGTACAGATTGTCTCAGAGTTTTCATGTTTCGTAACGTTGATCAAGTTTCGGAATTTTATATTTTACCAAGATCAGAAGGAATGCTAATCTACAGTGTATCGGTGATTCTTTGGACAATGCATATGGTTCTAAGTTTGATATGAGTGGTTCCTTTTTATGGAGGACTGATATGATCAACACTCGTATCAAACTTTTATCAGCTAGTGAATCATGTGATAGTGCCAAAAAACTTATCACTGATAACATGAAGTCATTGACTGAAATGGTTGGTAAGGAGGTTGGACCTTTGAATCAAGAAATAGGAGAGATTCTGGATGGAAATGATGGTTTGAATGCTAATACAAGTTCTACTATGAATATTAAAGATCCTGAGATCTTGAGGCCACTGGGTGAGCGGAATGTAAGGTTAAAGAGTGCTATCGAGAAGAGATCAAGACAAGTTAGAGTTAAACACGATAAATGGGCAGCTTTGAGCACGAGGAAGACCATATACAAGATGATGAGCAGTGCAAACCCTGGATTGATTGGTCGTTATGCACATCCATTAAAGTTTAGTGGTTTTGATCAGGGTATCGGTCAAAGTAGTAATATATAGCAGAATGCACCTAGGTTTTTTATTTTAATGTTTTGTGCTTATTTTTATAATGAATAATCAAATTATTATTAATGAATTATGGTGAAATACTCTTTTATGTATTCCATTAACGTGTTTTTTTTTGTTTTTCAATGATCATTAATATTATAATGATGCATAACGTAATATAAAAATAAAATAATTGTATTATGATATTGTGAAGTTCTCTTATAACACATCAATTCCAGTCTGAGTATATCTTTATTCATCATACTGAGTGGTGGTTGTTTTTATTCATCATCTCGCTATAATTAATCATCATTTTGAAATCATTATTCATCATGAGATTGTGGTTGTCTTTATTCATCTTTTTTGTCAGTACATATTCTATAGAATGTAAATATTATGAGATATCTTTTGATCTGATAAAATGAACAACTATTTCCCACTTGATGTATTATTATAGCCGAAATAACTGTGTTATGATGTATTGTTTCAGTTATTAATGAATTATGAAATTATTTAATCATGATTTATGTTGTTATCCTTACATTTATGATGAATTAGAGTTGAACATATGGTTGTGAACAATGAATATTCTTACATTTATGATGAATATCATTACATTTCAGCTTTTGATGAATTTGGTTGAACAACTAGGTGTACATAATGAATATCAACTCAATTGTGATGAACAAAAGATTATATACTAATGAATAATGGGTGTTATGATGAATAGTATACAATTTTTTTTTTACTTCATATCCATCGAAACATGCTTCACAAACCCAAATTGGTGTATTTTCATTCATTTTAACCCTTAATATGGTACAAATAGAATTTTGTAATTTCGTTTTTCATATTTTGAGTTACCATTTTTAGGTGGTAAAATGTATTATTTGTATTGTATTCATGAATATCCAAGCGACATTGATGAATATATTATTCAATAATGAGTGGTAAAAAAGAGTAACAAATATCCATTATCATAATAATAATAGAATATTCTTAAAACATACTCCAATAATCAAAATGTACATTGCAAATATATATATATATATATGTTTGATGACCGTAAAGACGGTGTACAATATGATTATGATCAACATCTAGTCCTTCATTGTAGTGTATAACTTCTTCATTACCTCGGTTATCATCAATAACTTTGTGTTGACTTTTGAAGTTAACACCTCTCCCAGATATTTTATCCGCAGCTGATCAAGTTTTGTTTGGTGGTTATCATGTTGCCTCTAAACATGCAAACAAAAGGTAGTTATTGATCAAGTAAAAGAGTTGTATGTTTGGTGAAGAACTTGATGATTTTAAAGTAATTATATTTACCTTTGTTGTCCCATATACTGGAATCCCAATCTCAAACTCTTTCAAAAATATACTGAAAGTTTTCATGTGGCACATCATAAATATGGCACAGTCGATGTGGTTACCATTGTTGCTCCATTTAAGGGGATGCACCTTTGGATCTTTGAACTGTTGTACATTGTTCAGCTGAGTTGACCCATTTTCTGTGAGTAACTGGTAAAAGCTTCCATCTGTTCAGGTTCCAAACATTAGTTACAATAAGGTATTCATCAACTATATCAATAATTCATAAAAAATAGAGTTATTCATCGAAGACAGAATCACAATTATTACATAGTTCGCTGAAGATTCAATTTGGTTAGCATTTAATATCTCACCATAAACATGTATGTCTCTCCATATTTGTTCTTGAACGGTATGCTAGCGCCTATTGAATCGGCGTTATCAATTACTTCCACCCGTTTGTTGACCATATTGAAGACATACAAGTAATAATGAGCAGAGTGCAATACTGGCAGAAAAAGCTGCAAAACTCATGATACTTGTTTATTCATATTCTAGATTAAGTAAAGCAAAAGAAACATACAAACATGTTGATATAGTCGTATATTACCTGGCTTGCACGTGCGAGCTTATAGACACTAATGTTCATGCAACGAAGTTCGTACCCTATCCTATATATGGCATTAACAAGGCCCGTCTCCATTGGAACTGGACCTTTTTCATTTGGATATTGTGCCTGTGCCATATTGTAACAAGATGAATGGTTATATACGAAAAAATGAATATCAATGCTGAAGTAATGAATATGTACATTAAAAAGATGAACAGTTAGTATGTGCAAATGATTCTATTACCGATATCAGGGTTGTAAAGTATATTGCTGGATGTTTGGTTCTTTCATGTGATACTACTGTGTTCAGGTGTGCTGCCCAAGCATCAACTACTTCATTATCCACCAGTTGATCAGGTTCCATTGTCTTAAAGCTCGATCTTTGTACGAATATGTATTGGATCGTTGACTTTTCTACTTCTGGTATCTCAAAAAGTGTTTCACTACATAACAGTTTAACAGAAAATGCAGTAAACAAAGTTTATGATTAAATAAATTATGTTAAAAACAGAGAAAACTCGAGTGAGATTGTGAAATCTCATGTATCTTTTGTGTTGTCTTGAATTCCAAAAACATAATCCGACAATATCCTCTCTTTTTCAATGACGTTAGTCATCTTCAATCCTTTTATTTTCCAGAATGGCGACACATCATGTTGTTGAATTTCTTGCCTATTCAGGTTATCTTTTTTGCCACTGAGCACCCTGAAAAAATATACAATATATTTAGGGTTTCGTTGAATGCATATCCAATGTGTGTTGGATGAATAACAAAAAATGTTAAACATGGATTATGTGTATACCCTTCAATATACGCTTTGATCTTTTTTGTCCTGACACTTTGTTGTTCTTGGTTATCACCTGATCCATGATCAGCTCTTTTTGATGTTGAAAATACGTCATCATCAGGTATGTTGTCACCAAGATTTACATTGTCGATTCCTATATTTTTTTCAGCTTCATTTGATTGATTCTGAACATCATCAACAGTGTCCCCTACAGGGTCGTATGTAGCTTCGTTAATGGTCATTTCATATTGGGAAGATGCAGAAATTTTTGGAGTATGATGCATATGTATACTTATTAATGATTTTGTAGTATATTATAAACATGTAGGTACAACTGAATTGATGAAAATGTATGTGAAATATAATGAATATACAAATGTTTAATAATGAATATAAGCACATTTACATTAAAAAATATAAATATATTACCTTTGTTATTCAAGGATGCAAACATCTGTGTCAACCCAAGGCTAAAGTCCGGTTGTGATGAAAGAACGGCATGTGTGGCTCCCCCTTGTGGATCTGATGATGTTGATGCACCATCAATGAACCCTTCGAATTTTCTGCAAAAATTCAGCATTTCTGGGCAGTTGTACCAATCCAACATTTGACTTCTGTGTTGAAATCTCCTTCCTGTCGTTATTCCTCATAAACACCTTCAGCTTACTTTTGGGTTGCAATAATCATACTGTTTATCTTTTCGGTGTAATTGAAGAATAACTTGCTCAATACACTCTCGCTACAAAGCCCTGCAGATTTAGCCTGCTCGAATAACCCTCAAAGCTTGATTAGCAGTGGACCCATATCATTTATCATTACATGTTCAAATTTTTCTGCCAAACTCATTTCCTATAAAACATCCATTCATCGTTAGTCTATTTGATATTCATGAAATATATACAATTAAATATTACCTAACTAGAAAATGTACCTTCTGGGTCGTCTGTTGCTGAGGATCTGGTTCGAAATGACTTTGCTGTTGAGGGTTTTGTCTTGGTGTTACGGACTTTTTATGTATAATACCACTTTTGAAACCGTCCCCTCCTCTCTACATCTGCTCTTTTTTTCACATCCTCTTTTGACCAATGTACAACCACTGGAAATCTTCGCGCTCTCCTAGATTTTGAATTTGGTACTACACGATCCAGGTATGTAAGCTCAAAGGTTATTCAGAACATCAATGCCGGTGAATAAGAATAACATTTATAATGAACATCTTAATATTATTAATGAATATCTATCAGATAAATGCATCAAATAAAATAAATATCAAATTTATATCCTTACTAGTAAAAACAATAACGGACCTGTAAAATGAGCAGGATTGCTTCTGCATTCATTCACCGAGTGCTTCAGTGCCGTTATTATGTATTCACAAACAATTAAGATTCTTAATTCTACCTACATCGATCAGTGAATTCATCAGGGTATGGCACTCTTGTCCCCTGTTTCTCCAAAAAATACTCGAGAAAACTCCAATAACAAACTATCTTTTGAATTTATCACTATAAACACTGTCCGTTATATTTTTCGGATCAGGCTGTTTGCCTTTTATGACCATTCTTCCACCAACAAAATGATTTATCACTTTTGTTGTTGTTAGACCTCCCTTCTTTGGATCCAATCCAAATGTTATCCTCATTTCTTCCACTAGCATGAGGTATTCGTCAGTACCAACATCTTTGAATAGTCTTCCACCTCATATTCCCCTCGTTGAAGACCGAAAACGGACTCCACATTTGCTTCACCTATTGACAACTTGTTTTTCCCTTTCAGTATGAGTCACAAATAAGTGGGGCTGTTTGATGGTCAGTGGAATAAAAAATTCATTATGACTACATTATGTTTTATGATGAATATAGATGTCAAATTGATGAGTATAAATTCTTTTTAACACGAATAATAACTGCATATGAGTGGATATTTTATTACTTACTCGTAGTGTTCGAGCAGATATTTGCACAGATCTGCACAATCAAACCTTTTGCATTTAATATCCAGGATGTGTCCGAAACCTATTTTCCTAACATGTTTTTGTTGTTCTGGATTCAGTTTAGAGACGAACTCACATACAACATGAGGTGAAACCCTCGTTTTGAACGTTTCACCTTCACCCATTCTTCTTTTCCTTTTCTGCCCTGTTATTTTTGGAGTTTTCTTTCCTTTTACACCTTTCATGCTTTCCTTGCTTTCTTGTTCCTTTCTCCCGCGGCTTACTTTATGTTTTTTCCTGTCATCATCATCCTCCGCTTCGAAATCACTGTCATAAAATTTGATGTTAAATATAAAATAGAAACAAAAAAATATTATACTTAGTCTAAGTAACTTAAACTATTTTTCACATAATCATGTTTTTTTAATTGTTACCTGTCTTCATTTTTAGTTGTCCTTGTATTCCTTCTTGAGCTTTTCACTACTTTGGAGCCCATATTTTTGCTGTTCAAATAACTAAAATGGATGAATATATGTTTTATAGATGTCTGAAATGGTTTTAAACAGACGAATATTGTATAAACTTAAACCCATCAAGTTGAAATGTTACCTTTGTTTTTTCTCTCCCCTATTTGGTTACTTCTTGGAAACGTGTGATGCTGCTTCTTTGTTCGTTTCTGAAGTTAGTGGTGACCTGTTGACCCTTTTCTGTTTTGCTAAACTTTGTACACTGGTGCATAAAAAATTTACTTATAACATGATGCATATGGACTGGGTATTGATGAATATTTTGTTGTTTATAGATTAATAACCACATCATGAAAAATGAATCATGATTTATAACCTGTATTTGATGAATACCAATAAAGAAAAAATGTACAACTGAAATATCGTACCTTTTTTCATCGGCTTTCAGAATAATAACATCAGTGTCACCCTTGGTCCTCTTTTTCCCAGAGCCCTCTATCTCTATGTCTACATTTATTTTTGGATTGGTTTATTGCCGATTCAGATATATCGGCTGCTGATTATTGTTCATCGCTAATGCTTCTTTCAGGTTCTTATTCTATTGATTTTCTTCGCTCGTGCTACAATATGTTAACAAACTCCATGAATAACTTGTTGTATGTGATGAATTTTTTAGTTTGTTTCTTGACATACACGTATCAGGCGTATCACAAACTTAATGAATAACTAATTCTGAAATAATGAATGACTGTACATAGATTATGAATACACATTTTTTCGATGATGATATACCATTTATTCCTTTCGGATTATGAAATCAGAAAATCAATAATCATTGCTGAATCAATGAATAAAAGTCCTTTACGGATGAATATCGAATGGAAATAAAATCAACAATACAATCTAATTAATACCAACTACCAAACTGATGAAGAAAATTAACTGATACAAATTACCAATATGAGAAATACCAAAAACCAACCACAATTTAATGAATTTGCCTATTTTAACAATGAATAATTATACTAGAGTGATGAATAATTCTCAGATCTAATAATGAATACTACAAACCAAAACAATTTAATGAATATGAGAATTTTAACAATGAATTTTTCTTACAAACTGATGAATAGTTTCCAGATCTACTAATTTACATAAAAAAATCATCTCGGAGATGAACAAATCTATGAAATTGATGAACAAACATAGTCAATCGCGTGAACATACATCAAATCCACATAACCCAAACAAAAAAACACACCAATTGTTGAAGAGAATAGTTCTATTACCTGGCTTTCCCTTCATCGTCCGATTTATTCATATTGGGTTCGGAATCCTCAGCGACTAGTCTCTACATGAGTATTTTAAAGAAAAATAATATTCATCGAACTCTATACATTGGATTAACCCAGGAAAACAGATGAATTTGTTCAGAATTTACCTTAATCCTCATATTCAGTATAGTAAACTGTCAGCAGAATCACCGGTTCTGATGAACGTTCTGATTCAGGCTTTGGAAGTTCCGTCGACGGTAGCTTCTGTGGATGTGTCGCCGCAGGAAGAATTTTTGGGTTTCTCTGATTTTTTTGGATTGTGATGGTGCGAGTTTACAATTTGAGGTTACCTTTGATGCAATTTTGAAGCAACTTTTCAAAGGCTATTATGAACACAAACCCATTCAAGGTGTTTGTAATCTTATTAAAGTTATCAATGCCTTCAACTCCAGGAGATAATGTCTATTTTCTATTTCGTTCATTGAATTAGATTATGGTTCTCTATAAAAGCTATAATGTTCACTTTTCTTTAATTTCTTATTTTTCTTATTTTAGATGGAAATATGAAGCAGATGAAATTGGACTGATGTTAATGGCCAATGCTGGTTACTCTCCTCACACCTCCCTTATTTTTGTGCGAAAACTTTTAACAGTTACAGAGACAAATTTTCTACACATCCAACTGGAATGGAGAGGGCAAAGAGACTTAATGAAAAAAGAATTATGGGAAGGACAGAAAAGCTGTGTTTTAAGCTGTGTTAATTTGAAAAGTCTTTAAGTAAAATATCGGAAGTTAAGAAGAGAATATTGAATTTGATGCTTGAAAGATTTGAAATTTATCAACATAGATGAACATAAATTTGCCACAGACAGTAGAATCTAGAAGCAAGGCAGACAAATTAAAATTCTTTTCCAAGTAATTGTCAAAAAACACATGCAGGCTATACTTGTTTCAGTCTTCATGATTTTGAAAGGCTCAGTGTATATGACTCAGGAAGTCTCAAATCCAGTGTGGACAAAATACATGACGCATCATGAGTACCATTGACAAAAAGCAAACAAACATTACGACCAACAGTTTCTAAAATGTCTCTTTGTAGGTACGAAGTCCAGCGGAAATAGAAATCTACAATTTCGGGGAGATAAATCTCCAAGAAACTCGACATAGTCAGAGCTTTTGCCTAAACCTCTAGCATCCTCAAAATAAATATTAATGGAAAGTTAAAGTTCATGACATGATACTTATCTACCAAGATCTCTAAAACCTCTTAGGATACAATCAATCTAGTCTTTTCGATCACCTTAAGAGCAATTCCACCACTTGAGGATCCAACTGCGATGTTTCCTTCAGAATCAACACATATAACTCCAACTGTGTCCTTAATGCCATGGTCATCTAAGGAGTTATGCGCCGAACTCTGAGAACTAACTTCATTTCCTTTCAACCGATCATCAAGTGGCGCACCTAGTTGTAAAAGAGGAGTACAAGTTTGATCACAGATGAACAAAGTTTATGGATGACAACATTTCACATATTTATTTATACTCCCTCTATTCACAAATAGATGTCATTGGAGGAAAAACCAAATATTCCAAAATAGATGTCGTTCTCACAAATCGAGGCATAATTTGTCAATTTTTTCTAATATTACCCTTACATTGGAAATTATAGTGATGTTTAATGTAAAATTGTATTAGAACTGAATTTTATTGGGACTACAATTGAATTAAAAATAAATGAGGATATTATAATATTTTAACAAGATAATTATTACCTCCTTAAACTTTGTGAAATCTCTCTAGCGGCATTTATTTGTGAATGGAGTGAGTACTTTTTTTCCTTTTCATTTCCCGTTGAATAAAAATTATACTACTTCAAAGATGCATCTAAGTGGTTGCTTTGATACTTTTACAACAAACTAGCTCAAATATTCAAAATAGTTTGCCTAACTATCCAAGTTCCAAGAACATGACATCTAATAAGAAGAAGCAAGCTTTAGGGAATCGCAGTTGAGACTATGATATACAAGGTGCAACTTTGTCTTAGTGTTAAAGTTGAAGTTTACACATTATATAGCTTCTAGAGCATTCTGTTGCTTCGTTGTTTTTTTTTTTATTTTTCGTTAAAATAAATTCTGAATGTCAATGAACATTTAACACACAATTTTAATATGCCAGTCACGTAAGACAAACTTTTGTCCCCTTATTGCTTCTACATTGTAATGATGATGAGGGAATCATTTCAGCTATTAGCAAAAAAAAAAAAAAAAAAGTCTGCCTCTGTTCAAATAAAGAATTTACAACACTATTTACAAGCTCACCTGATACGACAACCTTTTGGGATAGGCAGGGGACTCTGGCTGACGCATCAGCCATGGCTTTGCAGATGTTGCCTTTTCCATTTTGGACTTCCAGATGCTCCACATAGGGTTGGAATCGGAAATGGATTACCATCATCACCCAACCAGAAGTCTGAAAGTGAGGAGAATCAAAGTCCTAATCATCACATTCATCCTTCGACATCTGCTACAGTTCAGCCAGATGATCATTCATCTCAGAGTCACAATGCAGATGATGCTGACCACATTTCTAATCAACCGCTGGATCATTCAGTATCTACCATTCATGTGCCACCAAGTATGATTCCTCCAGGGCGGCCATTGAATTCATCTCAGGATCACAATCCAGATAGCCACAACTCATTCATCTCAAGATCTCTCCAGGATATGATGCTAGTGGATCATTCAACATCCCCATTTCGAGAGCCATGAAGAGCTATTTCTCTGCTGTCCAGTAATGCATCTCATAATCCCATTGCAGACAACAATAACTTGGTGTCCAATCAGCCCATGTCCACATATGCAAAGACCTTTCAGGATACAATGCTACTGGATCGGTTAATATCGACCATTCAAGTGCCACCGAGTTCTATTCCTCTGCAGCCGGATAGTTATTACCAGGATCATTATGTGAACAGCAATACTTTCTTGACCATGCTTCCGTTCGCGATATCACACCAGAATACAATGCATTTGGATCATTTTGCAACAATGCAGCAACAGAATCCAACCCCCATTGGAAATGAGGGAGAACTTCATCATGGACTACTCTCCGGATTAGGCAATTACATCTTACCTCCTCTGCAACAATCATTTGCATCCCAATACGAAACCGGGATTCCATTCTCATGGGGAATCTCTGCTCAGAATACACGGTTGCCAATCCCTAGAATGCGACAACCAGCTTCATCTCAAATCAATCCTCTAATATATGGTGATTCTATACAAGTTCAAAATCAATCCTCTAATATATGGTGATTCTATACAAGTTCACACTATGACTATGAATCACATTCTTGATGGCCGAGCATAAATCACAATACCACCGCCATCAGGGGATAACAATGTTGTAAGGTATCATCCGGGATTGTTATTTTCAGCATTGCCTTCTGAACAGCAGGAAACCATGGTAACTTCTTCTGGGAGTTCAGTGCACGGTGGTCATTTTCATCCTTTTTCTGAATATCTTCCATTTCATGTATGCCTTTTCCGTTATTAGCAACTGTTCATATAGAACCAATAATCATAACATAAAAATTAAAATGCTACACAAGACACATCGTATGTCCTACTAGGGCAAAGACAATAATCATGGGCTTGCAAATGCGGAATGACTTTTTCGGCTTCCATCACTATTTTTGGCAAGGTAATAACCACTTTTTTTGCAACGAGAAGTGATCAGTTTGATCCGTTAAACAGCAGGCCGGTGGACGTGGCCAATTTCCGAAGGCGGCGCAATGGTCTCTGCCTTTGAATCAGCATAAGCTGTTGGTTTTATGTCCAAAAGTCAATTAATAAAAATAATAGAATTTATATTTATTGCCAACGTGTTTTAGGAACTTAAAAGGTCACACACAATAGGACAATTAATTGGGATAAATTAGGAATTAATTTATATGATAAATTAATCACAAGGACTTATTAAATAAATAAGATATGTGCTTTATGGTAACTACCAAGATCCGTAGTCTTATACAAATAAGTCACAGACACAAGTTTTGGAATTAATCTGCTGATTCCATAAACCCTAGTTTATAATCCAGAGAACTAGTCGTCATGCTTTGTGTCTGTGTCCTAAAAATTGTTCGTGTGGATACTGTTAGGGGCTGGACACTTGAACAACTTTGTGATCAAACTTCATTATGTGTTAATCGTGATTCCTGAATTAGCTCTTAAAGGTACACAATTCTGAACTATTTATATTATTTATAGATTACAAAGTGATTTTAGTATGTAATTAGTCTGTGTTTATTACGCTGCGTTAGGATTGATTTACTTACAGAAACAACTCTTGCAATTATTACCATATCAACAACGGAAGTAAACATATCAAAAGGTGATGATGACGGTAAGGGTTTCTTTCGGATCATCATATGTAGATGACCACTTTTTTTTTTCAGGAGTAAATATTTTGTAGTTTAACAAAACCATCATCAATAATAGTTTAACAAAACCATTCTCCAGATTTCAAATCAAATTACATGAAAAAAGTTTGCTCAAAATACCTTTTTTTTTCCCTTCCTTGTGAGTGCCTTGCTAAATTGATACATACCCTTAAATCCAGACTTTTAGTTCACCGTAATCTTAACATCGACTACAGTGCCAATAAGAAGAACATTTCCGGTTAGTTTGTAATTGTAAATGTTGGTTCTTATGTAAAAAACCACGTACCATTAAAATGTCACATTTTTCTACCTATATTATAATTGCAAAATAACTTGATTTTAAGTTTGGTAGTCCTTCACTTTAATTACCACACATCATTTAAAATATATATATATATTTTTTTAATCATTTCACTTTCTTCATTTATCTCTACTTTAATTACCACACAACATTTAAATTTAATTTTATTATCACAACTTTATTATCTTGTTCATTGCATCGTTTAATCTTGTGACAACCGTTACACCCAGTTTGGTTTCCTGTTAAAGTCTACCTTCCTTATTTCTCATCTTTGATATCTTTCCATTATTAATTTTCTCTTTTATTTTTTATTTTTAAGATTAATAAATATTTATTGTTTATTATTAGATGAATTAGGATTGTCAAATAACTGATTTTTATAATTCTAATTATTCCAAACTTTTCAATGTCTTTTACTTTTTTTCTATTCTCTGAATTGAATGTTCTTGTTTTTATGAGAATTTAAAGAAAGGTTGCATAAATTAAGAGAATAGTAAAATGTTTGCATATTGAATTCACAAATATATAATTCCCAATTGCAAAATTTTTTTCTCTTTGCTTGAATTTTTTTCTTCAAAGCATATGTCCCTAACCCTCATTAATCTCTCTCTCCATCACAATTTTCTTGAGGTAACTACCTAAATTATGTTTTTTTCATTTTATTTTTATTTTCATCTTTGATCTTTCATGTCTTATTTGTTGTTTTTCCTTTTTGATAGAACACTATGTGTCACTTCTGCTGAAATTCAGAAATGACCATTTTAGTTGATATGTATACTTTTGCACGTAGTAAAATTTGTAAATTAAAATTTATTGTTGGTCTTTTTTTGAATACTATGTAACAGTAAACAAAGTAATTCGTAATGTTTTATTATATAAATTTAAATTTTAAAATGTTATTATATTTCTCTTACGCACAAAGCGCGTCCAATCCATCTCGTTTATTATATATTTCACTATCTAATTTTAACTAAAATGTCACATTGTGGATGCATTTTAGTCCGGAAAATGTCATATATAATAAAAAAATAGATAGTGAAATTAGATGATGAAAAATGTGACATTTATTGAAATATATTCTTTTTTTTTCGAAATAATCGTTCAGTTTTGATTTTCACTTTTTAGTTAAAATTATACAATCATTTTACGACATAAAATAAAATTTAAAAGTTGATAGTGATACTATAGTTATTAGTGAAATCAATCAATCACTCACGTGTTGGAAAACTAACCAAAAATGATATACATTACAATTTAAAAGACCGATTTGTAGTTTAAGACTTTCTCTGTCTCAAATTATATCAAATATGATGACTATTCATTTGGGAAGGAAATTACATCAAACATGCCAATTTATTTCCGACTAAGGGAGCACATTAGGTGTCTCATATTCATCAAACTTTGAGGATTAGAAATGCTATCAATTGAAATTTTGTGTACTACTACAGTCGTATATCTTCAAACTTTGTGGACCAAAATTGTGATTTTCACCACGCAAAATAAATTTCTTTCCAAATTATATATATATTGTCCTGAGTTATTTATTTAAAAACCTCATAAACCCTACACGCAGAGGTTCAAAAGTTGCATTTTCAAGCATAGGGATACTCCGGCTTCAATCTCTCCGGCGTCACTTTCCGGCATCGTCCTCCATGACGACAACGTCTGCCACCGCAAAATTCGTACTCTCCGGCTGCTCACCTTCCTCTTCTCCGTCCACTTCCACCGCCCCCAACCGGCTCCTCCCTTTCACCAACCTCAATTTCAAATGCCGAGCTTTCCATTCCGACCACCGGTTTAATCGCCTCCTGAATTTTCACGCCGGTTATTATAAGAGTCCCGCATTTCTTTGCACTCGTACCGCCACACATTCTCCGTCCTTCACTGCTGGTATGTTCAGCTACGCACCCAAAAAAAGGGGAATTTCATTTTCTTTTTATGCAGTTTGAATCTGCACATTTTTTGCATGAATCAAACGGATAATTGCATCTCTTATGTATTGATAAAAGTAATTTCTTTCCTGGATTATGCATGATATAGATGTGCATTTCCTTTTTAGTTGGTAAAGTGCAAAAGCTTTTACTTAATTGCATTTAGTGGTTGTTATGATTTTGTTGTTTCATTGTTTGAATTCTTTTGAGTACCCAGATGTTTTTATTAGGCTTGAATTTGATGAACAACTATTTGATCATTCAAAAGAAAATCACTTGCATATTTAGTTAGTGCTTTTGAATTCGGGTTCCTGTACTTGGGTTGGATTTGATAAAATTTTGATTTGTTTGTCTTTTGTGATGAATTTCAATACCCAGCTGCCCTAGCTACTGAAGCTTCTGCAAAAATAATTGATGGAAAATCGATTGCCAAAGATGTTAGAGATGAAGTAGCTGCTGAAGTGTCTAGGATGAAGGAGGCAATTGGTGTTGTACCAGGGCTAGCAGTGATCTTAGTAGGGGATAGGAAGGATTCTGCTACTTATGTTCGCAACAAGAAGAAGGCTTGTGAATCTGTAGGAATAAATTCATTTGAAGTGCGCTTGCCTGAAGATTCCCCAGAAGAAGAAGTGCTAAAACATATCAGGAGCTTCAATGATGATCCTGCCGTCCACGGCATCCTTGTTCAGCTGCCCTTACCATCTGTAAGTTGTGGATGTCAATTCTTTTTTAGCTTAATTATTGACCATAAAATATTCAGTTACGCCTCATTTTATTTTATGTTTCCATCAGAACCTAACGTTGGATTTCAACTTAGTCCATGAAATAAATTATGTAGCTGTAATACTGTCCTTCTAGATTTGATTTTTTTTAGTAGAAGCAATTTGTTAGTTAATTGGATAATCGGAGTTATGGGTTTGAGGAAGTGGGTTCTTTTTTAGGTTAGTAGGTTCTTTAAAGTTTGAAATGCTACTCTTTTTATCCGTATGAGTCATTAGGATGTGATTTTGTGTCTTCAACTTTACAGCAGGGTCTGGGACAGTTTACTGTTGCAAAGGTTTTCTTTTTCCACACTTGCAGAGATCATATCTCTTGGCATTTATCACGTGGCTGTTTTTTGTGGTTCTTCTAACTGTATGGAGAACTCCTAATTATTATTGTACTGTGTTATATATTTTATGGTCATTTGGTGATCAAGTGTTCTTTTTGCATCTTTTGTATCTTGTTTCATGTAGGTTTCTCAAACGGTTGACTAGTTTTTGCACATTTAGAGTACTTTTAATAAGACAGAGCATGAGAAAAATTCCTGGCCCCTGTTGTCTTTTTCTGCATGACTTCCTATGTGTAATTTTTATGCTTTTCATGATTCAAGTCATCATTTGTGTTATATCTGAGTAGGATTTGAAGTTTAATATTCTGTAATGATCGACGGTAGAAGAGTTATCTTTGGCCATAGGATTTGATTATTTCACTAACTCGTGTTTTATTGGATTTGGACCAGCATATGAATGAGAAGAAAGTCTTAGATGCTGTTTGCATTGAGAAAGATGTGGATGGATTCCATCCTTTGAATATTGGTCGCCTTGCTATGCGGGACAGAGAACCGTTGTTTGTTCCATGCACTCCTAAAGGATGCTTGGAGTTGTTGCATAGACAAGGTATTGCTATTAAAGGAAAGAGAGCAGTTGTTATTGGCAGAAGTAACATTGTCGGAACTCCGGCAGCTCAACTGCTACAAGTAAGGTTCTTGTCGTAAAGTTTCTGATATGAATCTTGATATATGCTTGTGTCCTTACCCTGTTAAGTTTACTATTTTGTCTCAATATTGTCCAAAGATTTATTATTTACTTTTAACTGTGGATGGTAGAGGGAGGATGCAACTGTCACTGTGGTCCATTCACGAACAACGAATCCTGAAGAATTCACAAGAGAAGCAGATATCATAATTGCAGCTGTAGGGAAGCCAAATATGGTGAGGGGTAGCTGGATAAAGCCTGGTGCAGTTGTTATTGATGTTGGGATAAATCCAGTGGAGGTTTGATATTCTATTCATGACTATTTAAGAAATCTTATTTTGCCCTATGGCTGGTGCTTCCCCTGGCCTACATCTTTGTTTGATTAGGCTCTTAAAGGCTTGGTTTGGTTAATAGCATGCCTTAGTTCTCCTTTGTTGTTCCTTGTGTGTATGAGTAATAACACTTTTTCTGGATGTGCATTTGGGACAGGATGCAAAGAGCTCCCGAGGCTATCGTCTTGTTGGCGATGTTTGTTATGAAGAGGCTAGCAAGATTGCATCTGCAATAACTCCAGTTCCTGGGGGAGTTGGGCCAATGACCATAGCCATGCTGCTATCAAATACTCTCGTCTCTGCGAAGAGGATTCACAATTTCAAGTGACCCTCTGCCTTTTCATCGTGCCTTATACAAAAATAATGGAAGTGACCGGCCCAATTCATAACTAGTAATGTTTTCGTAGCTGCTACTTTGCCTTATAAATTGCATGTGTTTGGCTCACATTACTACCTTTGCCAAACCTTTCGATTCAAGAACTGTGTCTATGAATGCGTAATCGTGGTTTAGACCTAGCTGCGACAGTGGCAGCCTCTTTTGGCTGAGCTTTTTGAAGAGGATGAATATTAGCAAATTACTTTTAGCTAATCAGACAAAGAAGCTGAAGCTCTACGTTACAAGGCCATACAAAGAAGTTGGTGGCTAACCGGGGAAATGCCGCACTATCATGCTAAGGTTGTGTATGCATTGATAGTTCTCTTCCTCTTTGAGCAACACAGGAGATTTTACTAATTTAAGGGTTCGAAACATCTAATGCATTTGGTGCATCAATGATGTTGATTCATCTTAGAATCAAATTGTTTGTATTTTAGAACTGATTTTTTTTGGTTATACTATTCCATTGATGACTCTTTTTTTGTCTTATAAAGTGCTTACTAATTTTTATATTATGGTTCTTTTCTGATGAAATATCATAATGCAAATCTAAAGAATTGCCTTCTCAAAAGGTAATATATTCTGGGATACGAATTAAAATGAGATGATAACAAAAACTGAAAGGAAAATATCAATTTCATATTGGATGTTACTCCCTACCAATTTCTACATAGGAAGAGTACTCTGTTGGTGAATAAAGTGAAAACAGGAGTTCCATTAATTCTGAGATAAATTACATCAAATTGTATGGTTAGCTTCTATTCTCTCTAACACGCCACTGAAGTGGCATATTCCTTTTGGAGATCACAGTAACAGGATCTTTGATACCAATTCTGTTTCTGCAAGACTTCACGACAAACCAAAATACTATTGACAACCACAAGATTGACTTGAGTGCTTAGTACTATAATGAATGATTGTCACCGACAAGATTAATTCTCGCTGCAAACAACTGGTCTACTTCGGCTTTGGTTTGCTTTCGAAGAATCGACACCTGCAAAATTGTAGCAAAAAATAGCACCAGTTTTAGTAAAAACGACTGCGAGAAAGAAGGCTGAATCAATATAATGCAATACCTTGGGACACTTCATATTGTTTGCAAAATAGCCCATCCCAAAGGATGAGGCATTATAACCAGCTGCAATATCAACTGCTCTTAGTATTGCTGAACCTCCTGAAGCCTGCAATAGTAGATAAATCAACACAAGGAAAATGAACGAGTACTTGTGTTACCCAAAAAAAAAATAAAATAAAAAAACATGCCGAGTGTCAGCTTAATCTGACTTACCATGTGAGTGTCGGCTTCAACTAAAAGGATACCAGCAGTTATTTCTATAGAATTTTGACATTCTTGAATTAAATCACGCAATACTTCTCTACATGCAGAGGCAGGACCAGCCTGAGACCTGCAATAGTGACAAAATGTTATTCCTTTTAGGGAAAACGAGTAGCTTTACAACTAGAAAGGGAAGCAAGAAGAGAAGTTTTCCAGCTCAGCATCACAAACTACTGGCCCAAAAGCTGAAAAAGTTAAAATTCAAGCCACATTCTGTTACACTACTTCTGAGGCTTAAGCAGGGTTGAACAGTATGGTCACAACAAATTTCTTCCAAATACGTACAAAGATGATGATATGCAACATTCTCTGGCAATAAGCCCCCTTATTAGATACTCCCCGGAGCCACTAACACAACAGCCAACACTCACGGGCACCCCGGGTGGTCCTTTTGAGGATGCCCAGCAACCGCAGCCATACATTGCTGCCAATCCCACCCGTCCACTCACCTGTTGCAGATAATTTTAGTTAGATTTCAGAAGTCAAAATCCAGTGTCAGTTTCCAGGGAAAAAAAGGATAAAAGAAAAGATCCAGTGTCAGACCAAGAAACTTGTTCATCTAAAAGACTCAGGAAGTCTCTAATCCAGTGTGGACAAAATTCATGACGCATCATGAGTACCATTGACAAAAAGCAAACAGACATTACGACCAACAGTTTCTACATGTCTCATTGTAGATTCAAAGTCCAACGAAAGTAGAAATCTACAATTTTAGGGAGGTAAATCTTCAAGATTCAACATAGTAAGAGCTTTTCCCTCAACTTCTAGCATCCTCAAAACAAATATTAATGGAAAAATAATGTTCAAAGCAGGATACTTATCTACCAAGATCTGTAAAACCTCTTAGGATACAATCAGTCTAGTCTTTTGCATCACCTTAAGAGCAATTCCACCACTTGAGGATCCAACTGCGACATTTCCTTCACAATCAACACATATAACCCCGACCGTGTCCTTAATGCCCTGGTCATCTATGGCGTTATGCGCTGAACTCTGAGAACTGACTTCATTTCCATCAAGTGGAGCCTCTAGTTGTAAAACGGGAGTACAAGTTTGATCACAGATAAACAAGTTCATGGATGACAACATTTCACATGTTTATTTGTACTCTTTTCCTTTTCATTTCCCGTTGAATAAAAATTATACTTCAGAAATGCATCTACGTGGTTGCTCTGATACTTTTACAACAAACTAGCTCAAATATCCATATAAACTAGCCCAAATATCCAAGAAATGAAATTTCCAAGAACATGACATAAAATAAGAAAAGGCAAGCTTTAGGGAATCACAGTTGAGACTATGATACAAAGGTGCCCTTTTGTCTTAGTGTTAAAGTTGAAGTTTACAAAAATTATTTAACTTCTAGAGCATTCTTTTGCTTTGGTTTTTTTGGTTAAAATAAATTCTGAATGTCGCAATGTAATAGGCTAGGTCCTGGTTCTTAATTAACATACAGGTACCTCTTCAAAAAATAAAAATAAAAATAAAAATAAAATTCTGAATGTCAATGAACATTAGCGGACAATTTTAATATGCCAGTCACCTAAGAGAAACTATTGTCCCCTTATTGCTTCTACATTGTAATGATGGTGAGGGAATCATTTCAACTATTAGCAAAAAGAAAAAGTCTGCCTTTGTTAAAAAAAGGAATTCACAACACTATTTACAAGCTCACCTGATACGACAGCCTTTTGGGATAAGCAAGGGACTCTGGCTGAAGCATCAGCCATAGCTTTGGCATCATCAAGCCTTTTTCTGAATATCTTCCATTTCTTGAATGTCTTTTCCGTTATTAGCCACTGTTCATATAGAACCAATAATTATAACATAGAAATTCAAATTCTACACAAGACACATAATATGTCCTAGGACAAAGACAATAATCATGGGCTTGCAAAATGAGGAATTACTTTTTCGGCTTCCATCACTGTTTTTGGCAAGGCAATACCCTTGGACATTGCCCATCTCCGAGCTCCTTCACCAACCAAGAACCTAAGTCCAAAGTTCAATTTCCTTTATACAATGCACAATGGAGAAGTAAAGAGATTCCGCAAAAATAGTCCACAGAAATTAAAAAAAACCATACATGGGATTTATCCTACCAAGCACAGATGAACCCAAGGCCTGTTCCTTAGCCAGTAGTCCAGCAATTTGGATGGCGTTTCTCACACCTGACAACCAGTAAACACCACCACCATCTTCCATTTAGGCACTATGTAAGCCGCAATTTGCATATGAATTGAAACCATGAATACTAATCAGAGCAAACGGAAAGTTTTAACTGAACTGTACACAACAATGCATTACACTAGTGAATAAAAAATGCTACACAAATTCCGTCATTCCAAGTACCTGGCACTGCTCCAACAGCACCAAAAGCTCCAGAACAACCGTCCATGACACTGGCATCGGATTCTACATGTCCATCCTCGGTCAAATTTGAGCCTCTCCCAGCATTTATATTAGGATCATCCTGTTGCCAAACAGGATCATCGTCAGTATACAACAATGATAAATCGGCAGGCCATTTCCAATCATAATAATAACCACGAATAACCAAGGCAAAATTGCACTTAACAACTAGCACACAAAACTATTCCTATCAGTAATCAACTAAAGAGACCATGATTTTTGCCCAGTAAAATTTCATAATATATGTTACTGAGTTGAGAAGAAAAGAAGATAAACCTCCAATACTTGAATTGCAGCAACCACAGCATCTATACATCGGCCGGCGCCCTAAATCCACGAACGTGTAAGCGTTATTGAAGACACTAATTGCATAAAAACTGCAAAACAGAGAAAGGAAAAAAGAATAAGGGAGAGAGATGGAGAGACCTGTCGGAGAACGGAAGAAGCGGCAAGACAGGCGCGTTTCATGGCGAAACGGATAGCTTTCTCGTCGGACGGCGGGTGATATCCGGCGCCGACATGGAGGGCGACGAAGAATCTACGGTTCTGATCAGGTACTTCGCAGGCCATGCTGCTTCGATGGATTCGACAACTAATGGATTCAGTCGTAAGTCCAAAATCAAAGATTCTGTTGGGTTGACTTTTTTAATCTGCTACGTATTATTGTCAGATTGTACAAATAACATTTCTTTTTTCGTAGGTATTGACGTTTATGGTCCGTTATTATTCCAATATTGGTATGTTTCCGAACAAAGCAATATTGACGATTCAAGCATATTTATTTCAATTTTATTTCGTTTTCAAATTTATAGATGTCTAACGTTGACAACACTAATTAATTCTCATTGCTAAATCGTAAGTATTTTGATAGGCCAGAGTGAAACAACCACAAAAAAGAAAGGTTATTTTTATTTTTATTTTTATGGAAATAAACATGACTGAAAAATGGCTTTTTATTGACATTTTTGCGTCGGAAAAATTCTATATAGATGCCAGAAATTGATTTGGTTATTATATTCATAACTGTCAATTATGGTGTAGGAAGTATAGTATTATGGTGCAGAGAAATTATTCAGTGCAGCTATTATACCCATAAGATTGTGCAGCAAGACACAATAATAAAAATAAAATAGTAATTTTGGAGGAAAAATATTTTCTACGAGAGTTATATCACCAAAATAGGAGGTGCTAGTACTTGTCGCACTAAAAATCAAGATTTAGCAACTGTATCCAATAATTTTTCTATGGTATAGAAAATATTTTGCCTTCCTAAATTCTTGTGGTACGATTTGTACCAAAAGGCATTTTAATCGTTTTTATGAAAGTGTGTAATCAAGAGACGTTTCAAGTACGCAATTTACGAGCCGAAAAAATGGCAAAATTCTTACGGTTCCATTTTGGGATGAAAATCGTCATACAGTTTGTTATTTCCGAGGTCTTACAACATGGATCAACAAGACCTCACTAGTGATCTTAATGGGTAAAAATGGCAAAATTTTACAGCTTTCAACACGCATAAGAATGGAAATACAGCAAATACAGCATACAGTCAGGAGGATCTCTGTACATGCTCAGCTATCCGCATTCCCCTTCGCCAGGAACAGAGTTGTGCATTGATTCAAGGTGTCTGTCGGACTCGTCACTGATGATAACACTTAGTTAGCTCGAAACATAAACAAATGGTAAAATGACTGTAAGAGAGGTATGTACATTCATCATTAACATGAACCATGAATCTATTGTATTTTTCCGCAACGTTTGGCTCAACTCTTAAAAATAAGAAAAATGTGTGTCATTACATGTACTATGCAATGTGTGTAAGAATGCAGGGATGATTCATTATATACTTTGTCAACATTAAGCATTCTAGTCAGCCTAAAAGGAAAACTCCTACAGCATTGAAGAAAAACAGAAGTCTAAAAGCAAGCAATATTCAGATAGCGGGAGAAAAGGTTGAACCAGCAAAACAGACCTGTGTGTCCTACGGTTCTCTCAGATTCATAGATCTCATAGTCATTTCCTCCCTGTTCAAGAAACAAGAAGCTATTAGTTTGGTCCTGCAAGATCCTTTTTGTTTTTGACTTCCTTGTTGCAGAAGAGGGAAGCAGCACAATTGAAGTTGGACAAGTAATCCAAAAAGAAAGATTAGAGGGAAGGTAATGAGTAGTTATTATGAATCAACCTTGTATGTCTTGTCTCCAAAGAAGTGGATCTCTGTAAACTCCTCAAGGTATCTCAAACAGTATGTCTTATCCCAGCCTTGAGGGAAAACCTGTAACATACAATTGTCCAATATCAACTTTCAGTATTGTTTGTCTTTGCTATTTCTAATTATTAAAAAGGGTAACTATGTGGAGATGAAATAGCACCATTTCCACTCACATCAAAGCTGATTTGTCCACCGATTGAAAAAGTGAGGTTAAAATGCGCAAACCTCTCTTTTAGCACTGAAACCATCTTCGGACGGATGTTGTGAATCTAGATGTATTGTCCCAAGTTTAGTTCCAATAATACGAAACAAAAGTGTATCAGAAACTCATGTTCTGCCAGGTAAGAACAACAGAATAGTACCTTATCATACTTCTCAAACTCATCTCGTTCTTCCTGACTGCAATTCCTCCCGATTGGTGACACGTTAAGCATTCCACTACGGAACTCGATAAATGTTCCCCTGGAGAGAGGAAAGAGAAAAGCTGAACCTGGATAAAGTTCTCTTGAGAGAAGGGAAAAAAGGGTAAAAGATAACCAGTTGTTTTACTATACAGACATTACTTGTTCACCTTTTTATTGGAATGTCCAAATCAGCAATATAATGTAGCGTGAAATTAATAAATTCCTGCAAAGCAAGCAGAAACAAATGAGTTTTCTCAAACACCCTTCTCTTCTTAGGTCCATCTTGGCCATAACAATTTATTGGTCATTTAAACATTTCCAAGATCATGTAAAATCTAAACTAGAAGTATACTGGGTATTCCCAGTAGAGTTAACTGTTCAAAACATAAGTTTATGAACACAGCAGACTCTACAAATTACCTTGAGTTTCTCTTCACCAAGAAATGTCTTCAAACTCTGCACAAAATAACAGGCGTTTGTCAAAGAAATTAGACTCAAATACAACGAAAATCATGCACCTGACATGCATATCAGGTCCCAAGCTTCTACTCTAGTTGATGCAGCACCAAACGTGGTGGTTAGGAAAATCAGAACTTAGGCTGATTAAAGAATAGTATGCAGCGGAAAACTAAAAGAATCTGTAGGGAACAAGGTTGAAATCGCAGGAAGAACAGAGATAAACTGTAGAAAAAGAGAAGAAAACATAAGAATCACTCTTAGGTCCCTTTGGCATCACACCGCAGGATTCCTAGGCATCACACCAAGGGTTTAGTTGAGTCACACAACTATTGCAGAGCAAAGCTTATTGCAGGAATCTTACTAATCAACATCTCCCAATTATCCTCATATGAGGTACATATAAATAGGCCCAAAACTTAACCTAAACCAAAGGCAACTAGGATTCACACCTAATTTCCTTTTTATTCCAAAAAATCCTGCAGCATAGCTAATATACTAAAATACCCTTTCCTAACTATTATTACTGAAGATAATAAACTAATTAAATTGCTGCTTAATAAAGGTTTAACTTAACCAAAGTCCCAAAACTTTGGTTCCTTCCTTGGATCATGATGATCCTGGGCATAAGAATAGAATATCCTAATGATAGAGTTCTTAGGCCCTTCTTTGTCCACATTACTAGTGTAAACAAAGAAACTTTCCTCTATGCCCTACTTCTCTTTTTGAAGGATAGGAACCCTGATAACTACACTCTAACATGCTATGGCTTAGTCTTCTAACGTGAGAGTACGAAAGTCGGATAACACAGTAACAACTATATGGGGTCAAACCTCAGCCACTAAGCTAGAGAAGTCAAAACAATTAACTTCGAGGTTACGGCATTCACAATCTCTACCAGAACTATGACTACAGTATGATATGTAAACCCACAAACTTGTTCCTTCTCCGTTTTCTCAACACGAATATCACACTATTGCTTTGTAAGAAAGAAGTGGAATGATGATATCATTCATTTTTCTTAATGTAAGCTCAAACTAAATGTACACATTGAAGAGTGAAAACTTATGTATTCTAAACTTCAAAATCAAATTGAAAGCAAAGAGTGGTCTTGGTCTTAAAGGTACCTCTTTTCCAATTAGCTTTCCAGCCTTATGGGCTACAAGACCGTTTTCAGAGAAAACATAATCATAGTCATTAATAACTGCAAGGAAAAAACTTTCATTAGCGATTTGAAACGGTCATATAAAAGTTAACTGCGAAAAGAATTAGGCCAGATATCAGCCAAGTGGATAAGAGAAAAACCAGGTAAAAATAAACTAAAGATCCCAAAAAGGTTGAAGAAAAACTATATCATAGAAAAATGGTGAGAGCAAGAGAGCTAGAGAAAGCACGGAAGAGAAACTAAGAGAAATGAACCTTAAAGCACCTATCACTATAACAACACAGAGGTTAATACAACAAGAGCTATATGTTCTTCGCTCCGCATTGTTCTTTCAGAACACAAATTCTCATTTAGGTTTGAATATAATGACTTCTCTATTAGTCTATTTCAACCTTTTTCACGTCTTCCCTTCCCCTTCAGTTTTAATTCGGATAAATGCTTGCCGTTTTCTACACGTCTACCAAAGCATCTAAAGGTCTCAAACAATTTTATGTAAAACAAGGCGGAAGCATAAAACACCATCACAAGAAGCTCGACTATAAGAGGTACACAGAAGGAGGAGCTCTACTATAAGATCCTCATAATAGACACATATCGAGAGCTGCATGAGCCTCACCAGTACTTCCAAGCTGTTCTGAAATCTTAACAAGGTCAGAACCCCCGACCACACCAACAGTAACAACCTGCAGGCACGAAGAGCTGGTGAATTGCATAACATTTCATAGGAGAAACTCCAATATTATGGAAAGAAACACAAAAATGTATCTTGAAGGGAGAAACGGAAATAACCTTCCTCAATTTCTGCATGAATTCTAACATTTCAGGTGTAGCCCCCTGAAAGTGGAGCAGAGAAAGAAAGTCACAAACAATGACAAATCACCACAAATTCTAAGGCGAAAAACGATGTCTAATTTCAACCAATAATCTAAACAATCAGATCGACATAGATCTAAATATATGATTATAAATCAATGATCTTCAAGCAAAAGAGGTAATATAAAAACAAATTGTTCTAAAACGGTGTCGGCTACTTACATTCAAATCATTAACATAAAGAGAAACTTAATTATCATAACTTTAAATCGTTCTTTCAACCAGGAAATCTTTTAAAAATGAGCAACGCAATAAGTAACAACATTCACCGTTTTGTGCATCAAGTCTGCATACCTTCCGTGGAGCGGTGAGTGTGCCATCGACATCAAAAAGAGCGATTACACCAGGCTTCAATCCAGCCATTATAAATCAACCACTGCATTCATATTTCGAACCCAAAAATAGAATAATAAATAAAGATACATGAGTAAACCCTAAACATCAAGGAAAATTCATGAATTCAACTAAAACAAGAATGTGGATATACTAGCAAAAAATCGGTGCTTTCGCCGATTCGGGTGGTCCTATACTGCCAATTATAATCATAAAAACAAAAATCAAAACTGACCATGGGAATCTACTTAAAGAAGCAATAGGGATGAACCCACCTAATCAATTAAAATGCTTTGCTCCTTTCTACGGGAAGCTTCAAATGATGAGTGTGGTGGAGGGCTGTAATATCCAATGAGGGTACTAGAGTAAATGATCTGGGGCTTTGCACTAAATCAGATAGAAAATGGGGAAAAGGGTATCCAATAATGAGGTCTGCTGAATAAGAATTAGATTACAAATGGGTGAGCCGAGAAGATAGTATCCTACTGGCAGATGGATATGCAAAGAAATTATGCGGTAAAAAAGATCAAATTTTTATTTGATCCCCTTTGATGAGGCATTATTAACTAATATACACACGACATTAAATTGATCTCTTCTTCGATTTTTCTTCTAAAAAAGAATGTCAATTTAAGCAAGGCACCGCAAAATATATGAGTCATGCAACAACAAACTAAGTAAAGCAATGATGAATCAAAATAAAGGATGTAAGCATGTTGGCATTTATTACTGAACTAAATTTACAGTTGTTGTGGATTACCCTTAGCTGATGAAGCGCAAGAAGGAGACTTTGATCCAAGATTGAATGCTTGAGTTGAGAGCTCTTTTACCAATGGCTATAAAGCTTGGAATTGAAAGGTTTTCAGATAAAGAATTTGGGGATCTGAGGGAAGAAGAATATAGTGTGTGTGAGAGTGAGGACTTTTTTTTTTATCGTTTGTTACACTCAAAGTTGAAGAATGAAGTTTCCGCTAGTTTGGAATTTTGGATCGAAATTCGTCCGTAATGTTGGGAAAAAAGATTTAAAACATGGGGAAAAAAAAGGTTTTGAGATAACATAATACGGAATATCCAAAAATAAGATTCGCTAACTAAATCTTGCAAACAAAACAATAGTGTTGTTACTATCATCACTATTTTATATAACTTGTATGTGTCCCGCGCTTTGCACGGGTTTGTCAATGTTGAAAATTTATCTTCTCAAAGAATTAATTTGATAATGTAGTTATTAATATTTCTTAAAATCGTAAAATTTTTTTGATTAATCAATTTTAGATCAAAATAAGAGGTATTGATATTATTTATGAGATGTATATTTGTAAGATCTGGCAAAAAATATTACAACAAAAATTTTGAAAAGTTGTATAATAAAAATTGTCACCACTAACTAATGTTATGTTTGGATTAAAAAATATATTAAAAAATAAGTAAATTATATCTAGATGCCTATGGCTTATTTATAGGCAAGGGGACTTTGGGGATTAGACACAATTAATCGTACTTGAAAATGTAAAATCGATAAAATTGAAGACAAAGTAATACATAAATAGAACTTTAAGGGCTAAAATAATAATAAGTTAAAAGTGATGCTTGATGGTCTCAATTAAGTTGATTATCCTTCTTTCCTTTAATATATATAATGATTTCAAAATTTTGTGAAAGGAGATACGTAGTAATTTCTTAGCAAAATGAATATAAATCACTCTAGACAAATTCTTTTTTTTTTTCTGTGCAATGAAAGAAACAATCCCCTTAAAATCTAAATTATTACAGTTTATATATATGCAATTCCGATAATTCTAGACAAACTCTTACTAACGAGTTTAGACACTCCAAAAACCATTCATCATATTTGTGTCCGTGCAACAAATATGTTTGTATAAGACCTTCTTCATTCTCAAGTCTCAACCTCGAGTGATTTAACTATCAAATTATTGTCTTTATTTAATATGTTTGTATAAGACCCTCTTATTCATTCTTGATTAGTAGCTAGCTATGAATAAGATAGGGGTATTCTTATTTCATATGATTAAAAAAAAAAAAAACTTTTAAATCAAGAATACAATTTTAGGATAGAGGGGTATCCTTACACAGATTTATCAATCTACATTGAAAATAACCCAAATCCTCTAACACAGTACATTGCGCAGGCTGCTACTTGAACATTGCTCATTCATAACAACCATTTTTTTTGTGCTCATCTAAAATCCCTTTTTAACTAATAAGTGGTCACTTCTTTTCCTAAAAAATATGAGCCAGAAGGGCCACCATTAGGCAACAATGCAAGCATCACAGGAGCTTCAGCACCTTCTGCTGAAGTAAGAAATCCATTGCTGCAGGTTATATCAGTTCTGCAGTAGCCTGGACAAACACAATTGATGCAGAAATTCGGGTATTTCTTCGATAGGACCCTTGTATAGGCTTGAGGGCTGCTTTTGACACTTTGTATGATGCCAAAGTAGTTGGCCAACCTTTAGCTTCTGCTGTGCCCTCCTTGAAGTCTTTCAGAAACTGTGCTACCACCTCATCTACTCTTTCTGCAGTCAGGTTTTCGCCGTCACTAAGCACCCTTTTAGCCCATTCATTGGATAAGAGCTGAAAATGTAAGCACAAATGTGTTGAGATTTAAGAGAAATTAGTGAATTCGACAACGTTTACTGAAAGTAAAATCTTCAGATTGTGCTACAATTCGAGGTACTGTTAGAGTTACCGCAAGCTTCCCCATGGAAGAGGAGATGTTTACAATTCTAGGCGAAGGAGATGACTGCATGAGTGAGATAAATGCTTCAGCCAACTGTTTTGGACCATAGTAGTTAGTTTTCAGGCACTCTTCTGCTAAATCATAAGTGTAAACGATTTTTCCAGTTGATTTCATCTCAGGTACTTCCTGTATCAATCAAATAGAATACAACAGAGAATCAGGGATGATGAGTTTTGATTTTGAGTTCAGAAATACAAAAGTTTCATTGTTCTGAATCCGAAATGTAGCAGAAAAGAGGTAAACCTGTCACAGGAGACTTACTTGACCAGTCATGCTGAGAGCACTTTCCATTATTGTCTCATGAAGAACTGAAACATCTCCTTCTACTATTATCCCCCCGATTCCGGCATTGTTAACCTGTGAATAAGTATCCAATTAAAATTTCAAAAAGCTTCATACCACGAACATCATAAGCACCAAATATATTGCAAGATCAGATTCCACTTTTTAACCTCATTTACTCATCTGTTTGAACTTTCTAAACCACAACATCAACTTCTATGAAGTGTTACAAGTACATAACTACCTACCTTAATCTTTTTTGGTGCTTTACATATTCAATCAAATAATACAATAACCAACATGTACATGATCAATTTGAAAGAACTTATGCAAATTTTTCATTCTCATTCTGCCATTTCATGCCAAGTTCAAGGTGGATATAACATCAATAATGGAATTGGAGAAAAGGGTCAGCAGCTTTTACCAAGATATCAAGCTTTCCAAACTTGGAATTGATGAATTCAACCAGGGTGGCTATGCTATTTGGGTCCATCACATCAAGCTGATGAAAGATCAAATTTTTATCAGAAATCCCAGAATCTTTAACAAGCTTCTCCACAGCTTCATTGCCTTTCTTCTCATCCCTGGCTGTTAGAACAACTGTAACTCCTTGGGAGGCCAATTGTTTACAGATTTCAAAACCAATTCCCTTGTTTCCTCCTGTAACCACTGCATACCTGCAAAACTAGTCTGATTGAAGCCCATGTTTCATGTTAACAAACTAAAGTACAGAGTGAAATCACAGAAGTTGGGAAAATCTTTTTACACACCTCGTTTCTGCCATAGCTAAAGCTTAAGCTGGGTTGAAATTTTGTAAGTTCTGTCGTTGAATGTTTAAAGCAAGATCATTAGCCTGCCAGAAGGTATGAAAGGTAGAACTAGAAAAAGTGTCCACTATATATGGTCAAGAGACAAATCCAAACACGTGGTTTGGTTGATTGTATACTTTTTCCTTTCAATTTTGAATGGTGTAATAATTTGGAGAATTTTGAAAGGACATGTTATTGGCTGAAAATAAAAGTCGGGTTTATTGAACTATTAGAAGTAATTTGTTTTTGATGTTTTGTTTTTTTTAAGCAATGAAGACTTGAAGAGGATGAACCATCCACATAGAAATGAATTTTTCCGCCAAATTTCGTATTAATAAATCTCGGTTTCATTTAATTTAGAGAAACAAATTGAACAATTATTTTAGGACGTATGAGAAGTCGAATTTACGACTCCAAAGCTGTCTTTCATAAAACAAATCCACATCCAGCAAGGTACATCACACAGTTACTAAGATGAGCATTTTTCATTCAGCAATACCATTTTTTTATGCTCATCATAAACTTCTCTAAAAAGTTGTCACTTCTTTCCCTAAAAAGTATGAGCCAGAAGGGCCACCATTAGGCAACAATGCAAGCATCACAGGAGCTTCAGCACCTTCTGCTGAAGTAAGAAATCCAGTGTGGCAGTTTATATCTGTGCTGCAGTAGCCTGGACAAACACAATTGATGCAGAAACCCGGGTATGTTTTCGATAGGATTCTGGTGTACCCGTTCAGGGCTGATTTCGAAACTTTGTACGCTGCTATAGCAGTTGGCCAACCTTTAACTTCTGCTGTGCCCTCCTTGAAGTCCTTGAGAAATTGAGCTACCACCTCATCTACTCTTTCTGCTGTCAGGTTTTCGCCGTTGCTCAGCACCTTTTTCGCCCACTCATTGGATAAGAGCTGCAAATGTATGATCAAATAAATGTCCGATATTTATGAGCTGAAACTTTTGTATTCAGATTGAACTTCAGTTTGAAGTATGGAAAAGAGTTACCTCAAGCTTCCCCAAGAAAGAGGAGATGTTTACAATTCTAGGCAAAGAAGATGACTGCATGAGCGGAATAAATGCTTCGGTCATCTGTTTCACACCATAGTAGTTGGTTTTCAGGCACTCTTCTGCCAAATCACAAGTCTGAATGAGTTTTCCAGTTGATCTGATCTCAGGTACTTCCTGCATCAATCAATTGATTGAGTACAAGATTTCTCATTTATCTGGTGAGGAATAGATGATTAACCAACAGAATCAGGTATCATTTGTGGTTGAGTTACCAAAGATATGTCATCAGAACCTCACTTGCAAAATGTAGCAGAAAACAGTTAAAACTGTTAAGAGGCAGAGAAGACAAGACTTACTTGACCAGTAGCCCTGAAGAAATCTGCCATGATTTGGTCATGATAAATTGAAACATCTCCTTCTACTGTTACCCCTCCAATCCCCGCATTGTTAATCTGTGAAAAAGTTCCTGATTAAAGTTTCTTCAAGCTTGAAACGTTGAACATCATCAGCACCAAATATATATGGCTAGTTGGTCTGACCAGATTTCAGTAATTAACCTTTTTTACAGGTGAGATTTCAATCTTTTCTCGGCTGTAATAATTCATTCAATAATAAAATTACATTCCCAGTCAAGTCCACTTATTTTGATGTATCTCAAATGAAATATTTTTATCCATTCTCATTATGCCCAAGTTCAAGAAGACTGTAACATCAATTATGGAATTGGAGAAAAAGGTCAGCAGATTTTTTTACCAAAATATCTAGCTTTCCGAACTTGGAATTGATGAAGTCAAAAAGAGTGGCCATGCTTTTGGGGTCCATCACATCAAGCTGATGAAAGATCACATTTTTATCAGAAATCCCAGAATCTTCAACAAGCTTCTCCACAGCTTCATTGCCTCTCTTCTCATCTCTGGCAGTTAACACAACAGTAACACCTTGAGATGCTAACTGTTTACATATTTCGAAACCTATTCCTTTGTTTCCCCCTGTAACCACTGCAATCCTGCAAAAAATAAACACATATATAAGAATCAAATCTGACTGATTGAAACCTATTTTTATTGTTTACAAACTAAAGGGACCTCAGGGCTCAAGAGTGACACACCTCCTTTCTGCCATAGCTGAAGCTTAATTAAGTTAGGTCAGATTTTTGTGAGTTATGGCGCTGAATGTCCTCCCCCTCAATTTATAGTAGGATCATTGGCAGTATATATGGTGATGAGGCATCCTGTTAATCCTAACTTGGCTTTGGTCAAAGGTTGATTTTAGATTTTTCTGGGTTTCTTCTTTTTTGACATGAGGATGTTGTTTTTTTAATGAAGTTCAAGTTATTAGTTTTACAGATAAAAAAAAAAATTAAGAATATTATTTTAGGCCGGTGGAGTAGAGATTTTGTAACTTGAGTAACAAAAAAGAAAATCCCATGATGAGATTTCCCAACCTTCATAAAAGAAATCCAAATCCAACACAGGACATTTCAAGGCTGCTAAAATGAACATTTGCTTATACATAATCAGCAATTTTTATGCTCATTATAAAAAAGCCATTTCAAATTTTTATCAAAAAGATGTCACCGCCTTTCTCGAAAAAAATAAGCCAGAAGGACCACCATTGGGCAACAATGCAAGCATCACAGGAGCTTCAGCACCTTCTGCTGAAGTAAGGAATCCAGTGTTGCAGTTTATATCCGTTTTGCAATATCCTGGACAGACGCAATTGATGCAGAAATCCGGGTATCTCTTGGCTAGGAGCCTTGTATAGGCATTGAGGGCTGATTTTGCAACTTTGTATGCAGTAAAAGCAGTTGGCCAGTTTTTAGCTTCAAATGTGCCATCCTTGAAGTCCTGGAGGAATTGTGTTACTACCTCATCTATCTTTTCGTCTGTGAGATTTTCGCCATCGCTAAGCACCCTTTTCGCCCATTCATTGGATAAGAGCTGAAAATGTAAGAATGAGTATGTTGAGATTATGGGGTGGTAGCGAATCCTACATCCGTTTATTGAGAAGCAAATGAAATAGTTACCTCAATCTTCCCCAAGAAAGAGGATACATTAACAATTCTAGGCAAAGAAGATAACTGCATGAGTGGAATAAATGCTTCAATCAACTCTTTCACACCATAATAGTTGGTTTTCGCGGATTCCTCAGCCAAATCATAAGTCTGAATGATTTTCCCTGTTGATTTCATCTCCGGTACTTCCTGCATCAATCAAAATCGATTTAGAAACTTAAAGATATACATGATCTCTCTTTAGCTGACGATAATGCCTACCACATGAGTACATTCTGATACCGGGATTATATGAAACTTTGATTTGCCAAAGAGACATCAGTTAGAAACGCGCAAATTCATGGTCGATTCATTTCTAAATATGGCAGGTAACATGTAAATTGCTTAGGCAGAGAGAACTTACTTGACCAGCAATCCTGAAAACATCTCCCATAATTATGTCATGGATAATTGAAACATCTCCTTCTACTGTTAGCCCTCCAACTCCTGCATTGTTAACCTGAGAAGAACCAACAATATGGCAAATTGCTATGATTTCAGTGAATAACCGTATTTTCTCGTTGATTGAACTTCTAGACGACCACATCTACTTCTGTGAAGCGTTACATACTTGCATTATATAAGTTATATAACTACCTACCTTCCCTCAATCTGTTCTTTAGCAGCAAAATTTCAATCAAGACTTCGATAAGAAACTCCGCAGGTTATTAGTTTTATACTTCCTGTCAAATCCTCCTAATCTGGTTGGAAGTTGCATTTTCTCAAATTCTTGCACATTTCTGTTTCAATATTGCATTCTCATACTGCCATTTTAGCTCAAGTTCAAAAAGGATATACCTCAATGAGGGAATTGGAAAAAAAAAAAAAAAAGGTTAGCAGGTAGTACCAAAATGTCAAGCTTTCCAAACTTGGAATTGATGAAGTCAACCAGGGTGGCTATGCTATCTTGGTCCATCACATCAAGCTGATGAAAGATCACATTTTTGTCTGAAATCCCAGAATCTTTAATTAGCTTCTCCAGAGCTTCATTGCCCTTTTTCTGATCCCTGGCTGTTAGAACAACTGTAACACCTTGAGATGCCAACTGCTTACATATTTCAAATCCTATCCCTTTGTTCCCCCCTGTGACCACTGCAATCCTGCAACCAAAGAACATTTCTTACAAAATAACATCTTTTTAACAGATGTTTAAGGTTTGGTTACAAACTCAAAAGTTCAGGAAAAAAGTTACAGACCTCTGTTCTGCATGATTTGCTGTTACTTCTGCCATATCTAAAGCTTAACTTCCGTCTTAGTTTTGTAAGTTCTGGAATTCTCAGCTTGATTTTTTCCTTTTAGGGAATTTTCCTGATCATTTTTCCATCTGTTGCCGGCTTGCACGTGAGATTGAAGCAGGATTCTCGCATCACGTGAGTTGGTTTTGTTTGTTTAAGGTTTTTTTTTTCTCCCTCCAGAAAGGTGGGTTGGTTCTTTCAAGGAATATTTAATATCTTATATATCTTGAGGACAGATAAGTTGATTCACCAAATTTGTTGTTTCTAGAGTCACAAAGGGTTGAGAATAACTAAGTAGACTAAACCAAACAAATGCATAAGAAAATGTTCATGGTAAATGACTAAATGGTATGGTACCAAAATTATGCAGGCTGTTGTTAGGGTGGCTTATCTTGAAATATATTATTGTAACTCTTTCTTTGTAACCAAAAAAAAAAAAAAAAAAAAAAAAAGAGAGAGAAAAAACAAGAAGGCTTCTGAACATAGAACAAAGTAATACAACTCCAATGACAATACAATATTTTAGTACTGAAAATAAGCATTGCTTATTCATCAGCAAATAGTATTTGTGTACTGATCATAATTAAAAGTCTATTTCATTAAAATGTTGTCACCTCCTTCCTTAAAAAGTATGAGCCAGAAGGGCCACCACTAGGCAACAATACAAGCATCACAGGACCTTCAGCACCCACTGCAGAAGTAAGGAATCCAGTATTGCAGTTTATATCTGTCTTGCAGTAGCCTGGACAAACACAATTGATGCAGAAATCCGGGTATTTCTTCGATAGAACTCTTGTATAACCATTTAGGGCTGCTTTGGAGACTTTGTATGGAGTGAAAGCAGTTGGCCAACCTTTGGTTTGTGCTGAACCATCCTTGAAGTCCTTCAGAAACTGTGCTACAACTTCATCTACTCTTTCTTCTGTTAGGTTTTCGCCGTCGCTAAGTACCCCTTGAGCCCATTCATTTGATATAAGCTGAAACAGTATGAACGTATACGATGTAGTAAACATTCAGAGAAAATAACCTGATGATGAAGGATCAAAAGTTGATGTCATAGTTTCAACAAAGATCATGTATCATAATTTGTGACAAGACACACATGAATGTTTATAGACTACTCCATATGGCATTGTCATGGTTGAACATAAAGGAATCAGCAGAACTTTTCAAGTTTCAATCTTAAAGGATTGAAACTGAGCTGCCTTTTTGACTTTTGATTTTTCATTACATGAAAGACTGACAAATCTGAAATAGTATAGATAATTAGAAACCACCACGAAAAGTGTTTCTGAAGAGTTACCAAGAGCTTCCCCAAGAAAGAAGATAAATTCACAATTCTAGGCAAAGCAGATGACTGCAAGAGCGGAATGAATGCCTCGGTCATGCGTTTGACACCATAGTAGTTCGTTTCCAGGCACTCTTCTGCCATTTCATAAGTCTGAATGATTTTTCCATCTGATTTTATCTTTGGTGCTTCCTGCATCAATCAAAATGCATTTGAAACTTCTTAGGAACAACTTACCAATGAATTTAGAGTTCATTAGTCACTTTCAAATCAGGTATAACATAGACTTACTTTTCCGTGAACCCTGAACTCGTCTCCTGAAATGATCTCTCGGAGAATTGTCGCATCTCCTTCTACCTCCAGTCCAATAACTCCCGCATTGTTAACCTGCGAATTCAAAGAGCTTCAAAATTAACTTATAGAACATCATCAACACAAACAGCGCCTAAAAGTTATCTTAAAGATATTGAACTAATCCAATATATGGGATAAACACATCAAAGTATGCAACTATTGAAAATAACATCAAAACTGAAAGTTTTTTTTTTTTAATCCATCCCATCTTCTACTAAGAAACATCCTGATCATAATGTTTACAGATGATCATGATCCACATATCCAACCTCAAGTCAGATGATCATCACATAAGTTACACACAATAACTTCAATCTATTTTTAACCTTCAATCAGATATTCAATATATGGGCCAAAGTACAATTTAACTCCATTTCCAAGTCTGATGATTTCGCGAATTTCAAATTAGTAGAACCCTTTTCGCCTCAGATTAGAGCACATGTACATTTTTTTTTTTTTTTTTGGAATATAAGGAGAACACAAAATCAACGCCCAATATCTAACCAAAGCACTTAACCAAATGATACTAAAATCTTATTCTGCTTTGTTATTCCAAGTTTGAGGAGGATGTAAAATCAAATATGGGAATTTTGGAAATTGGAGGCAAAAGATAGTACCAAAATGTCCAGCTTTCCAAACTTGGACTTGATGAACTCAACCAGGCTGGCTATGCTATCCGGGTTCATCACATCAAGCTGATGAAAGATCACATTTTTATCAGAAATCCCAGAATCTTTAAGAAGCTTCTCCAGAGCTTCATTGCCTTTCTTCTCATCCCTGGCTGTTAGAACAACTGTAACTCCTTGAGATGTCAACTGCTTACATATTTCAAACCCAATTCCTTTGTTTCCCCCTGTAACCACTGCAATCCTACAAGAAAGAAAATCACATGTACAAACGAATCGACAGATTGAAAACCCATGATTAATGTTACAAACTAAAGAATATCAGAGCAACCCAGAAAACAGAATGGAAAAAAAAAAAAAAAAAGAAGCTTTTACTCACTTCTGTTCTGCCATTGCTGAAGCTGAAGTTGTTCAGTTGCAAAATCTTTTAAATACTAGCGTTGGATATTCTCACCTTTAATTTATTTATAGTACGATGAAACCATAATTCCACTTTGGTGAGCGGTGAGGAGATTTTTAAATTCCATGTAACCCACACACGTGACTTGGACTGTATAAACAAAAGCGTGATAGCTTCGTTTTTGTCTTCCTTGAAAGCATTTGACACCTCAAATGCAAATTAGAAAAGTCCAAGATGCGCCGATAGTATTAAGTGGTTTTGGAGCTTTTGGTAGTTCTTGTTGATTGGAGAATTAGGCCAAGTATAATTAGTATGACTGTTGACCATATAGATATTTGAGTATTTTCTCTTACTTTCAAGTTTTTAACATTAGCTTCATCTTCATCAAATAGACAAAGAACTGAAACTTATCACAAAACACTTGTGAATACTACCTCCCATTGTTATTATGGAAGAATCAGTGGGAGAAAATATCAAGAAAAGGTGATATACTTGAAAGAATATTTTCCTATTTTATCAAAACATATCAAGTACAGATTTTCTGATTGTTTTGTTAAAGCGCATCTGTAGTTGATCAATCATTGTACTATATTAAGTAACCGTCTTTGATTTACTGTGTTTCTGTTTTCTGGGTTTTTTTTTTTTGGGTGGCAGGTATGCTGTAGTGACAGGGGCAAACAGAGGGATTGGATTTGAGATATGCAGACAATTAGCTTCTCATGGGATTACTGTGGTGTTGACTGGTAGAGATGAGAAAAGGGGTCTTGAAGCGGTCCAGAAGCTCAAGGAATCTGATGGCTTTTCTGATGATATTCTGCTCTTTCATCAGCTTGATGTGGCTGATTCATCCAGTGTTGCTTCCCTAGCTGAATTCATCAAGAACAAATTTGGAAGGCTTGATATCCTGGTATGGTTATAGCTACAGCTTAATTCCAATATGCGAATTTTCAGTTTAACATCTGATTGCGTCCAATTGTTCTTACTCATATATGTTGATTCAGTTTAACATTTGATTGCGTCCCATTGTTCTTACACATGAATGGAAATTTTCCTTAAAAGCATTTTCCATTGTTGTTATGTTTAGGATATAAGTATATCTGTTCATATGTTTCTCTTGCAGGTAAACAATGCGGGAATTGTTGGAGCTGTTGTAGATGTTGAAGGTTTCAGACGAGGAGTTGAAGCAGTAAGTTTACGGAAACTTAGTTAATTGAAGTCAATTAATTAGCTTCATCTAGTGCAACAATATACTTGATTGTTCTTGATTAGAGAAAAATTTTGGATATGTGGTAACTAGATGAATTGTCCTGATCACTTTTTTGTGAGATCAGGTAAGACTTAAAATACCAATTTTTGAGATTTCCTTAAGGTTAATCGAAAACCAGAAGAAGAGTAGAAGTGTCAAGTGATTACCAACTTCAAGCTTCCAAAGTTGGAATCTTCAACTTGTGTCTTTTAATTCAGCTCCAACTAGAAGTGACGATAGCTCAGAATGTTGCAATGTACTCCATTTTTTGCTACTTCAGGGAAATTTCAGGACCCTGTTGGTTGTAATACGTTGATAATAGTCATTCAGGTGCATTCATATTGTATTATGATCTATATGTTATGTTCAATTCATTTTGATTTTGACCCGATGCAGAAGCTTGTTGGAACACAAGATGAATGGAAGTCCATCATGGCAGAGACATATGGCTTGGCGGCAGAATGCTTGGAAATAAATTACTATGGCGCAAAGCGAATGGTTGAAGCCTTTTTGCCTCTTCTGCAATCTTCTCAATCACCAAGAATCGTTAATGTTACCTCGTCCAGTGGGAGGTTACAGGTACTGTATTTGTTATCAGAATTGAGGTTCAATCATGATCACCTCCTAGAGTGAGCTAAAATTAGACTGGCGGCTCTAACCAAAAAAAGAAAATAAAATTAAAAAGACTGGTGGCTACACAAATCCTGGTTCAATCTGATTATGGCCTGGCCTTTCTTCATTCTGATGAAATGTTTCTTCCTTAGAAATCATGTTCCGGAGTTTTTTCACTCCCCTGTCATAGTTTCTTTTGCCACATTTTCTGTAACTATTCTGCAAATTTGTCAGAATTCCAGGTGTACAGAAGCGTACAATGTTGGATGAATTTTTTTCAGATTAATTGGTAGTTGAAAATCCCTTCATGTAATTTGCTCTTCTAATGCATGTTTCAGAATTTCAACAATGAATGGGCCAAAGAAATATTGGGTGATGCTGACAACCTCTCAGAAGAGAGAGTGGATGAGGTACTGCATGAATATCTGAAAGATTTTAGGGAGGGTAACCAAGAAACCAAAGGCTGGCCATTAGCATACTCCGTCTCAAAAGCGAGCATGAATGCTTACACAAGAATTTTGGCTAAAAAGTTCCCTATGTTCAAGGTCAATTGCGTCTGTCCTGGATTTGTGAAAACGGATTTTAGCTTTCATCTTGGCAGGTTGACGGTACAAGAAGGCGCTGAAGGTCCAGCAATGCTGGCTTTGTTGCCTGATGATGGTCCTTCTGGCTTTTCATATTTCAGAAAGGAACTGTCATCTTTTGAGTAAAATAGCAGCTATGAGCTATGTGTATAACGGACCTGTTACTGCTGTTCAGTGCTGCATTTGTTTAAGTTTTCCATTTGGAACATCACGACCAATTTTGTTTGATATTACTTAATGAATGATTAGAGAAATGGGTTGGTTGGTTAAAGAAGATATAAAGAGTTTGATCAACCTGTTTGATATTTCTTATTGAATTAATTGGAGAATATTAGGTTGTACCAAATGGCTAGAACAATTATTATATTACGAATGCCAACTAAAGGTACGCAATCTTGACTATAATATCAACACAGACATAACCCTATTTTCTAACTTAAGCTTCGGAGTGTCTACCTTCGAGAGACGTCCGAGGCTCTGTTTTGCAGGAAACCCTAGTCGGAGTTTCACCTTACACCGGCGGTACAATTCCAAGTATCGCCAAGTGGCACGCCCGGTGGGACCCGAAAACTAGGGTTTGTGTCACTAAGCTTTCTCAAGCTTTTTTCAAAGCCTTTCAATCCGCTTCCAGCACCTCTAGAACAGGATCGGTGGAAAGAAAGATGGTGGAAGTCGACAGTCCCCAATCCAATGCTGCGTCAACTGGAAGACAAACAAGCCCTGAGGACGGCGAAACTCTGGCACACTTCCAATGGAGGCAGAAATGGAAAAGGAATGATCGCCGAACCAAAAAAGAAACCACTCCTGTCAAACCAACCAACCATAATCGTCACCTCGAAAACCCCGATCCATACCAGAAACAGCGGTTGGCCAAGATCGAGGCGGAACTAAAAAAGTTGAAGGGTGATAACTCCCTCAACTAAAGGAAAAAGAAATATATCCTCGAGGAGTATAAACGCTGCTGCTTGTTAGGTCTTCCTGACCCAACAAAACAAGAGATGGAAGAGTTAATTGAGGAAAAAAAAGCAAGGAGGACCCAGGCCATACAAACATCGTCGGGAGCCGAAACAAACAAATAATTCGGCTTCCACGATGGGGCACCGTCGAAGAGTTCTATTATACGTTTTGCCTTTGAGGAAACGTTTGTCTTCACGTTATACCAATCCTTATATTTGGTCGAGGGCACACAGACCTTAAAAAAGTATCTCCATACCAACAATCGAGGCGCTATCATCTTTATTTCACAAAGCCTCACAAAACCAAGGACGGCAGTGACTAGGTTTGGAGTAAATCGAGCAAGCGGGATCTTATAATACTGCACTAGCCTACCAAATAGAGGGTGAAGGGGGAACCGTAGTCCGAGAAACATCGACCTCTCGTACACAGTGATTTTCCCCTCTGGTGGATTGTTAGCCCTCTCAGTGCCTATGGGAGCTCGATAATCTAGATCTATGGGGAAGTTATATTTTTCAGCAATAGAATCGGCCTTTTCAACAGAGTCTATGGTCGACGCAAAATCAGAAATTGTTTGTGACGCCATACCTATCCTAGTATATGCAAGTCTAACCAGGTTCAGATAAAGCAAAATATATATACCAATGAACAACGATGAGAATGTCCAGAAGTTAGAAGACTTACGTATGAGATAGCGCTCCCTGGTTGAAGTCTGTCGGAGGGATTTCCAAACTCTGTTTAACGGCAGTATTTGGTGACAAAGAAATCTGATGCACCGGAATAGAGAGTATGGAGTTTTCTGGGTTTGGCGAGAGGAGTATATGGCCAAAGTCCTTAGCCTTTCTCCCAGTTAAACAAATAGGAGGCGCCCTTTTTCCCACGACCCGACACCGTGGCCGAAATCCAAGGCACTCATAATTGCCCAGCCGTCGTTTGGGAAACGTGCGTGGTAGTGGGGCTTAATTTCCGTTCGGGTGGGATTCAAATAAAACGGGTCGCAGTTCCCGGATCGGATCCTCACTCGCGGACAGCTATATTTGGGCTGGGCTGAAGCTTATTTGTTTCATATGGGCCGGGCTAGGTCAGTTTTATTTAAGTGTCAAGTCTTATTTATTTTGCATAATTAACACTTGACAGGGGCACTTGACGAGTCCAGGTCCATCACCGTCAACGGGCCGGCCCACTACTTGGCCTTAGGGTCAAGACCGCCCCGATATGGCGGTTTGTTATTGTTAACCCTAGTAGGAATCGGATTCCTCCCAAGTCTATGAATAGGGACCTTTATTCTACACTAAAGGTACGCAATCTTGACTATAATATCAACACAGACATAACCCTATTTTCTAACTTAAGCTTCGGAGTGTCTACCCCCGGGAGACGCCCGAGACTCTGTTTTGCAGGAAACCCTAGTCGGGGTTTCACCCTACACCGCCGGTACAATTCCAGGTATGGCCACCAACAAAATGCCTTTGATTCCAACACATCTCCATTTTCATTACTAGACAAAGAACCGAAACAGATCACATCTAATCTTCCATAAAAACACTTGTGAGTACTGCTCTCAGAATTCTTATTCAAGAATCAGGCAGTGAAGATATGGAGAAAAGGTGAGATACTAATAAATAAGTATCAGGTTCTCCCTAATAGTTATTGAGATACCATTATTATTTTTGATGGCAGGTATGCAGTTGTGACCGGGTCAAACAAAGGAATTGGATTTGAGATTGTGAGGCAATTAGCTTCTCATGGAATCACTGTGGTGTTGACCTCTAGAGATGAGAAAAGGGGTCTTGATGCTGTCCAGAAGCTCAAAGAATCTGATGGCTTTTCTGATGATATTCTGCTCTTTCATCAGCTCGACGTGGCTAATTCATCCAGTGTTGCTTCCCTTGCCGAATTCATCAAGAATCAGTTCAGAAGGCTTGATATCTTGGTATGGTAATTATAGCTTACTTCTCATTAGTAAAGATGACAACTTTTTCAGCTGAATTTGAGTGCGTACAATAGGATAATTCTCTCTCTGTTGACCTAAGGTCTGCGGTTTGATTTTGCATTATTTGTGTTGTTTTCTGCAAAGAATTTGTGCAGTTAGACAAGGGCCATGACTCTTGAGTGGAAATTTTAGCTTGAAACCATAATGCAATACGCGCACTTGTTAACTTAGGATCGAAATATGTTGATGTGTTCTCTTTCAGGTGAACAATGCCGGAATTATTGGAGCCATTGTAGACGTTGAAGTTTTCAAATGTGGAGTTGAAACAGTAAGTTTGCAAATACTTAGCTGATTGAAGTTAGCTTTTTTATCAAGTGCAGCAGTGAAAATGTGAAATGACATGATTTATCTAGTGTAGCAGTAAACATGTTGATTACACTTCCAATGCGGCTTCATATTGCATGCACATTGATTGTTGTTATGTTCATTTTCATTGTGATCAATGCAGATGCACGTAGGAACACAAAATGACTGGAGGCCCATCCGTACAGAAACATATGAATTGGCTACAGAATGCTTGGAAACAAACTACTACGGTGCAAAGAGAATGATCGAAGCCTTTTTGCCTCTTCTCCAATCTTCTCAATCACCAAGAATTGTAAATGTCACTTCAACCATGGGCAGGTTGCGGGTACTGTACTTGTTTATCTAATACACTTTAACCGCACGAAATGAAGTATTAAACCAGCAGATAATGCCATCAAAATCCACATTCCATCACAACTGTCTTCAAGAAAAAAGCTAATAGAATCTTTTGCCAAAGGTTTCCAGTTTCCTGTCTTTGAATTTTTTCCCACATTGTCTGAGAATCATTACAATCTGCTCTTCTGATGAATGTTTCAGAGTTTTAGCAACGAATGGGCGAAAGCAATGTTGGGTGCCGCTGATAACCTTTCTGAAGCGAGGGTGGATGAGGTAGTGTGTGAATATCTTAAAGATTTCAAAGAGGGTAACCAGGAAACCAAAGGCTGGCCGTTAGCCTACACGCTCTCCAAAGCGAGCATGAATGCATACACGAGAATTGTGGCTAAAAGGTTCCCTACTGCCAAGGTTAATTGCGTCTGTCCTGGATTTGTGAAAACAGATTTCAGCTTTCAACTTGGAAGGTTAACCGTAGAAGAAGGAGCTGAAGGTCCGGTAACGCTGGCTCTGTTGCCTGATGACGGTCCTACCGGCTTGTCATTTTTCAGAACGGAACTGTCATCTTTTGATTGAAGATTTAGTGAAAGATTGTTATATTTTGAGAATTATCGTGTTGAACAACTTTCAGATCTGTTTTGTGGTGTTTATGATGTCTTCGATGCAGTCCATTACTTGCTGCTGTAAGTTTATAGCAAGTATGCAAGTGGTAAGTTTGATGGTGATCCATATATTGTGGACTTTGCTTGTGATAAAGCCAAGTTGTGTACTGTTGTCAGTAAGCCCTTTGTTGTTTTTTCAGCAGAAGACTATATCTCTGCACTTAGCAAAATTCTGAACTATGTATTCTTATATCCTGATCAAAGATCAATTAGCAGCTATGTTCTGTTCTGTGTTTATAAGAAACATGTTGAAGAACAAGGAATTGTTTCTGTTTTCATTCATTTTTGTTTGGTGAAAATAACAAGGATCTGTTTAAAATCACTCCGAGGTTATTCAAAAGCTAAGACATTTTCTTAGTTGAGACATTTCTTATACACCTTTTGACGGTATAACAACAAGGCTTTTCCAACTAGGTGGAGTCGGCTATATGGATCATATGTCGCCATCGTGCACAGTCGGTGCATAACTCATCGGACAAATTTAAATATTTCAAATGGTTTTTTTTTACGGTAAAAAAAAAAAACCCGGAAAAAAAACAGTTTAAACAAAACCAAAATGTTAGTGTTAACTGCCACATACAAGTCTAAAGAAGAACTAAGGTCATATACACTGAGCCTTTCAAAATCATGAAGACTGTACAAAATCTGGCCTGCGTGTGTTTTTTGACTATTACTTGGAAAAGAATTTTAATTTGCCCTGCCTTGCTTCTAGATTCTACATTCTATGGCAAATTTAGGTTCATCTATGTTGGTAAATTTCATCAAGAGCCAGTTTGGACGGCTCGACATCTTGGTACTAAAAACATTTGAAGACCTGATCATTTTTTTTTTCTCCCCCAACTTCTTGACTCTATGTTTAGCTATTAAGCGAACGTACTTTGATGGATGCGTGTTGTGTGTTTTCACACAGGCTTTTTCTGTGACTAACATGAAAATTTTGGATTCAAGTGTTCCTTACTTGTTTGTCTTGTTGTTAGTAATATGGTTTTCTTGCTTAAGGTGAACAATGCCGGGGTGCTTGGAGCTATTGCAAAACCTGAGGGTTTTAAAGCTTTTGCTGCTGGAGAGTTGAAGCTATCATTCTAACTCAACCGATAAATAAATGCACAAAAACTAGTATGTTCCTTGCCTGAAGAAATGTAGAAAGAACAAACCATTAATCAGCTGAACTGAGGATGATTGTTGGATGAATTGCTTCATCTGATGAACAGACTGTCCATTTGACGTTATTGCCAAAATAACATCAGAGAAGTTGTTTTTCTCACATCAGAGAAGTTGCCAAAAAAAAAAAAAAGAGAATTGTCCGAGAATTGTCAATGTGTCGTCTCAGGGAGGGCAGTTAAAGGTACCAAACTAGTCCATTATTTTGTGCTTCAGTACGATCAGATCAGGACAAAGCAAAATTGCCTAAAATCCTCACTCATTGGTTATTCTGATGATCTTTTACGCATATTATATCAAATGAATGGGCTAAAGGAAAACTAAGCGATGTGGAAAACCTTACAGAAGAGAAGGTAGATGAGGTGCTGAGTGAGTATCTGAAAGACTTCAAGTCCGGCTCTCAATTAGCCAAAGGTTGGCCTTTCGCTTATTCTGTCTCCAAAGCGGCCCTCAATGCATACACCAGAATCCTAGCTAAGAAGTTTCCGAGCTGTAAGGTGAATTCCATCTGTCCTGGCTATGTTAAAACAGATATAAACCATGATTGTGGCATGCTTTCAGCAGAAGAAGGTGCTGAATGGCCTGTAAAGCTAGCTCTGATGTCCGATGATGGTCCTTCAGGATTGTTCTTTATCCAAGATGGTGTTGTACATTTCTAGGAGAATAATAGTATCATGGTCTTTAAACTGAAGTCAATAAAATGGCACAAAACATCAAATTGTTATTCGATTGCTGTATTGGACTATGTATGCCATCTTTTGAACGCAATATTTACCAAACTAAATTTGCATTGGACATCAGTGCTTGCTGGCCGTCATTTCGACTCATGGCATATTAAGGCCTGAATTTAAATGGTCCCATTTATAACTTAGAAAAGCCTCTAGCATCAATATAGTACTGAAAACTTTTTGGACTATGACTTGCCAGCAATATACCTAAATGGCCAATATATGTACAAAACATATTGTTTCTTAGTTAAAATCCAAAAATAGGGATGCTCTATATTTAGAATGTTTCCATTTCCAAAAACTTCCTTTTTAAGGCTTTACCTTTCGTATGAAATATGTGCTTATCCATCTAACAGTCAGATGGCTATCATTTCTAATCTCCAGCACATCAAATATAACATCACTGTCTAACTTTCTTGTAGAATGGAGGACAAGATAGCTCTAGGAAGAAGTACTTACAGTACTTAAAAAAAGAGGGAAATGAAAAATAGGCAGTATACCCTTGAAATTAGAAATCAATATCTCAAAGACACCATCAATGGCTGAAGCAACTAAAGTCACCACTTCCAAAAGGTATGTAAACTTACTAGGATTTTTTATTGCATCATAGTATATCTGACAGCAACAGCTTTTAGTGACTATTCATGAAAATTCTTTTCTGATATGTTGGATGACAGATTATATGCAGTTGTTACTGGGGCAAACAAAGGGATTGGATTTGAGGTTGTGAGGCAATTAGCTTCTCAAGGAATCACTGTGGTGTTAACTGCAAGAGATGCGAAGAGGGGTCTTGATGCTCTTCAGAAGCTCAAAGGGTCTGGTGGTTTTCCTGATGATCTTCTGCTGTTTCATCAGCTAGATGTGATTGACATGTCCAGCATTGCTTCCCTTTCTGATTTCATCCGGAATGTGTTTGGAAGGCTTGATATCCTGGTAATATCGCAAAATTCTGCGTTACAAAATACAAATGTTGAACTAGGCATAAATTCTGTTTTTCTACCAGGATATCTAATCCATTATTGTCATTAGCAAAAATGTGCAGAGTTATAGTTCTGAGAAGTGTATTTGTTAGCTATTTATCAATTGTTATTGATTTGGTCCAAAGTAAGTTGGCATGATTCTTAAATTTCTGGAACAGCCAAATTAACTTGAGCTAACTCATCTGTTCATTTCAGGTGAACAATGCAGGAATCACGGGAGCACATATAGATGGTGATGCAGTTAAGTCTTCATTTGCAGCTGCTGGAGGGGTAAGTTGAAGTTGTAACTTGACCTGCCATGATAAAATCGCGTGATCTACTTCCAACATATTTTCATCAGCCTAGATCCTTTTTTTCCTTCCTTTTTCGAGATAACCAGGATGATAGCTGGCCTAGATCCTCTTCCAAACTACAATTTCTCTTGGGAGTTCTGCTGTTGTAGCATGAATATATCAATGTTACTTTCAGTTTATCTACAGCATTTTCATAGCAACTCTTCTCTGTGGAACTTATTAATAGTGTATTCTTTTTTCACTTCTCGTTTTCTGTTGTACATTTAAAATGGCTGAATGCAGACAGAAGGAGCCCAAATCAGCTGGGATGTCGTGAAGAACGCGATGAGCGAGACTTATGATTCAACTCTGGAGTGCTTGCAAATAAATTATTATGGTGCAAAAAGAGTGATTGAAGCTTTTCTACCACTTCTGCAACTATCTCAATCACCAAGAATTGTCAATGTTTCTTCTGAAATGGGCAAGTTAAAGGTAAATTGATTATCCCAAAACATCTGAGATAGTTGCAACAAAACATCTGATGTTAAGTAGTAATTTAAATGTTTACAACAAAAATTGGCAACAGAACTCAAAATGTGAATTTCTGTGAAATCCTGATTTCTATCTATTGTGTTCAACCATAAAGGATCTACACTATGTAGGGTGTTTGAGTTGTCAATCTTTCACTGCCTGAAAGTCTCAACATGTTGTAGAATATACCCAGTGAAAGGGCAAAAGGCTTATTAAGAGATGTTGACAGCCTGACAGAAGAGAGGATGGACGAGATGCTGAATGCATTTCTGAAAGACTACAAAGAAGGCTCCCTAGAGGCCAATGGCTGGCCTTTATTCTTGTCAGGATATACAGTTTCCAAAGCATCCATGAATGCTTACACAAGAATTTTGGCGAAAAGGCATCATAACTTCAAGGTCAACTGTGTCTGCCCTGGCTTTGCAAAAACAGACTCAAACCTTAACTCGGGAATCTATTCTGTAGAAGAATGTGCCGAGCGTGTTGTAAGGTTAGCTCTGCAGCCTGACGATGGCCCTTCTGGATTGTTTTTTGTTCATGGTAAATTGACCCCATTTGATTAGAATGATGCCTCGAAATTTAAGCAGATAGGGAATATCAATCTACATTTGTAGCAGAAAAAGATTGAAACCTTCAGTTTGTATGAGTACCTGTGTCAAACAGAGAAATTTTACAAGCCTTTTTCATAAAATATACTACTTCATATCATTGAACTGTTGTATTGAACCAACAAAACAATACAAGATGCTTCATTGCCTCTTGCAGCAGCATAAGTTTGTATGACGCACGGATCAATTTGTAAGCTTGACTGCTTTGGATGACGGTTACCAAGCTCTTAGTTTTCTCCTTAACAGTTTGTCAGACATATATCATGTATGATCATCATCACATAAAAAAAAAAATCACGATCATGCTTGATATTGGGATCATATGATAAATTTGGATTCGATAATGTTATCTCCCAGTGTTTTAAGTCCGTTAGAGAGTCAAGACATGCAGAGAACCTGCAACACGACAAGTAGAGAACCTGCGACAAGTTCACTCTTAATATCATTCTCTTGTTCTTTTCCGTTGTGTGAGTTATTGAACTTTTGATCTCTAATACTGCCAAGAAAAGCTTGCTTGCTGTGCACTTTCGGTCATATTTGAATAGATCACATAACACTAAAGATGATCATTTTTTCTCGACTGAAAAGCCTCATAGTAGTCCACACACATCTAAGATATATTCTACAGTCTTACAAAAGCGCAAGGTATAGAGAGATAGGGACATTGCTTATAAAGATGTCAATCTATTCAAAAAGATGACACTTTACCGCGAACAAAAAACAAACCAGAAGGACCATCATCAGGCAGTAGAGCTACCATCACCACATTTCTGGCACATTCTTCAGCAGTATACGTGCCTATGTTGAAGCTTGAATCAGTTTTCCCATGTCCAGGACAGACACAATTGACTTTGATGTTTCGATACTTCTTTGCCAAAAGTCTTGTGTATGCATTAATGGCTACTTTCGAGACTCTGTAACCTGACAAAAGAACAGGCCAGCCATTGGCTTCGAGGGTGCCTTCTTTGAAGTCCTTCAGAAATGCATTCAAGACCTCATCTATTCTCTCTTCCGTTAGGTTGTCGACATCATTTAGTATCCTTATCGCCCATTCACTGAGATTCTGTAAAACAGGTTGAGAATTAGCTTGACTAATTCCAAGTATGAATGATATGTTGCAGAGATTTTGGAGAGGAATATAGGAATTTTCGACTTGTAAAAGCTTTTTGATCAGTTTAATTTTGAAATGAAATTAGTCAACATCATTAGTTCACAACCATCTAGAGGGCAGTCCATGCAGGCAATATCTAACTTACTTTGACAATATCATGGAGCTCAGTGAAAAATATATACATGGCTGATTTACCAGTAACTTAACGGCTTCAGAAGAAACATTGACGATTGTTGGTGACTGAGACAACTGTAGAAGAGGTATAAAGGCCTCAACCATTCTTTTTGCACCATAATAGTTTATCTCCAAGCATTCTAATGCAGACTCATATGTTTGAGTCATTGCCTTCGTTACAGCATCCCATCGAGCTTCTTCTGACTGCATTGATCCATATCACAGATAATAATTACAGTCGGCATAAACTAGAGCGAAAACCTAGCCGAGCATTCCAGATGGACGACCCACCCAAACACAGAAAATTCAAACCCTGATACATTTTCAATCGACTAGCTTAGATTACAACAAGTTCAACTTACCTCACCAACCTCGGCCTTTATTGCCTCAACATCCGCATCAACATGTACACCAGAAACTCCTGCATTATTCACCTGAAACAAACAGATGGATTTGTTAAGTTCACTTTTTAAATTTATAGTATTTTGGTTCAATTTACCCAACTTATTTGGACACAAGAGTTGAGAATTTGGCAATTTAAGAATAGAAGGAAAAAAAATCAAACAGCTACTCTGCGAGTGCACACATTCAAACAACCAATAACAACATTAAAACAAAAATCCTCCCATGAAGCTTGACATGGATTACAATAAAGTTTGTGAACCCACCAAGATATCAAGCCTTCCAAACTGATTTTTGATGAATTCGGCGAGGGAAGCAACACTAGATGAATCAGCCACATCAAGCTGATGAAAGAACAGAATATCATCAGAAAAGCCATTGGAACTTTTGAGCTTTCCAAGAGCATCAAGACCCCTTTTTTCATCTCTGGCTGTCATCACCACCGTGATTCCATGAGACGCTAATTCCCGGCATACCTCAAAGCCGATCCCTTTGTTTGCCCCTGTAACTACAGCATACCTGCACCCCAGAAAAACCAGTAGCGAAATACTTTGGTCAAGAAAAAAGTTGTTTAAAATGCAAAGTGGACACAGAAATTGAAACAGATCATAGACAAATCAAACCTCTTTGCTTCTGCCATCGTTGGTGCAAGGAAACTGGATTTAGAACTTGAAAGGATGATCAAATTTTTTTGGGAACTACTTCTGAAGGTTTGTTCTTTAATCATTGCAGTCATTATGTTTGACTCATTATCCTCCACGTGTTTCAAGTATTTTAGTCCACCATTTTGTCTCTCCTAATTTACATTGCAATTAGCAACAGTTATGGTATCTTTTTTAAGCTACCCTGTTTTTCTTTTTCACTCAAAAGAGAACAATTTTTGGATTTGCTGTTGAAATACTCAGATGATCGGAGCTGCTGTTTCGCCAGATATTGTTTGCAAATTAGTGAAGCCCGACTGGGTCTCAATGGCGTGAGGAAATCGTTTTTGCTGAAGCATTTCCTGCAATTAGCTCTGCCAAAGGTGAAACCATCTTTGAATGAGAAGAAGCTTTCTGCACAGACTTGCCCTCATGAATGAAAAGGATCAGTCTTAATAACACTTTCAAGGACAAGAAATGCAAAGGATTGATGATTGATCACAAAATATCTCTTAGTAAGAGAACATTCCCATTAATATAATGAAATGATCACAAAAGATCATTCTTCAGTACAAAATTTAAGGGCATGTTTACAGGCAGTGACCGAGGATAATACTGGATAATACTCAACCTCAGATGGTTGTCTAGAAACACAGATGGATGATCAATGACCATCACTAGAAACAGATAATGCAGGACCATCAGAAGGGTGATTCTTCCGTACGAATGAAAAACAAGCCAGAAGGGCCATCTTCCGGCAGCAAAGCAAGCCTGACAACACTTTCTGCACCTTCTTCTGCAGTTAGCTTGCCCGAGTGGTAGTTTAGGTCAGTTTTTACGTAACCAGGACAGAGGCAATTGATCTTGATATTCTGATGCTTCTTAGCCAAAACTCTAGTATACGCATTCATGGCTACTTTTGAGACTGTGTAAGCTGAAAACAATTCAGGCCAACCATTGGCTTCTAAGGAGCCTTCCTTGAAGTCTTTCAGAAATGCAGTCACCACTTCATCTACTGTCTCTTCTGTCAGGTTGTCGACATCACTTAGTATCCCTTTTACCCGTTCACTGGGTATAGTCTGAAACATGTCGAGACCCCTTCAGTTAGTACCATGTGTGGATATCACTATGCATGAATTACTTAATGAGAAGTATCAAATAATGTCCAATTTGTAGAAGTTCTTTCATTCATTTTACTCCTGAATTAAAACTTTTTAACATTGTCAGCTTCCGACATCCATAATTCCATAAATGATACTTACTTTCTGAAAACTGATTTTTAGCAAGCTAAGAGAAGAACGTCAACAGAACATAAGAATGCTCAGTTGATTGGTTCAGAATTATCAAAATGGCCAATCCATAAATCAGTTCGCCTATCTTTGATAATGTACCTAAGTCAATATAGTGGGGAAAAAAAATCTTGTAACAGAACAAAATTTTATATACAGAGTGGATTTACCTTCAACCTGCCCGCAGAAGAGGAAACATTGACAATTATTGGTGATTGAGAAAACTGCAGAAGTGGTACAAATGCTTCAACCATTCTTTTGGCACCATAATAGTTTATCTCCAAGCATTCTAGTGCCGACTCGTAAGTCTTAGACATCGTACTCTTCAAAACTTCCCATTGAGCTTCTCGTGACTGCATCAATCCATATAAAAGGATAGAAAAGAGGGGAAAGAAATCATATCAGCAACAGTCCTTCTGAATAGGGATATAAAAAAGATGCAGAAACAAATTGACAACTTGGTTCTGCAGATGCATTACTTGGAGAACCACTATATCAAGATGTAATCTTTTACAAAAATCTAAAGTTCCACACTGTATCACAAGTAGATTACATTTTGATATCGTGGCAGCTTTCACATACTAGTTCAACTTACCACTTCAGCAGCAGCCTTTACTGCATCACCATCTACTTGGACACCAGAGATTCCTGCATTGTTCACCTTAAAGTAACAGATGGATTAGCAACAATTGCAAAAAAAAAAAAAATGTGGATTAATACGACTCTCCGTGTCAGTCAAAGAAACTTCCTTCTGTCCCTACCTAATTTGGATAAATAGTTGAAGTTCAAGCACTTGTGAGTATAAAAGAATAAGAACCATGGCAGTGCATACTGAAGCATCAAACATTACCATTTCTATAGTTCAGAAAGAAGACACCAACTTTTACAGTGATGCATAGCATCCGGAAGACTTACACATAAAGTTTGTGTGCACCTACCAATATATCAAGCCTTCCAAATTGATTCTTGATGAATTCGGCGAGGGAAGCAACACTAGATGGATTGGCTACATCAAGCTGATGAAATAGAAGAAGATCATCTGAAAAGCCACTAGATTCTTTGAGCTTGTGAAGAGCATCAAGTCCCCTCTTTTCATCTCTAGCAGTCAACACCACTGTGATTCCATGGGATGCTAGCTGTCTGCATACCTCAAAACCAATCCCTTTGTTAGCTCCTGTTACTACAGCATACCTGCAAATGAAAACAGAAGTTAGGGAAGAGGCTTTTACACCAAGAGTGCATAATCTGCCAATTCGAACAAAGAAGGAAAGAAAACACAGAATGAAATTGACAAACCTCTTTGCTTCTGCCATTATTGGTGTAACAAATCTAGAATCTGGTTTGATTTGTTTTGGTAAGATCACTTTATTAGGAACTAGTTATGTGGGTTGAAACCTGCAACTTTTTCAAGTTGAGTCAAATCAATCAATGATTGACTCATTATCCTCCATAAATTTGCAAGATGTATCCCCACCACTGTTGTCTTTTCCTTTCTTTTTTTTTTTTTTTCTTGGTTCTCAAATAGAGAGATACCTTGGATCTACAGAGACAAAAAAGTAGGTGAGGCAATGCAATAAGATATTCGTTGCAACAGGTCTATCTGTCTGTGCAACAAACATATATTCTGTCCACTCCAGATAAAAATCACCACTTTGCTTTCAAATTTTAATTGCCCAGATTATTCCAGCCACCTATTTAGACATTTACTGCAAATCATTTGCTGAAATTTGCAGCAAAAGCTTTTCAATCCCATATAAAATTGGTTCATTGTTGAGTGAAAAGACAGCTTTTAGCCCTTCTTCAGCTGAATGAAGACCTGTTATGGCACTTGATATCAGCTTTAACATTGCCAGGGGAAGACGGTTAATCATGAAAGTAGGTTATCTTTGTGGTTCTTCTTGATAATTCGTATGTATACAGAACATTAGAGGCTACACAGCTCCCACGAAACCAACTTGACATTCCATGATTCCAGACTTGTTGAACGCCACATCCACACACAGAATTAGGAAAGGCAGATTACTTAGTTTGAGCACACCTGTTGGCTGGTAACTCAAAAGTTACAATGGTGGGAGACTCAAGATTCCATTCACTCGAAATCACATTTCGGACATGGCGAGCCCGAAAACTAAAAGAAAAATTAGGGCGAAGAGTAGGCAAAGGCGCAAAGCATTGTAAGGATTGCCTCTTACTGTCAAACACAATATGAAAAGGCCTCTCAATATTTTCCCCAATTCTGCCCGACTCAAGAAATACCGAATGGTTTTACGTATCATTGATAACTAAAGCTGAAGTAATGCGATGAGTGGCAAAGTGACTTTTGAATAAGATCCATCACAGTAGAGAATATTATTACTGCTACTGTCATAAATGAAGGCACTAATTATGGTCAACACACCTGAAGATTATGTTGTTACTGAATGAGATACAGAAACTCATTACACAGGACATCTAAAGGAACACCGGCTATACAAAATCAGATTAACCACAGAATGGTGTCACTCTACCATGAACAAAATACAATCCAGAAGGACCATCATCAGGCTGCAGAGCTACCTTTACAATGCGCCCAGCACATTCTTCTACAGGACAGGTGCCTGAATGCAAGTTCATATCGGTTTTTGCAAAGCCCGGACAAACACAGTTGACTTGGATGTTGTGATGCTTCTTGGCCAATATCCTTGTGTATGCATTCAATGCTGCTTTCGAGACAGTATATGCTGACAAGAATCTTGGCCAGCCTCTGTCTTTTAGAGATCCTTCTTTAAAGTCTTTTAGAAAAACATTCAACACATCATCCACTCTCTCTTCTGTAAGGTTGTCAACATCGTTTAAAATCCCTTTAGCCCATTCACTGGGTATACTCTGTAACATGTTGAGAGACTCTCAGTATGAATTCTGTCCGGGAGTTGCAAGACTCAGAACTCAAAACTATTATCAAGCATGAATTCTTTCTGCAGAACTTATGACAGATATCATTTCTAAAGAAGTCGAACAACAAAAGGTCCTTCTGCTCTTTCTAAATGTGAAGTTAGAATTAGTGGACTTACCATATATATACTACTGGAAAAATTAGATTTTCAGTATGTGAACAGAAATACCAAACTAAAAGCTACAATTGATGTCCCAACTCTACTTAGTCACATATCATGCTTGGAGTTGAGCTTTACTTTGCTTGTTACTTCAAAGAATTTAGCAACTCATACAATTTTCTCAGGGAGCCGATATTTACCTCCAAATTGCCCATGTCAGAGGAAACATTGACAATCCTTGCTGAGTGAGATAATTGCAGAAGAGGCAAAAAAGCTTGAACCATTATTTTGGCACCATGATAGTTTATTTGAAAGCATTCTATGGCCAGCTCGTAAGACTCAGTAATGGCATTCGCTACTACACCCCAGCTTACTTGAGATGTTCCTGACTGCATTGATGCATATAAAAAGATCAGAAGATGAAAAAGTACCAATGGCTAGCCTATAGAAATGCCATAGATTGAATACAACACATCCACACAATTATGCAAATCAAAACTTTTAGTTTTACAAATTCAAATAGTACAATCAACTTACCCTTCCTCTAGCTGCAGATGAAGCTTTTATTTTATCCTCGTTTATGTGGCATCCAAGAACTCCAGCATTGTTCACCTTCAACAAAGGGAACAAAGTGATAAATATACACTTCAATTTGAATAGAGCATTTTCCATGAACATTAGATCAAAAAAACCTTGAAATCCCACAAATTTAAAACCAAAATAACACGAATTATGACGGTGGGAATCGATTTCAGAGCCAAGTTAAAAAAAAAAAAAAAAAAAAGAAGCTAATATTGAATCAATTTACCAGGATATCGAGCCTTCCAAACTGATTCTTGATGAACCCGGCTAGGGAATCAACACTGGATGAATCAGCCACATCAAGCTGGTGAAAAAGCAGACGGTCGCCGAAAAACCCACCGGATTCTTTGAGCTTGTGAAGAGCATCAAGACCCCTCTTTTCATCTCTTGCAGTTAATACCACGATGATTCCATGAGAAACTAATTGCCTCACAACCTCAAAACCAACACCTTTGTTTGCCCCTGTCACCACTGCGTACCTGCCGTAGTAACCATATTGGGATTGGGAAAATGAAATTGACTCGGAAAAAACTTTGTGCGGGATGACAAAATTTTAAATAATCTGCAAATTAGGAAAGTGGACATAAAGTACTCCGGATCCAAACCTTGTTGCCGCTGCCATAATTGTTACTCCGATGAAGTAGTTCTTATGTTGTTAGATTTGTGAGACGATAATTTTTTATGGTATTTTCAAAATATGTAAATAATAACTGTCCCATCGCAGTATATTTTTTTACATTTTCAATATACCTTTTAATATTTCCAATACAAAAAATACCTAAAAATACACACTAAAAAAACGAAACAAACATACCTTTAGGGTTTAATTTAGTGTTAATTATATTTTTGTGTTATTGTTATTATTCTTGATATATTCATTTATTAGTTTGTTTAAATGAGTAGAATCAATAATTATATTTTTCAAGAAAAGAGAAAAATAAGAGGAAAAAAGAAGAAAGTAGGAGGAAGAGGAATAAAATTATCTTAACAATTGTAGATGAGCAATTTTTATAACTGTAAATAGCAATACCTATTGTTAATGTTTTGGATTAAAATTTAAATTTGAAGAAATGTAAAGGATTATTTTGGAGGTTTACTCTTGTTGTTTTGTTTCAATTTTACTAACTTGATAGAGTGGAGAAGAGGAGGTCAGAGATTAGGATAAGGATGATTTTTATAACTACAAATGAGATTCTGTAAATGACCAACATATATGGCTAGGGTTTTTACATAATGTAGGTTGGTATATATGTTTGTGTCTAAAAGTACGCAAACTTGTTCACTTATACATAACAAATTGCACCGTTTCAAAAAAAAAAAAAAACACAAAACAAAACAAAACAAAATGCACGTATACAAAGAAGTGAAAACTCTCGAAATGTTTTATATTAGTAATTTCAGTGAAAATAAGTAGTTGTACCCTTCTATAATTGCTCTTAGTATTGTGAAATAAGAAGAGTACTATTTTTTTTGAAGAATATGATTAAATTATTCTTTAGCTTCTTTTGTTTTGTTTTTTTTTAAATATTATGTATTCGATATTTGAAGTCATTGATCTGATTTATTCGGATTCAAAAATTTGTTTTGTTTTCTTTAATAGGGGTCATGGGATCATTCTAAATAGTACATACCAGTCAGTGATTCAGACTAATTCCTATATTCATGACCTAGGGTTTGGGCAGGTCTATCTTTGATTTATACCTTGATGGTAATTGAATGTCATTAAATTTGGATTAGGCGGACATGCATGACTTCTTAACATGCATTAGGATCTCTCTAGTAGGGAGGGATTTGATATATCCAACCAAAACCTAACAAACTTTACAAGCTTTCCTGGATATAATAGTTTACTGGGGCAAATAATATCAAGGACCTAGGTGGCTAGGTATATCTTGCAAGGTGTACCTCATGAGTATGTGTAATACACTCTTCTTTTATACAAGTTGATTTTTTTTCCTCTAAATTTCAGTTACACGCGTATTTAATCCTCTAAATTTTATCCCATTTTTTTTCGTACACATTTAATTTTAATTTTTTTTTGCTTATCATTTTATCTTTTATATTATATTATTTTACGTGAATTTGTTTTTATAACTATGGATTTTTTTTTAGTAAAATTGAATATACTTTGTCATCAAGACTTATGAATATGGAGAATCAATTCGAGTAAAAAATTTGAACTGATTATCAATGGAATTCGGGAATTAAGCGCCAAATATGAAAGATGTTAATAGATAACGATGTTTGTTTGGATGAATAATGGTATGTTTATCGATGAATAATGATAATATTATGGATGTATAATGGTGTTCTTATAGTGACAAAGTTATGGATAAATTTAAATTTTGAAATGAATAATGATATTTGCAAAGATGAATAACGAAGCATATTTTGATGAATAATGATCCCATCCTAGATGAATAACTATACTAAAATGAAGAATTGATATAATTTTGTTAGATGACTAATTATAACTTAATGAATGAATAAAATATTGTTAGTGGATAAATAATACGCAACAGAATGAATAACATTGATACAAAAAGATTAACAAAAATATATTTTACAATGAGTTAATTTCAGCAACTAAGCTAACAAACTTCTAATTATGTATTATACTAAACTAAAATTGAACAAAAAAAACTAATCATTGTTTTTAACATATAATATCTTGAAGGATCCATTGATGCCTGATACGTTTATGTGATTATTTGATTTCAACAATTCTGCCAAATATTTGATTCCGGACCGATTGAGTTTATCTTGATGAACATTTCTTTGCCGCTGATCAAACAAAAAAAACATTACAATAAGTGAGATTTCACATTCAATCAAAACTCTGTTAATCATCAATAACAATGCTATTGAAAATGAATAATCATTTTGAAAATGTTAAATAAACATTAAAATAACATAAATCGAATCCAATTAATAACAGTCGTGTACTGTACATAATATAACTAAGAAAAAATAATGAATAACTAGAAATAGTTGATGTATAAACATTTCATAGAAGAAGAAAACATGACTAAAACAATTCAAAATTGATGATGAATAATGATATCGAGATGATGAATAACCGCCAAAAATAAATAATGATATCAAAATCTGATTTCTAAAATCAACCACAAAATCGATGAACAAGACTAGAACATCGATGAACTAACATGTTTTAAATATTAATAATGATATTAAACTGATGAACAAAACCTAGATCTATTAATATTTTCTAAAATTAACCACAAATCGATGAACAAAACTGAAAAATTAATGAACTAACATCATTAATCGATGACGAATGATGAATAAACATTTCACAGAAGAAGAAAACATGACTAAAACAACCACACATTGATGATGAATAATGACACCAAGATGATGAATAGTGCCACATCTATTAATATTTTCTGAAATCAACTACAAATCGATGAACAAGATTAGAACATAGATGAACTAACATATTTTACAGATGAATAATGATATTAAACTGATGAACAAAGCTTAGATCTATTAATCTTTTCCATAATCAACCACATATCGATCAACGAAACTAAGAAATTCATATCTAACATCATTGATCAAGTGAATAACCTTAGATCTACATAACTCATCTAAAAAATACATCAATTGTTGAAGAAAATAGTAGTATTACCTTATAAATAGATCAAATTCTGTCTCAGAATAAACAACCGTAGCTTTCTGCATGAATGTTTCAGAGCAATATCAATATTTTCAAATTCAAAAATGGAAGAATCAAGCAAAACCGATGAATACCTGATGAAATTAACCATAATTACCTGAATTTCATATCGAGTAGGGTCTCTTGCAACCAAAATCACGAGTTTTGATGCAAAATCTGATTTCGTCCTCGAATGTACTGCCGTCGGGTGTTTCTGTTGCTGTATCGTTGTAGAGATAAAATTTGGGTTTTTAGTTTTTCTTTTTAGTTTGAGACGTCTTTGCAATAAAATAGTAAGTTGGATATGATTAATAATGACTAAAAATCAGGAGAAATATTAGAAATTGAAAATTTGAAAAATCTTTTTTTTTTACTCTTTTTTGGGTATGTGTGTATCAATGTAGATAAGTGTACCTAGGTGCTCTATATTATAATTGAGGTTACTGGTAGGTACTTTTGAAAAACAGTTAGACAAAGGAATAAAAGAGAGTGATGATGGAAATTATGATCCATCTCATTAATTAAAAGAACAGCTGAATTTTTTTAAAACAAATTAATACTCTATTAGAGCACCAAAACTTGCATCAATGTGATGCCCCTGCGCTATAAAATGATGCAGTTTTCCTTTTGAATGTTACCATCATAACTTGCTCTACCTAGAACAATGTTGATCATTTTTTTCATTATGTGTTTCATTCCTCACTCACTTGTTTTCTCACTTCCCGATCCATACACCATATTTTCTAAGCTCAACCTTCCTCCAGGTGTAATTGGGGTTGGTTCAGTGTCCTTGGATCCATTGAATCAAGGTCCCTATGTAGGTACTAGTGATGGCAGAATTCTCAAATACAATGGTACTGATTTTTTGGATTTTGCTTATCTCTCTCCAAACAGGTAAACTGTTCTTCCAATAACTATTTTAGTATTTGTGCACGAGACTCTATTTTACCACTCGTCTCTGAATGAAAGTCATTAGTTTTAGTTTATATGTTTTGAGTCAATATACTCTTTTGTTGTCAGAGGGCATAAAAGTTTTTGGTGAGTATATAATTAAACTGCCTCAGAAAAGTTAGAGATGAGATGCGTTTTATTTATCATTTTTGTTTTTACCAATTACTTCCATGAGGGAAATGGGATTTATTTTATTCACAAATACGATACACTGGAACACGTTTCATCACCTGGGGCTTTAAGTAAAGTATACAGTGCTATTTATCAAAGCATATAATTGGTACATAAATTGAGACATAAAATTTAAATTCCCAAAAAGGACAATGATTTGAGGTGGGAAGAGGTTCTATTTCTCAGCTTTTATGTACTAATTGTATGTCATTGGTGAAAAAGATTGACGATATTGTTGATCTTTGGAGCAAAATAAAAAAGAAAAGAAAAAAAATTTCAAAATTGGCCTTATTAAGGTCAGGTGTTGTTAGAAGGTATTGTGGTTTTTCTTCTAATTCAATTTTATTTATTGCATTTTTGTAATTGTAAATGAAACCATAAAAATACTTTGTAATAATTGAGGGAGCACAATACATATAAAAATAATTTTTTAAGATTTTATTTTCAATTAAGAAATACAATAAGTAGAGTTTTGGAGAAATCAAGATGCTTTAAAATAAGGAACGGACGGAGGAATTAACAGTCGCCTTTACCATATATTGTAACTATATTTAGTATGAGCAATGATAGCCATAATGACAAAATATAGTGAATTTAGGTAGTGACTAATGAAAAGACATTTACACGACTCTCACTATACATGTGTATTTATTAATTAAAAATAAAAAAATAATTTAACGGGAAAGATAAAAATTTCGACAGGAGAGTGGCAAAAAAAAGGGGCCATAAAAACTACACATCATTCGTTATTTTTTGTAACTTTTTTTTTTTCACTATACATACTCCAAAAAAAAAGGTTTAGAGTTTTGTATTATTTTTTGTATAAATTTGAAAACTCAATATGGACTATTTTTTTGAGACGGGGGTAGTATTATTTTCCATTTAGTATTTATGCCATGTATTTTCCCTCTCTCAGGTCCAAGCAGTTATGTGATGGTACAACAGATATTAGTTTGGGCGTGACATGCGGAAGGGCATCAGGGATTACTTTTGACTTGGAAACCGGAGATCTTTACGTTGTGAATGCTTACGGGGGATTATATGAAGTCGGACCCCAAGGCGGTCAAGCCACACTAATTGTCACTGATGCATATGGCGTACCATTCAACTTTCTTAATGACTGCGTTTTTGATAATTTCAGAAGAGTTGTTTACTTCACAGATTACAGTTTGGTATACAACATCACGTACGTCTCCGTTCTAACTAATACTACTTCCATTCTAAAATTACTGTCCAATTTGGATTTTTATTTCTAATTCAAATTGTACTAAAAGTAAAAAATTTAAACTGAACAGTTATTTTGAGATAGAGGAGTAATTCTTTTAACATACTTTAGAAATTTGTTCTTACACTATACTTTTAAACTACTTTAATTACATTCATCCACATTTGCATGATCTATATTGTGATAGGTATAATCTTCTTGGACGTCCTCCTCCTCCAGGAGATTCAACCGGAAGATTATTAGAATATGACATCAGAACAGGAGAAGTGATGGTACTGCTAGACGGCATTCCCAGTCCAACAGGACCCGCAGTTAACCCAGACAGCACTTTTATAGCATATGGTTCTGCTACCACTCAACAAATTTTCAGGTTTTCCTTCATGGGGCGAATAAACGAAGTTCTACTACCCAAATTACCTGGTGCTCCTGCCAAAATAAAGAAAGCAGTAAATTTTGGATATTTTTGGGTGGCAGTAAACCAAGTGGTTCAGCAGCAACCTAATCCTGTGGTTCAGCCGTACGGTTATAAGTTTAATTTATATGGTAACGTAGCTCTGATCAAGAATTTCACTGCGGAATACAGTAACACTCAAGTGGATGTTGTGCAAGAGTACTATAATCGTTCTCAAGGAGCTGGAACCTTGTACGTTGGCCCGCGCGTTGCAAGTTTTGTTGGTAAGTACACAGAATAGAGAATAGTGACCCCATGTACACCATTTATTTTTTGAAAAATAGTCATTTGGGCTGGCAGTTCAAAATCATGCTCTTGTACTACAAATTACGACAATGGCGTAATCCCATTAATAAAGGGCCATTTTAACCAATAGTATGTTGACATAGCCTTGTAATTTGCAAGTTTTTAGTACGAGAATTGTTTATTCGGTATATGAAAGAAGATTACTTTTATACCTTATAAATAAGATGGGTTATCCAATTTTGGATGGGATTTTTTTTTTTTTAATAATGTATGTACCTTAAAGTAAGGACTAAAACTAGGAAATTAGCAGTTCTTATACTGGGCACCTTTTTTGGCCACTTCTTAATTTTATTTTTTTTTATTTTTAAATACTAACCTAATTAAAATGTTTAAACCTCCTTAAACCTTAAACACTAAACATATTATATTTTTTGTTCGGTTTAATTTTTTTTAATTCAACCTTAGCCTAATTGAATTAAAAAAATTATACGTTAATCGTGTTACATCACGCACTAGATCCTAACCAAATTAAAATATTTAAACCCTCCTAAACCCTAAATCATAATCATTAGACCCTGACCTAATTGAAATATTTAAACCCTCTTAAATCCTAAACACTAATTACTAGACCCTAACCTAATTAAAATGTTTAAACCCACCTAAACTCTAAAAACACACTATGTTTTTTGTTTGGTTTAAATTTTTTTGAATTCAATTAGGCTAGGGTCTCGTAAACGAATTAAAAGTTATAAGTTATTCATGTCAAATCATACACTAAAACGTAACCTATTAATTACGTTTGTAAAATGGGGTTGATACTGCATTAACAAAATTATAAAGTTAAAAACACTAAAATATAAAATTAAAATCAAAAAGAAAAAAAAGAGGAAAAAAAATAGTAAGCAAGCGGGTCAAACGTGCACTGGCCCAGCCCGGTGCCCTTTAAGCTGAGCACATCGGGTGCTCGGTTGCTCAGTATAATTTGTGAGGAAATCAGTGTAACAAAAAAAGGTTCCAGATAAGAGGTAATTTTACACACAGTCACACAGTGTTGTTACACTCTCCCGCGCTCTTTGACTTCTTTGACTAAGAAAGTGCGCAACCTTGCGCATTAAAACTTGTACATTCTAGAACAAGCGCTATAGAAGTTGTACCTTCTTGCAGAAGCAAAAGCCAATGCAAAGCAACCAAATCGCCATGTAATCAAAACCCAAAGGATATTGCACTGCTTCATAGCTGTATTCCTTGTTTCTTCATTGGGTATTTAGGGTTTCATTTCATTAGCATTTAAAGAGAACAGAAAACTTTGCAGACAGGAGAGCGCTCCCAAAAAAATTGAAGCAAAGAAGAGAGAAAACAACAAAAAAAAAAATGGCCTTGAGGAATTTCCAGATGGGAATGCTTGATTATGCTCACGAAAATCCTGATTATGAAGATGAAATCGAGCAGAGGGGCCAGCTTCCTGAACTGGGTTCTGACGATCATCTCTTCATGTTGCTGTTAACCACGTATGACAGGATTGTTGAGAGGTTGAAGGTTGCAGCTTTGGAGCTGAAGGAGACTATCGTTGCTGAAACCTGGGGTTCAGGCCAAAATGTGGGTGATTTTACTCTGTATTCTGGTGCTCTTGGGACTACCTTCCTGCCACGGAAGTCATTTCGTGTTACCCAAGATGAAGAGGACCTTCGTACCTGTTCTGAGATTGTGAAGGCTTGCGACAGTGCTCCTGTTTGCTCAAGGTATTATTCTGTTTCTTTCTTCTTTTTCTCTTTTGTTCACATTGTGTTGTGTATGTTCAAGTTACTTTGCTTCTTCTTTGAGGGTTTTGGTTTGTGGGCTCTGTTATGCTGCCTGATTTGTTTGGAAACAGAGAAAAAAAATGCTGCCTTTTATTCTTTTCTCCATTTTGTAAATCATGGTGCTTTACAATTTCGTTAAGGGTTCTGGTTTGTAAGCTCTGTTTGTCTACTGGATTTGTTTGGAGAACAGAGAATGTAGTGAAAAGATGCTGCCTTTTCTTGGACTTTTCATGTTCGACTTGAAAGGAAGAAGAGATAATTGGATCACTTTTTGTTGTAAAAACTCGTGTCCAGAGAGATTAGTTATGTTTTGTTGTGTTTTGCTTGCCTTTCTAAAAACAGATAAAAGATAGGCTTATACCTGTGCGTGTGTGTGTTTCATTTTTTTCCTCTTTGTTGTTCTTTAGACATTATTGAGCAGTGAATCAGATGGATATATAATGGATTCATGTATGATGGACACAAAAATGTTTTAACAAAATGATGTCATTGATGATTACCTTGCTTAAACAACAAAAGCAAAAACCTCTAAGATTTCCTCGAGTACATGTAGTGACAAATTTTACTTGTCATTCTTGCCTTTTTCTTTTGAATTTGTAATAGTCTAATTCTACATTTTGAATTTGTGATTTTGCTGACTCATGGTTTGCTTCAAGGGATGTCTCGTTTATCAAAGGGAGAGCTGGTGTTTGTGCCTTTGGAGCAGTGGTGGCAAAAGCAATGGACGGCGATGAGCTTATGATTTCCTATCTAAGCAAATTCAAAGAGGTTGGTAGCTTGGATTATTGTCCAGGATGTATCTTGATCTATTATACTTTTGGCAGTACAGATATTCAAATATTATAAAAGCATTTTCTTTTGTGGACAGATTGACCTGCCAGCAGATCTTTCTGATGGACTAATGCATGGAAGAGCTAGTTACTTGTGGGCTTGTCTCTTTATCAATAAGCATCTAGGCAAAGGAACTATTTCGTCTGCGCATTTGGTAAGGTTGAGATGTTCTTCATTATGCTCCGTGAGTTGAGTGAATTAATAGATTGAATGGCTAGGTACCTATTATTTACCAAATCATCTGCAATGGGAGAGAACTTGGAAGAAAGAGTGGAATTCCACTGATGTTTTAGTGGAATGGAAAGAACTACTGGGGTGCTGCTCATGGAGTGGCTGGAATCCTGTATGTCCTGCTGCACTTCAAGCTGCCGGAAATTGAGAGTAAGGAGATCAATGAAACTGAGAGTGGCTCATGTGGACCAGAGGACTTCCTGTAGGATGTTGGCGCGAACAAGTTTGAGTGTTTCCTCGTTGATGACGTTATTACAATCTCAGGCGAATATCCTTTTTTTCTATTGCACAGGCTTGACGCTGGGATCCACGTTTAGCTTATGTTCAATAATTTGTCGAGGGACGCTAGTCATGTCGGATGGTGCCCAAGCAAATATCTCAGAAATCGCGTAGCAAGGCAATTATCTCGGCTAGCAATATTCCATCTATGGATACTCCAAGCTGGATTGTCTTCTGAGAATCTTTCTTGTTCAAGACCAGTTCCTCCGTTTTACTGTTAAGTGGTGGCTGATTAGGAAGTTCAAGATCCATGGGCTGTTTCTCTTCCTTGGATTCTACTGATAAAATCTCCTACTGTATTGAGTAACACCCCGACTCGGTGGTGGTACCTCCTGACGCTACTGCCTTTTTCCCTATCTTGACTGCCGTGAGGAGGCATTCTCGAAAATTGCGTTGGCACCCTTACACTATACCTATCTGGTACTCTGTTGGGAATTTCATTACTAGGTGATAAGGGAACCAAACAGCGAGGGCTTGGCACATCCACGGTTGTCGTAGGATCACGTTAAATAGCAAGGGTGCATCAATTATGGCAAAATCCATTGTCGGGGTTTCCAGTCGGGGATGCGATCCTACTGTGATAGGAAGCTTTACGATTCCGCTAGGGATAATCATGTGCCCAGAGAAGCCCATGAGTGGTAGTGTTGCTGGACGCCAATCGGGATTTTATATGTTCATCTTCTTAAAGCAATCGTTGTAGATGATGTCGACTGCAGTTCCGTTGTCGACATATACACGGCTCACGTGGACGTTTCCTATGATAGCCTCGATGACCATGGCATCACTGTGTAGACAAATATCTGGGACTACATCGCGGTCGGTGAAGACTATAGCCTCGGTTCCCTGAACCACTTGTGACTGGGTTTTTGAGGAGGAGTTTTAGTTAGTTATCGAATGGAGGCTTTCATTGCTGTTGTAGAGAGAACCTCGAGTGACGCTTCACCACATTATGAGTAATTTTCTTAGCAGGATTGGGGGGAGGAACTTGATGGATCAGTTATGGTCCACCGTCGAGGAGTTGCTGAGCAGATTGCTGTGCGTTGCTTTTTGGTTGCCAGTTGTTTGCTCGATTATCTTCTCGAGGACCACGGTTGTTATTCCGTTTGGGAAAGTTACAGAATCCTGCGAACTTCCTGCCCTTTGTCTGAGGAGTGCCCTGCACATATTGCTGGAATTTCCTAGATTTTACCCCAGCCTCGATTTCACCCTTGAGTTCCCTACAATCCCCAGTGTTGTGACCATGGTCCTTGTGGTACTCACAATATTGATCCGTAGACCTGTTTGGATTGTGAACCAAGGGCTTTGGAATAGCTTGTGGATTTGAAGTATTTCTCGCCGCGGCTTCAGTAGCGGGGTCAACTGCCTGTCAAACTTAGGTAAAGCCGGCTTAGTTTCCATCGTGGATTTGTACCGATCCCTCCCCCCTCGATCTCCTGCGATCGAGAAGGACTCTTGTGAGTGCTTGAGTGTCTGTTCTCTCTGAATGCAACTTTCAACTGTAACCCACATTTCTTGTGTATTTCGAGGAGGTTTGGTTGACAATTTTACCCTCAAAAGGGCAGACTTTCCGAACGGGTTGAGGCCTTGAATGAACCCATTCTGTACGTCTCTATTGTCGAGGTAGTCTACTTGGAGAGTTTCCCGGGTGAAGCGACGGTGAAAATCAGACAGGCTCTCGTTTTGTCCCTGCTTGATCGAGGAAAGGTCGATTGACATCTTCATGATCTGCTTGCTGGGAAAGAACCGCGTAGCCAACTTAACCGATAAGTCCTCAAAGCTGTGTATGCTTTCTTCTGGCAACTGTCAGAACCACCTTTGCGCCTGTCCCCGAGATAAGATGGTAGGGGTTTAGCCATAAAATCGAGTGAGGCATTTCAAATCCTCATAACTTGGACATATCCGTGCAGGAATTGTTGGGGGTCGAAGTCCCCTGAGTATTTCATGAAATCCTTGGGAAAATCGAAGTCCTTAGGTTTCGGGCAGTCACGAATCCTTGGTACGAATTGGCTTTTGTCAATAATCATCCCTATCATTCTTCTCATTGATTCTCGAACGGACAGGTTCTGGTTGCCATACTCTCTCTGATGTCGAGAGGGGTGAAGTTCTTCTTGAGGGCGCCATTTGGTATTCTGAGGTTGAGGGGACCATCGTGTGCCGTAACGGTCGTCTGGGTAATGACTTGCGTGGGCACGATACGCATCATCATTATTAGGACGGGACTTTTTTTAAGGCACTCTCGGTGCCGGACGAGATTATATGTTAGCCCTGGGTGGGGGGTTCTAATTTCTTCCGAATACCATCTCGATACTAGGTGAGTCGCGCCGATGGTCGGTACGAGACTGCTTTCTGCGTTGTCGTTCTTTGACAAACTCCTCGAGCGCTAACAGAAAAGCAGGGTATGCTCATTCAAACGAACCCCAGAAGGCTGAACTACGACCAATCAAGTGTTCTTCTCGAGAAACTTCATGCTCGGGTGTTTCCCTGTAAATGTTTTCAGTTTCCTTGTTCAGAATTTTGCGTTTGCCTTTTTTCTTCTCGAGCAAAGCCAACGTCCTGCATACCTCTTTTTTATCAATTAAGTCTTACAATTCTTGATCTGTTAGATTAGATAGACTGTGCAAACAATGGTGTCAGTATTCCTCAAATACGCACTTTTTCTTCCTTTGATTAAGACTGTAATAATCCCGTAGCTTTTTGAGTCCTGCTTTGATTTCTGCCAGCCGTGCATTATCACGTGGGATGGGTGTTTTGCAACGATTGTTGTGGTTCTCCTCCCTTTCTTCCCTAGGACTGGATGGTCTCGTGTGAGTTTTTTCTTTTCTCGACTGGCAGTTGTTCTTCTCTCGCCTATGCTTCTCCTGGAATTTCACCAAGGTTTCGTTGTCATCAGGGCTTGGTTATTTGCCTGTTGATGCCGTACTGGATTGGGGATTATCGATTACTGCCATCTGTTTCAGGAGATGAACCCTAACTTGCAATGGTGGCAAGAGGTTGATATAGTACAGAAAGCTTGAGAAATCTCTGTGACACAAACCTTAGTTTTCGGGTCCCACTGGGCGTGCCACTTGACGAAGTCCGGAATTGTACCGCCAGCTTGATAGTGAAACACCGGCTAGGGTTTCTTGCAAAAGAGAGCATCGAGGGTCTCCTAAAGGTAGACACTCCGATACTTAAGTCAGAAATAGGGTTATGAAAAATGTATATGTAGTAATTTGTTCCAGAGATAGCGTGTACCCGTATGATGATGTGATTCACCCTATTTATAAGCATGGAGTTACCTGCAAAACATCCGAGTTCTACTAGGTTTCTTATTGTGCAAAGTGCCTTAAAAGAGTCGGCAGGGCTTACAATTGTCGAACAGACGGCCCAATGACTGGGCCGAGATGTGGACTCTTCACCTCTCAGCTACTGATCTTCATTGAGTTCTTGTTGAATCTCATAAGTTACGGTACTATTCTTACACATTTAACTTGGCAGCTCCCTGCTAGACTTGCTAATATTCTACAGAGTGCTACACATTGAATAGCTATAAATTAAGCCTTATTTATCATATGGAAACTCGATAGTTCCTAAACCTTGGTAATTTTGGATCTTCAGGTTTTTGGTGAGGACATGTTTGTCTACCCTCGAGAGATCCCGAGACCCTCTTTGTAGGTTTTAGGCTTTTGATACCGTCATGGTCGCTGGTTCAATCAATGGAGACGTCGGTGCAGATTCATGCTTCGTCAGTTGCTAACCTGATGGGTTGCTTTACAGATCACAAAAAATAGTAGCCTGGAATTTGTGTTTACATACACTTTTTGTGCAGTTGCTGAAAACATAAAATGATGTTGATTTTGATTAATCTGTACCGTGTCAAGATCATTCTGGTGAAAAAGATGTAATGGGTTAAGATCATTCTGGTGCATTCAGAATTCTAGTTTCTGAAAAAGATGTGGACAAACATTTCCTTTTGAATAGAATCCTACTTAAGCAAGTTCAACCCCAAGAAATTTCCAATATAATAATAATAAGGTGCCTAAAAAGGTGACATATTTTTGCTGGTGAAAAACAATCCTGGTGGTCATGCCTCAAGCAACAGAGCCAGCCATACTGGACTTTCAGTGCCCAATTTGGAAATTGCTGTCTGTGTTAACTTTACCCAAAAAAGAATTTGTCCACAATCCAACCAGTTCTCGGACGAAATGGCATGAAAAGAAAAATAAATAAAGTCATCACGTCTTGTTCTTTCCCCAATTATTTTATCTAAGATAAAGTTCTATGATGGACAGTTCATTTATGGAGACTTCTGGATGTGTTGAGTTGCCGGCAGATGATTGATCCCGCTGAGCAGGTAACCCTGTTTGGGGAATCGGCGTTGGACGTATGAAGAATGCAGGTGGATTAGGTATTGGTAGCGTAACAGAGGAACTGTTCAGCATTAGAGCCACTGAAGCCATGGTAGGTCTTAAATCAACATCTCCTTGAACACATAATAAACCAATGTGTACACACTGAATCACTTCCATCTTGTTGTAGGATTCCCCGATACTTGGATCGAGTAATGCTAATGGTGTTCCATCCCTCCATTGTCTCCAAGCCTGAAATTCATGAATTTGAAATCTTATTTTTCTGTTAAAATCTTAGACATTTATGAGGTAAATGACAATATTGTACCATTATAAAAAAAGTGTTCAAGAAAATGCATTCTTCATATGTCCGGTAAGGGAGAAAACTCACATAACTTAGGAGGTCACAATCGCCACCATGTGATTGCAAGAAACTACTGTTTCTCCTGCCACTTATAATTTCCAAAATTATAACGCCAAAACTATACACATCCGACTTGATTGAGAAACGACCATGGGATGCGTATTCAGGAGCCATATAACCGCTATCATTAAAATTGAAGAAGAAAAAATGTTAATTTGATGGGCTAATGAAGGTCGAATTAAGACTTCAGAAATATGGAAATGCCAAAGGAAAAAGTACAAAGCAAAATCCATGGGTTAAAAAGGTAGGAATCGCAGTTTCTTATGGGTGTTGATATGAAACATTGGTATGTAGAACTTACAATGTGCCAGCAATTCTGCTTGTGTTTCCATTAGATTGATCAATATCAAAAAGTCTGGCCATGCCAAAGTCTGCAATTTTTGGGTTCATATTTCGGTCTAGTAGCACATTACTTGCTTTAAGATCACGATGTATAATTTTGATGCGAGAATCTTCATGAAGATAGAGAAGGCCTTTTGCAATCCCACCTATGATCTGGTAGCGGGTCACCCAGTTTAACATCGATTGCTTTCCAAAATCTACATAGAGTGGCACAAAACAATCATTGATGCCCTCAAATTAGTTGATCTTGGTGATGATAGTTAAGGTAAAAACCTAGAACCTCTAGTTGGGTAAATCACCAAGATAGTCATTAACTTGAAGACAAAGTCACACACTGTTTTGGCAATAAGCCCAATTTCTTCTCTTCTCAACATTCTAATGACATCATATGAAATTCCCATGCACTAAAAGCTTACCAAAAAGGAAGTAGTCAAGGCTTTTGTTGGGAACATATTCATAAATGAGTAGTTTTTCTTCTCCTGCCAAGCAATATCCCAACAGTCTAACAAGATTCCTGTGCTGAAGCTTGACAACCAGAGCCATTTCATTAACGAATTCTTCAGTACCTTGTGTTGAGTGTCTAGACAATCTCTTTATGGCTATCATTTGCCCATTTGGCAATGTACCCTGGTCAGTTAAGAAAAAAAAAAAGAAGCAGATAATCAAATCTTAAGTACTCTCTCCGTCTCAAAAAAAAAAAATTTATTTAGTTATACTGTTTTAGTTCAACAAAATAGATTATTTTTCAGGAGTAATATTTCGGTATACAGGGCCAAATCCGCCTTCGCCAATCCTGTTTTCGACAGCAAAGTTGTTTGTACATGCTTGAAGTTGACTCAATCTATACTGCAATGATTGTGCATCCGTTCTGAAAGTGCTTACACCTGTAGTAAATCAAAGAATAGCAACACTATAGTGAATTGGTCTTCAAATGGATCCTAATGTTCTAAAATTCTTGTATTCATGAACCTTTTAAAAAAAAAGCCACCTGATGTTTCGTGTATTGCATTTTTAATCTTTTTTGCCGCCTTTATTATGTAGAAAATCGCGGCAAACTCAACAATGGCAACAAGGGCAAGGACAACAATGGCTATAATTATTCGGGTTGATACACCTCCATTATCTGTAAACTCGTCCAAAGTATAAAAAAAAAAAAAAAAAAACAAAAAAATTTAAATGAGATTGTCATTGATTCAAAGGAGTTCATTTGGCCTTATGGGTTTACCTTTACTGCTTTTAATTGCAGGACCCGCCGGAGGAAGTGGTGGTGGAAGACTAATTGTGGGCGATTCCGACGGTGGCGGAGGAGGAGGTGGGATTTGTACATAAAACGGGTACAGCTAGAACCTGTTATTACAGCTGGGAAATAAAACTCTACCTCCCTGACGATTAACACAGCATCCGGGAAGATTCGAAATAGCACTTCTCAGACAAATATCACAATCCATACTCGAAATATCAGGAGTACAATGTCCCAGAGTGAATATCTTCTGAAACGTCGTGTAATTAGCTTCCGCAACCGCGAATTTTCTTCTTGCCGGAATTCGGGTCGCCATATCCAGCCGCCCTGGTCGCGATCCGATCAAACGATTCGCCGATGACCCTGTTTAACAAACCCGGATCCGAAGCATTGTATCCGTTCGCTAGAGACCATTGAAAGCTTCTATCCATGTTTGAGAAGATGGATTGATTTGAATAACGCAGCATACAACCATCGTACCAGATATATACTCTGTTTTTATCCTGGCAGAGCTGCAAAACTTCCTGCCGGGCTGTTGGCAAGCAAACTTGACAATCACTGGTTGAAATATCCCCCCGGCAGAGAAACAAGCCGTCGACGGCGGTGGCAGGGTCATCCCCGGCGGTGAGATGATAGAAGCCAATTAGTTGGGTAGCATTTGAAACTAATCCTGAAAGGAGGGAATCCAGGTTGGTTTTGTAAGTTTTGCCATTAGTACTGTTCATATCGTATATTGTACTGTTGGGGCAGTCTAAACCAAGGGACCAGCGTTGCTGATATCCAGTTTGATTAATATGCTTAGAAGTAGCATTTGGAAGCAGAAGCTAATAAAGAACAGTAGATTCACTGAGGTCATCATCTTCATCACTATGGCAATTGAAATTCAGGGCAGGGTAACGGTATATTCAAGTATTGTCAAACATGACTCGGGTCAGTCTAGACTTGTGACTTTATTTTGTTTAATTGGATGGAGCTCTCTGTTCATACAATGACAAATCAGCAATAGAGTTAGTTACACATGGCAAATTTGAGCCATTGATGACTTGAATGTAAGTAACATAATAGCATTATCAATATTCTGCTCTCTGTTAGCAGAAAAATCTTTAGTACTCATACTTTCTTCCGGCCACGGAAGTCATTAGTCTACCAAAACGACCCTTAAACCATTGGAGCAAAAGTTGTGACATTTTCAATCCAAACTTCATAAACCTGTTGTTTGCTTTTGGGTTTGTGATGAGAAATGATTATGGGAGGTATTTCGCCATTTAAACGCATGATATTGAATTTTGTTTTCTAAGAAAAAATGCGGGATATTGAAATTTCTATTTCTTCACATGATACAGTTTGAGACTTTAACTTCAACATTATGCCTCATTTCCCATCAAAGCATGCTTAAGGCATAATTTTTTACAACAAACCTGCATGTATCATGAAATTTCTTGTGTGATGATACATGATCCTAAAAAGGTGACACAATTTTGCGGGAGAAAAACAATCCTGATGGTCCTGGCTTTTGCAACAGAGCCAGCCGTTATATCCAGGTATTTTTTGGCCAGTATCCTGGTGTATGCATTCAGGGCTGCTTTTGATAATGTGTAAGCAGAAAGAACAGATGGCCAGCCTTCAGTTTCCAGCAAGCCTTCTTTGAAGTCTCTCATAAATTTGTTCAGTACCTCATCAACCGTCTCCAGAGACAAGCGATTCGTATCATCTAATATTGTTTGAGCCCATCTGTTGCCAACAAACTGTCAAAGTTTCAACTATGGCAATGAATCAGAAAAGGAAGCCATTTGCCATTAGCTAGTGATGATGCAACAAACTGGAAGAATCCTTGTAAATTGTACCAAGTTACCTTAAGCTTTCCAGATAAAGAAGAAACATTGACAATTCTGCCGGAATCAGATAGTTAGTCTTTAAGCAGTCTTCTGCTAATTCATAAGTTTGAGAGGATACCTCATTCCATTCAATGTTTTTACCAGGCTGCAATATGAATGATATAGAAGTTCATTATAAGGGATTTCCGGGTCGAAAAAGAAGCAAAATTGTCAGATCTGTGCCATTTGCAATCTCTAGGTTCAGAGTGAATGTGCACGTATGCAGCGTACCTGAAGACTTTCCGAAAGAGACAGAGCTTTCATATCCACTCTAACTCCAATAGCCGCTGCATTGTTTACCTGCAAAGGAGTTCAGAATATGATCATGATTCACATACCATTTCTTGTACGACACTGAAGTAGGAAAATGCAAGAAAGTAATTGATCTGGAGCCGAAACTTAAGAGCAAGCCATTTTTTGGATGCCTGATCTGATAGAACTTTCCAAACCATCACACAATTTACCAATATGATACATGTTTCAGCCCAAATAAAACTAGATTGACTTTGGAACACTTTATCCACAAATTAAGCTACAAACTTTCATCGAAAGTGAGAGTTTTATGGTCTACATCATAAGTGTATCCAAAGGGGGAATTTCTTCCTGAAGTTCAAATATGTAAGGGAGTTATGGATGGTAATACCAGTATATCAAGCTTCCCAAATCAGCTTTTGATAAACTCTGCAATGGAAGCTATGCTAACAGGATTGAGAATGTCAAGCTGATGAAAGATCAGATAGTCAGATACACCTTCCTTCTTGAGATAATCAGTAGCTTTAATACCCCTTTCTTCATCTCTGGCAGTTAGCACCACAATCACACCCTTGGAAACTAACTGTCTACAGATCTCGAGTCCTATTCCTTTGTTTGCTCCCGTGATAACTGCAACCCTGGCAGATGCACTTAAAAATTACAAAAAGGAAAACAGATTTCCTAGGCATTCAACTCGCTAAAGAGAGAAGAAGATAAAGTAAATCATGCTTTAGTTCAGTATAGGAATCAGCCAAACTTGGCAGAAACAAGATTATGACCTACATATGTAACTAAATGAAAACTGAGGAGTGATGAAAAGATGAATTCAGGCTGGCCATCCATATGTACAAAAATCACAATCACTTTCTGAGGAAAACAAATGGATCCAATGATGAAGAGCTAAAATTCTTAATGGGAATAACAATCAGTGAAAGTACCTTTGTGTGGAAAGAAACTCGGAAGCGCCTTCCATGATTGCAGGCTGTAGTAGTTGATAGATTCTACTGCAAATCTCATTAACTTGCACCAGTTGAGATCAGCTGCAACTGTGAAGAGACCTCAAGCAACAATATTGGCGTAATAAAATATGCCATCTACGATCTTCAAAACAATAAAAATTGGTGCATCAGTTTGTGACACCAGCAAGAAGTGCACGGAATAATTATTAAATTCACTACACTTCGAATTTAGAACCTCAACCATAATGAGATATCATATACTACCCAAAAGGTTAGTATAAAAATCATTGCGGTCAGACTATTCTCCAGTCCAAAATTATAAAAAATTTGCTTGCGATTGCAATAACTAAGCATTCACCCCATTGAACGTTTACAACAACAATACCTAAGTGCATATCTCACAAATGTTTACATACAACAAAAATGCATTATACACTTTAAAAATACTATCATCATGCAAGGACTTGAACAATGCAAGAACTTGACTATAAAGAGATCATGGAGGACTATTTTCTCATTTAGAAGGATGTCACTTCTCCCCGAGCAAAAAATAAACCAGAAGGACCATCATCAGGCAGAACAACAAGCTTCATAATCTTGTCAGCACCTTCTTCTACTGTCAGGATGCCTGAGTTAAAGTTCATATCAGTTTTGACATAACCAGGACAGACGCAATTCGCCTTCATGTTTGGCAGCTGCTTCTTTGCCACTATTCTTGTGTATGCATTCATGGCTGCTTTTGAGACTCTATATGCCCCAAAGTATAAGGGCCATCCTTTGGTTTCCAGGGTTCCTTCTTTGAAGTCTTTCAGAAATTCATTCACCACCTCATCCACTCTTTCTTCTGTAAGGTTGTCGACATCGCTTAATATCTCTTGAGCCCATTTGCTTGGTATATTCTGAAAAATGTCAAGAATCGGTTTAAAATTTAAGGAATACATGAAGAACCATTGTCCCACAGTATTTTTTTTTTGCAAATCGAAAACACATACAACTTTAAAGAAAATTTCTGATTTATATTACCTCTAGCTTCCCCATTTCAGCAGAAACATTTACAATTCGTGGGGATTGAGATGACTGGAGAAGTGGGAGAAAGGATTCAATCATTCTTTTAGCTCCATAGTAGTTTGTTTGTAAGCAGTTCAATGCCAAGTCATATGTTTGAGTCACTAACTCATTACCACAATCTTTAGATCCTTCAACCTGAAGTAGTCAAAATGAAGGATCACCCGGAAGTCGAATTGGAATAAATCGACATCACAGCGAGATGATAAATAAACCCGTGCAAGTTGCAAGATAAAATGTGAAATTGTACGATTAATATGAAGAGATAAAAAGACAACCTATAATCAATAATGTCTATTCTAGCAAAGCTGCAGTCCAAGGCAAAGAAGGTTAATTAATTACCCCTTCATCACCAGCTCTCACTGCAGCTGTTAAACTATCTGCACCATCTGAATAGACTCCAAGTATTGCCGCATTGTTCACCTAAAGTTCAAAGAAAACATAACTAAGCTGGAACAGAATGAACTTCAAGTGTCAACTGATCATCAGGTTTGATCATAATACTCCTACGTTTTCTTTCAACAGCTAATCAGAAAGAAATGATAATGGGTTTAGTGCAATTAACTGTACTAATTGGACATTCATATCAAAGCTAGTGAATCATACACTAATTAACAACACATTATATTAGAGAGTTGACCAGTACCAAGATATCAAGCCTTCCAAACTCAGTTGTGACAAATTCAGCAAGTGAAGCAACACTTGATGAATCAGCCACATCCAGCTGATGGAAGATCACATCACCGGAAAGCCCACCAGATTCTTTGAGCTCGTGAAGTGCATCAAGACCCCTCTTTTCATCTCTCGCAGTTAACACCACTGTGATTCCAAGAGAAGCTAATTGCCTGACAATCTCAAATCCTAAGCCTTTGTTTGAACCGGTCACAATAGCAAATCTGCCAAATCACCATACATAATCACTTTAAAACCAGAACCTTTAAGATTTTCATAAAGGGTCTAAAATAAAACAGATACAGAACCTCTTGGATTCAGCCATATGATTGGTACCAAAATTTAAAGACTTCGACTTTATTTTCTCAGTTGATCTTCAGTTCCCTGCAGATCGTGCTTGATTGCTTATACTATCATTGTCATGGTGGACTCTCTGACTTGGTCAAAGTCATGAAGGGAACTCCAAATCAACAACCCCCGCATTAATGGCATCTTATGTGGTCCTAATCCCATGTTCATGCAAAAGGAGAAAACAAGTGGTAAATGTAGTTTCCACGGTTACGGAAGTAGTTTACCTGTCTTAATATCAATCATCCAAGAACTTCCAGGCTCTTTATTTTCCGCCAAGGTTAAGATTTGCAGTAAGCTTGGTTGAATATTCAAAGCGGAAACATAAACATCTCTATTGATTTCGGGTCACACTTATGGATTATCAAAATCATTAAAAGCCAATTAATTTCCTTAGGAACAAAAATGTAATTTCTATGCCTTTTTTTCTCCCCCTTCTTTTTTCGTATTTATCATTTTCTAGCCCAGGACTCATCATCTTCCTTCATCCTCCTATACATTCTAATCAGCTCCTGAGAGATCAGGATATTATGAAGTATATAAGGGTCCTTAACGAAGGCATTCTGGTTCTCATCAATAAGAGCAAATAATAACATTTTTAGTCTATTACAAAGTACCTTAGAGATGCATTTGTAAAAGACATTACAACATGCTATTGGCCGAAAGTGACTAGCATTAAGAGGGACATTAATCTTATGAATAAGAGCCAAAATAGTGGCATTAAGTTATTTTAATAACTGACCAGAATTGAAGAACTCCAGCACATCATCAGTGATATTCTTTCCTACAATGTTCCAGGTTGACTTCTAGAAACCTGCTCCGAATCCATCTGGCCCGGGGTTTTTATTTATACTCATCTCCCATAGTGCTGCTTTGACCTCCGCTTCTGTAACCGGCCTGATTAGATTGACTTGTTGCTCCACCGAAACCACTGGACTCAGTTTGAATACAACATTTACAGAGGTTTCCCTTGCAGCAGATTGCCCTAAAAGTTGTTGATAAAATTTCAAGAAGTGATATTCTATTCCAACCCAGTCGTTTATCTCTTCTCCATTCTCCTCCACCACATTCCAGATTCTATTTCGCATGGTCTTTACTTTCAGCACTGAATGAAAAAATTTTGTATTTGCATCACCTTCTGCAACCCAATGTGCTTTCGCCTTTTGCTACAGAAAACTTAAAGCTGCTCTGTGACGAGTCCATATCCACCACGATTATTGGACCGGCCCATCCACCAAGTAAGGCTTAACCGGCCTTGGCCTTGTAGAGACGGTTCAGGAATATGCATCCTAATGGGATTCAGCTTCCCTGGAGGTAATTCCATGCCTATAAATAGGATTGGTCTCACCATAATTGAGGTACGCTATCTTTGACACTAATTCACACAGACTATTTCACAACCTATTTTCTGACTTAAGTTTCGGAGTGTTTATCCTCGGGAGGTCCCGAGGGTCTGTTTTGCAGGAAATAACCGGAGTTCCACCACTAGACTGGAGGTGCAATTCCAGGTATCGTCACTCTGTTTGACAGGATGTATCGACTATAAGCTTCTCTTTCTTTTACCTGCAACTCAGTATTACATGGATCATTTGCTAACTCCTCTTGCAGTCCCTGTAGCAATCTCTGATCCCTGTTTGCTGTTTCAACTATATCATCAAACTGAATGCGATTTAGCTCTTTCAGTTGAGCTTTCAGTTGCTTCAGTCTACAAGTCACCTGAATCATCTTAGTCCCCTTAATTTGCTTTCCCCAACTTCTCTTGACAGTGTCCTGAAAATGATCAGACATGCTCCACATATTAAAGTAGTAAAACGGTTTAAACTTTTCTGTCTTTCAGCGTTCACTCCTACAATTAATGGTGCATGATCAGAAATCCCCTCAGGTTTAACTAAGGCCCTTGATTCAAAAAATTCTTCCACCCACTCCTCATTCACCAGAGCTCGATCTAATTTTGAATAAACTCTATCAATTTCAACTCTTTGATTGCACCAAGTGTACAACTTCCCAGTAAATTGAGGATCCATCAGCCCACATTCTTCAAGACATAGCTGGAAATCTTCATAGTCTTGCAACATCACTGGATTACCCCCAAGTTTCTCCTCAGGTTTGAGAACATTATTAAAGTCCCCCATAATAAGCCAGGGTTCCTTAACACTTCTTGACAGACTAACCAAATCTGCCCATAATAACTTTCGCTCTTCTTGATCATTTGAAGCATATATCTCCATAAATTGAAAGGATATGTTCTTCTCCTTCAGTTTCACTAAACAATGAAGTCATTGATCCGTCTGAAAGTTTGACTCTACCTCCAAACTATCATTCCAAAACAACAAGATTCTACCCGTCATGGTTGCAATAGTTATTACTCCACTGCCAACCATTTCAAAATTGATTCTTATACTTTTCTCCTCTTTCCTTAAAAAATGCATTAGCTTTAAATGAATGAACTTGAAATGTGAGATTGCCAAAAGTACAGATTTCAAACTTTTTTTTTTCTTAAATAATTAGCAACATGAAGGTTACAGGCAGAATTGACATGCATCATGACTAAGAAGAAACATGGCCATCATGTCTTGACAACCATGCCCCTCTCCCCCGAAAAGATAATTAAAAAAAAAAAGAGTGAACTGCATCAGAGGTCACTAAACTATTAAAAAGTACGTGATTCGGTTACTACAAATATTTAATTACTACTGAGTACACTATACTTATGAATAGTATATTAATTTTGACCGTTAGTCTCAAATTTTCATTAGAATTAGGGGTATTGAATGTCCAATGTAAAAATTACTATTTATCGTCTTTATTTTTTGGATCCTTCTAAGGATTATTAACATTTTAATCCTAAAAATTTAATTTAACATTTCTTTTTTTGTGTTATTTTAGTATCCTCTAATTACATTGTTTTTGTAATATTTTTATTTTTATTTTATTTTTAATATATTTTTATCTAATGTCTATGTGCATACGAATTCAATTTACATTTTTTTCTGCAATTAAATTTTTTTAAAAATATTTATAATATCTACTTGGATTATCAAATAATTTTAATCAAATTAAAATAATATCAGTATTTTATGATTGAGTTGTGATAGATACATGAAAAAATTACAAGAAAAACTTACAAGGAATGATGTGTCATTCATCAAAACTATGCCATAACCATAACTACTTGAACCCGAATGGAAACTTTTAAAAATAAATGGCTATGATCAATTTTTTTGTCATTTTTCCTTACACTAATCATTATTCTTTATGAATATAGTTTATACATAATGATCAAAACATTTTATAAATTAAATTTAGAAACGAATTTGAAATTGGTCGCTATTTCGTAAGTCTGGAACATTTACTAGTAGGAACCAATTTGTTAAATTCCAATTTTAGTGTGTACTTTTGGCAAATTTTCTATTAGAACCATCTTTTCTAAAAAAAAGTAATTTGTAAAAAAATATAAATTAAATTCTTGTACATAGTAGACATTAAAGGAATATACATTGAAAACAAATTAAAAATAAAAAGATTACAAAAACAATCTAATTAGAAAATACTTAAAAAAAAATAAAAAAATGTCAACTTAACCTTTTTTATAAAGTAAAATTTTGCGAAGAGCAAAATGTTAATACTCCTAACTAGAAGGACCAAATAATAAATTTGATAGATATTAATTTCTGTATTGGACGTTCAATATACCCAATTTAACGGAAAATTTGAAATTAGTGGTCAAAGTTAACAGAATGACTAATTATAAACATTATTCATAAGTATAGTGACCTTCATATTAATTAAATTTTTATAGTGATCAAACTACGTACATTTGAATTTTTTCTTTTTTTTTTTTTCATATTTCAGGGTGTCCACCGTCGGCAATAGTGACTAATTCCCCTCGCTCATGGTAAGCACTTCGATGGGTGGGAAAGGTGGCCAAAGGATTTAAGGTTGCTCCATGCCCATAACACGATTTGAACTCTCGACATATGGTTAAAGGTGGAGGAGTCATTAACAACCCCTTTGATTAACATTTGAATAGTTTAGTGGCCTCTCGGGCAGTTCACATTTGTGGTCTCCTCCTCGGATCAAATTGAGGCCATTCCAATCCTAAGTGTGTCACAGGAAGTGTTTTTTATCCACATATGCATATAATCATCGAGAACTTGAAAAAAAGGCGAGAATTATGAAATATTTAAGCACAAACTAAGAGATTAGAACCAATCAGTACCAAGATATCAAGCCTTCCAAACTGAGCCTTGACGAATTCAGCAAGCAAGGCAACACTAGGTGAATCCACCACATCAAGGCGATGAAAGATTAGATCACCCCAAAGTTCAGATGAATCTTTGAGCTCTTCAAGTTCTTCAATGCCGAGGTAGTCTTCTTCTGATGAAAGTCTCAATTTTTCCAAGGGAGCAGAGGAGAAAAATCAAGTAATTTTTGAGCATGTTGGTTCATTTTGAGCCCATATATTAGATGATAGATTAAACGGTGAAAAAGTAAACCTGTTTAATTATAAAAAACACAATTATACATCAAAACAATGTAGTTTTGTTCTAGGGACTGGATAGAGATTTTTTAGATAGGTGATCTGAACCCAGTTTGGAGATTGTGGTATGGAAGAAATAATGCTTATTATTACTGTTAGAAATTATTATATTTTATTTTATTTTTTTAGATCGTTGTTTTGAATAAACGTGAAATGATTCACAAAGAATGGTGTAAAGCATATTTATGCAGAATTTTACAACCGATTTTTTGGCATCATTTGCGGCGGCAAGTGTTAGAGGTCTTATTTGGTTGAATGAGCCTTTAGATAAACTAAAACTATGGTTACTTCATGACATAATTGGTATTTCTTATCAACGAGTCGTATCAGATTATAAATCTCTTATCATTATTTTAAAAAAAATAAAAAAGAAAAAAACAAACATGCTAACAAATTTTGCGTGGAAAGGCCATGTAACGCTTGCTTATTATGATACCTTTTGGCGCTTGTTTTATCATCACATTTCGAAAAAGAAAAGAAGGCCACACAATTCTTCGCGAAAGGTAGAAATCAAGAATTGAACTGGCAATATATCACCAATAATATTTATTTTTAAAACTGAAACTTCAATTAGATGGTCACATCATGCATATTGCAAATCGTGCACCTTCTCTCTTCTTCTGCCCCTTCTCTTGTCTTCATCCAAAACATAATGTTCCAACCTAATTGAGCCTTGGAAACTTTATTTGGTCTGAAATCACCACCAAAAAAAAAAAGAAAAGGAATTTAGTTTATTTTATAAACAAAACCACTGACACTGACAGTATTAATTTGGAACGAAAAAAAATATATGTTGAGAAGGATTTTCTCAAAGAGAAAACTAAATTTTATATGTACAGATTTTGGATTTTATTCTCCAAAATTTGAATGCGTATGACCATACATTAACCTAATACTACATATCACAACCCTAAAACATTTCTCTCGTAAATCATAAAATTAATAAACAAAAAGATAAGATAAAAGCATGAAGCGATAGTCCATCCGTCCCAAAAATTATTGTCCAATTTGAATTTTTTTAATTTTAGTTCACTTTGCACTAAAAATAAAAATTTAAACTCAAACGATAATTTCTAGACAGAAGAAGAAGAAACATTACGTGTGATAAGAGCCCAAATCCCGACAGCTATGGCAACTAAACAGAGCAAAATGAAAAGGATACACCACACCTTGACCGGCAAAGACATACAACAAAGACAACATTCACATGATTCGCAGTCGTCGTCGTCAAAACAACACAAGTCGATATCGTCCATAATTTCTCTTCTGTTTTGCTATACTGATACAACGTTGATAGAACCCTAATTATGTATGTTATAGCTACTTTTTGATTTCATATAGCGGTATATATAGACTTATTATCGATTCATTCGGTATTACCTTTTACGTCAAATTGATCGATGGAGTTAATTCAATGGGCTTATAACCACTAAATGATCGTCAAACCTTATAGAAAGAAGTCAATTACTAGCTTAAATTAAATATAATTACCTAAACCATTACCTTCTTTTGCGTTGATTTTAAACCATCCTCCTTAATTTATTTAGCTAGTTTCCTTCATGATTTCTTCTCACACGCTTGATTTGTGAATTAATTAGCGTGATTTCCCTTTTTTTTTTTGAAAATAATTAAGGTAAGGTAATTAAACACTAACGAGATAATCTGATATACTAAAAATAATATGAACCATTGTAATATTTTCTATATTTTTATGGCTTACAGGCGGCTAGGAACCCTAGAGGCTAGAGATGCCTTGTTTACTTAATCAAGAACTAGGGTTTTGGAAAGGTGTAACCCTAATTCAAAAATCTAATGTGTCCCTACTAATAATTTTAGTTTCTCTCGCAACCCAGAAGAAAAAAGTTTCCCAAACTTTTCGGCTTTTTTTTTTAAAAAAAAAAATTGGAAGAAAAACCACCCAATATATTTCTAAATACCATGTATTCCTTTTGTCAAAAAAAAAAAAAAGTTCACATTGAGTTTTGAGATTTGTATTAATTAAAACTCAAAACTTAATGTAAAATTATAAATTTGAGAGTATTCTTCTCGTGGCAACGTAAATGACGATGAATGACGAATACTAGACTGCATATAAGTTATCAATCATATCCCTCATTTTTTCATGCATGCATAAAATGAATGGCAAACAACATTTTGAATTCTTAACATTGTATGTCGATTTTTTTTTTACTTTGTGATTCAACTATGATTGGTACGAGAGGTTTCAAGAGTTTGGTCTTTATTTTCTCAGCTGATCTTCTGTTGGCATCTGAGAGTGATGCGTTATACGGTTTCTTATATTCCAGGTTGGAGGGCTTTGAATTAATTGTTCAAAGTTGTAGTGATCAACAATAATGTTTAATAGTCACATTAAAGTTTTCTTCCATAGTCATCATTATGATATCACTTCGTGCACAAAATGCTTTCCAAAATTGATAAAGTTTCCAAATAATCTTTGAACACCGGGAATCCATATGAAAATTCCACACTGAAGAATGAAAAAGTTCAAATAAGTGGTGCTTGAAAAAGAGAAAGAAATGAAGAGTTGATTCAGGTGCATTCTTTTCCATCAATCAAAAGACTCGCAACCACGCTCAAGTGTGTGGTTTCCTGGTACAAATTTCTACCCAATGAAGAAAAATATTTACGAATCCGTATCCACCAAAGATTATAGGACCGGGCTATTCGGCAATTAGGGCCTAGTCGGTCTTAAGGCAATTCGGGAATAAGAATCCTAAGAGAATTCGGCTTCCCTCAAGGTAATTCCATGCCTATAAATACGGTTGGTCTCACCATAATAAAAGTACGCAATCTCTAGCATACCTTACGACTTACAAATATTCCTAAAACCCTTTCTTAACTTAAATATCGAAGTGTCTATCCTCAGGAGCCACCCCCGAGACTCTCTTTTGCAGGAAACTCTAGCCGGTGTTCCACTATTGAACTGTCGAAGGCAAACCAAGCTCCCTCAAGTATAAAGATCTTTCGTGATCGACAAAAGTTCCTAAACATCATAAATGACGGATGATAACTCTTGAAAGAAAAGAAATGCACCTGAACTATGCGATATGCTTGACAATGCGTAAAGACACGATGTCAAGCATTCTTTTCCTAAGTTGAGTTGTTGAGGACATCAAAGGTTTCTCATCATCATATATATATTTACAAGAATAACAAATATCATTGCTTCATTTCGTATTTTTATTCAGATCACATTCTTCGCTCTCATCTATTATTCAGTAAGTTTCCTAATGACAGAATGGAAAAAAAAAAAAATTTGGCAAACCCGATCGCGCCATTAATGCATGGTATTTCTTTTTAAAAAAAGGAGAAAAGCACAGACCTTTATGTAGTGTTCTACATCCAACTTAAAATTGTTGTAAGGGAAATTTTTTTTCTGAAACATGATTAATACACAATAGATTTTGATGATTAATGGCACACGACAACAAGAAATAAAAATGCAGCTTCAACTAGTGATTGTCGCAAAACTCTTGACTGATCTACACATTATTTATCTATTAATCTATATGTAAAACACATGGATAACCCCTAGATCATGAGTATATATACAAAACTATAAACATAAAGAGTATATATAATAGTGGGCCATTTTTTATTAGTAGGATGATACTTCTCCCCCAAGGAAAAACAAGCCAGAAGGACCATCATCAAGCAGCAGCACAAGCTTCATAACCTTCTCAGCACCTTCTGTAACAGATATCGTGCCGGCGTGGAAGTTGAAATCAGTTTTGATAAAACCTGGACAGATGCAATTGACCTTCATATCAGGGTGTATCTTTGCCACAATCCTTGTGTAGGCATTCAGGGCTGCTTTTGAGACATGGTAAGCCCCAAAGAATAGAGGCCATCCTTTGGCTTCCAAGGATCCTGCTTTGAAGTCATGCAGAAATTCATTCACCACCTTATCCACTCTCTCCTCTGTGACATGCTTTTCGTATACTGTGAAAAATGTCAAGCATCACACAGTTGAGGTGCATTCTTTTCCAATAGTGCAAAAAGACTCAAAGCCATCCACAAGTAAGTTTTCTGATAGGCCTTTTCTGTGTCCTATTGCTATACAAGACTTCAAATAACATTCAACATTTCCAAACAAGGTAACTGAGAAGAAGATTTTAAAATAAGATCACCTTTAATAGCCCATACTCAGAGGACACATTGACAATTCTGGGTGATGGAGATAATTGGAGAAGTGGCATGAAGGCTTCAACCATTCTTTTTGCGCCGTAGTAGTTTGTTTGCAAGCAGTTCACTGCCAGTTCATATGTTTGAGGGATATTCATCTCATTCCAATTGATGTTATCCCATTCTGTCTGCAACAATCAAGATTAAAGTAAATCTGGTTATACAGAATCAAGATTAGATAATAAAAATCTTATCATCCAACCTCCCCATGAAATTAAAGGGAAGCTGAAGGGGTGGTACAAAAGAACATTAGCAGTCTACAAAGAAAGAAAATGGCAGCACAAAAGAAATACAAACAGGGGTGAGCTTTTTGATTAATCAAAATATTTTTGAGTATCCTGATTTTTTTCTTTTCATTCCTTTTGATGTATATAGACATATGGTCATTGTGAACTGTCTAACTGTAGACTGTTATATTTCTTCAAAGAAACTGTGCCAAACAGATTCATCTGCAGTTCAAGGAAGGAAAAAAAAAAAAAAAAAAAAAAACCTGACCCCTGAAGCAGCTTGTGCAGCAGCAGCTTGCGCAATATCACTGTCTGCGCTGGCTCCGATTATTCCTGCATTATTCACCTAAGATGGAAAAAAATACAGTAGCTTGAAGTGAATGAACTTGAAATTTGAGATTGCCAAGAGTTCAAACTTCAAACTTTTTCTTGAAATTGAGGCCCTTTCAATCCAAAGTGTATTACAGGAAGTGTTTTCTATGCACATATGCATATATAATCATCATGAGCTCCGAAAAAAAAAGCAAGAAATATGAAATTTGGATATTCATAATTTCATATTAAAGCTATATTAAAGCACAAATAAGAGATGAGAACCGATCAATACCAAGATATCAAGCCTTCCAAATTTATTCTTGATGAATTCAGCGAGGGAAGCAACACTGGATGAATCAGACACATCAAGCTGATGAAAAAGCAGAATACCATCAGAAAAGCCATCAGATTCTTTCAGCTTCTGCACAGCCTCAAGACCCCTTTTCTCATCTCTAGCTGTCAACACCACAGTGATTCCATGAGAAGCTAATTGCCTCACAATCTCAAATCCCAGCCCTTTGTTGGACCCTGTCACAACTGCAAACCTGCTAAATGGTAACACGTAAATTTTCGCTAAAAGCTTTAACATCCGACAAAATTAAAAGGCGAACATCAGTACTACCAACCGCTTGGATTCAGCCATATGATTGGTACGAGGTTTCAAGAGTTTGGTCTTTATTTTCTCAGCTGACCTTCAGTTGGCAACAGATGCCTTATATAGTTAGTTATATTCCAGGTGGCAGGGCTTTGAATTGTTCAAAGTTGTAGTGATCAACAATGTGTAATAGTCCCATTAAAGTTTTCTTCCATAGTCATCTTCATGATATCACTTGGTGCACAAACTGGTTAAAAACCTTATCAGTTCATTCATAAATAATTTTTGAACACCTGGAATCCATATGAAAAGTCCACATTGAATAATGAGAAAGTTCAAACAAATGGTGCTTAAGAGAAGAGAAAGATAGAACAGTTTCAAAAGAAATGAAGAGTTGATTCAGGTGCATTCTTTACCTAATGACGAAAAGAATAAAGATAGCATATCTTTCGTAATCGACAAAAGTTCCTGAACGTCATGGATGACGGCTGATAACTCTGGAAAGAAAAGAACATAACACCAGATTTAGCTGCAAACTTTACCATTCCTGCAGCTTTTGCAGCAGTAAAAGCATCATTTTCTTTGTCTCTGTCTGCTCCACTTAATTCCTTGCATTGGAAAAGACCAAACTGAAATCAGTGTTATCGAAATTATGATCCTAAGTTGTAGAATCAGCGACTCGTGATCCTACCAATATCAGGGAAACAATCCTAAATCGTGCAGAATCGCTTTTATGTGCTGAATCAAAGCAGATTCTCGTTTAGGATTTGTTCCAATCAGTTTGAATGGTTGGAAAAATTGGACTGTAAATGTACCCTTGCATAGTAGATACTTCAATCATTCAAGGGAAAAAAACTAGAATAATCCAAGATCAGAGTGAAGACTGAGGATGGACTAAATCACAATTTGAACAAAAAAGTGCTGTTTGGAAGTAATCTCCAAATAGTTTAAGCTTAAGGACAATGTTTACAAGCTCATGCATGAGAAATGGATTATACACTTTTCGTACACAGTTATTTATCTATAAAAAACAAAATGATAATCCAAGATCATGGAGAAACAGTTTGATTAGAGTCTAGAGGGATGACACTTCTCCCTCAATGAAAAACAACCCGGAGGGGCCATCATCAGGGAGCATAACAAGCTGGAGAACCTTTTCAGCAGCTTCTTCTGCAGTTATGAAGCCTGTGTTGTAGTTAATATCAGTTTTGACATAACCAGGACAGAGGCAATTGATCTTCATACTTGGCTGCTTCCTCGCTGCGACCTTTGTGTACGCGTTAATGGCAGCTTTTGAGACAATGTAAGCCCCAAAGAATAAAGGCCATCCTTTGGCTTCCAGGGATCCGGCCTCAAAGTCCTGCAGAAATTCATTCACCACCTCATCCACTCTCTCTTCTGTAAGATGCTTCTCGTCGCTTAGTGTCCCCTTTGCCCATTCATTCGATATGTACTGGAAAAATGTAAGAATCTCAGCAATTTCAAAAAGGACTCAAAACCAAACATTTTTAGTTTCTGTGTCTGTGTTTCTTCCCATGTATCATGTTATAGCTAGAATAACCAACTTGGCAGTGTTGATCCCTTTGACAAAATTAACTGTACTACTACTAAGTTTGATATCCTACCACAACATGAAAATTCCAGATAACCGAAAAGAAGATGTGAGTTAGGAGTAATATATATCACCTTTAGAAGCCCCGTTACTGAGGAAACATTTACAACTCTTGGTGATTTAGATAACTCGAGAAGTGGTGTAAAGGCTTCAATCATTCTCTTATCACCATAGTAGTTTGTTTGCAAGCAGTTCACTGCCATTTCGTACGTTTGAGAATCAATCATCTCATTCCAATTGATTTTTTCCCATTCTGTCTGCAAGAATTAGGATTATGGATCAAAGGAAATCTTCAAGTATATATATCATTTACGCCCTCATATAAAAGAACCATGTATATATAACATATCACACCACTTTTCAACCACACCCAACCCAAAAAAAAAAAAAAAATTAACAGCTTCAAAGATTGAAAATGGCAGGACAAAAAGACAGGGGAAGAAGGGTGAAAAGTTTGATTAATCAAACATATTTTTGCTATGTTCTGCTTTGTATGATCGTCCTGATGCGTAAGGACATTATAGTTATGAATGGTCTTAACTGTTGAATGTTAGGAAGCAGCTTTTAGAGAGGTTGTCATGCAAGGGATCATGAAACAGACACATCAAGAGGGACATTCAAAGGTGAATGCTGTAATCTGATATACCAAATTAGATCTAGAACAAATCGAAGGTCTTATAGCTCAATGGTCGATGCCTAATATTTCTTCAAAGAAAATGCCCACAGATTTAGCAGCAGTTCAAGGTTTAAAAAAAAAAAAAAATTACAACAGCTTACCCCGGTAGCTGCTTGTGCAGCTGCAGCAGAATAGCCTTCATGACTTGTTTTGACTCCAATTATCCCTGCATTGTTCACCTGAAACAAAAAGTATACATTAGCCTGAAAGTAATGAACTAGAAATGTGAGACAATTGTCAAGTTTGCTTATTGCAAACTACTTTTTCTTCAATCAGTTATAAACATTTGACAAATTCAACTGATATGCATTACAATTACAAAGAATATTAGCATCATGTCTACACACCATCACTGCCCCCAGAAATTTAAAATATCAAGAAAACGAAACAGAACATTTGCTGTTATTGGACACTCAACCATGAACAAGATCTGGTTGGACAACAAGCCAGAACTTCTTGGTAATAGAGCTGAATATTCCTGGTTTCTACCAAAGATTTATCCCCATTGGTCCCATGCATCCATCATAGAAGGTTTAATCTTAGAAGCACAAAATCAGATATGAAAACTAAATAGTACCAGGATATCGAGCCTTCCAAACTGAGCTTTGACAAATTCGGCAAGTGAAGCAACACTAGACGAATCTGCGACATCAAGCTGATGAAATATCACATCACCAGAAAGATCACCAGATTCTTTGAGCTTGTGGACTGCATCAAGACCCCTCTTCTCATCTCTTGCAGTTAACACCACAGTGATTCCTTGAGAGGCTAATTGCCTCACAACCTCAAATCCTATCCCTTTGTTTGCCCCAGTCACTACTGCAAACCTGACAAATAATATAGCTTAAAATATACATTAACCTTTTTAACAGTGGGGACAAACTGAAACAGAGAACACAAGTACTACCAACCTCTTGGATTCCGCCATTTTATTGGTGCAAGGTTTCAAGATCCTACCTTTGTTTTCTCAGATGATCTTCAGTTGGCAGCTGATGTCTTTTATATTATTGTATTCCTTCTTTACCAGGCTTTGACTTGTTCAAATTTCTTATATATGGATCACAATATTTAAACAATCCCCATCAATGTTTTTTTCCAACCGGCATAATCCCAATTGGGTGCTTTAAGACTTATGAGCGTTTTACACATCCCGGAAGAATCGTAACTTAATCGACTAAATGTCTATGTTGAAAAATGAGAAAGTTCAAACAAGATGGGATTAAGGAAGAGAAAGAAAAGTCCAAAAGAAAACAGGAGTTGGTTAACGTACCTTCAGTGTGGTTTCATGGTACAGTTTCTTCTTTTGTTATTTCCCCTTGAATTACACACCCATTGTCCGAACTCAAAGTCCAAATTCATCTGAATCAAATAGCTCCTTTTCATCTTCATAGTTAAATTTACTGTCTAGACGACCGACTACCTCAACCAAATGCTTTTTGGTTTATTCTTACCTGACATTTTCTCTAGGCGCAAAGAAGCTTGCATTGCAGTAATCATGGTTACAACAGATTATCCCAATTCCCAAATGCAAAAGCTGTTAAAGGAAAATCACTAAACGCGTGATTAAATGGATTATACACTTTGTACACATACAGTTATTTATCAAACAAAACTCAACGATAATCCAAGGTCATGGTTTTTAAGGAGAAGACCATTTTGATTAGAAGGATGCCACTTCCCATCGCGCGAAAAACAAGCCAGAAGGACCATCATCAGGCAGCATCACAAGCTTCATAATCTTTTCAGCACCTTTTTCTGCAGTTTGCATGCCTGTGTTGTTGTTAAGATCAGTTTGGACATAACCAGGACAAACGCAATTGACTTTCATGTCTGGCAGCTTCTTTGCCACAATTCTTGTGTATGCATTGTTGGCTGCTTTTGAGACAATGTAAGCAGAGTAGGATAAAGGCCATCCTTGGGATTCCAGGGAACCTTCCTTGAAGTCTTGCATGAATTTATTCACCACCTCATCTACTCTCTCTTCTATGATAAACTTGTCATCGCCTAGCATCCACTTTGCCCATTCGCTTGGTATATTCTAAGAAATAATGTCAAGAATCGCGCCATTCAGATGCATTTTTTCTTTTCTACTAGCAAAAAGGGCTCAATACTATGCTCGAGTTAATTCGTTTTCTGATACGATTTTTACATCGCCTTTGTATTTTTCTTCTTATCATGTTAGCTGGATTAACCAACTTTTTTTAGGTTCTATATCGTATCTGAAAATGATACTATAACTGGAAAGAAGGTTTGAGATTAAGATCACCTTTAACTGCCCCATTTTTGATGAAACATTGACAATTCTGGGTGATTGAGATAATTGGAGAAGTGGGGGTGAAGGCTTCAATCATTCTTTTTGAGCCATAATAGTTTGTTCGCAAGCAGTCCACTGCCAACTCATACGTTTCAGCAACAATAATCTTATTCCAATCGATTTTCTCCCATTCTGTCTGCAACAAGCCAACAACCAAGACTATCTGACTATGGATCAAAGAAAATCTTGAAGTATGCACATGAGCCATGTTGTGTTGATGTTCCAAATCCCAACCAGGAAGACTTACAGAAATAGCTTCAAAGATGGAAAATGGAAGGACATAAAGAAATGCAAAAAGGGCTAAAATTCGAATCCATCGAAACATATTTGTTTGTATTCTGCTTTTTATGATCCCCCTGATGCGTAAACACATTACACATATGACCTAAAGTTTTGTTTTCTTTTTCTGGTGAATACGGTCTAATTAATTTTTGATTGTTAAAAGAGAAGCAGCTTTCAGATGGCATGCTACTTAACCTTTCTCTAGATCATGATACAGACACATCAACGAGCAAGGCCTAAATAGTGTACTGTATTTGGATCCACCAAACTAGATTTAGAAGAAACCAAAGTTCCTAATTAACGAGATAACAATATTGTAAGTTGAAAAACAGGTCTGAAGAAACTTGTCCAGTGTGAAAGATATTGTATATTTTGTAGTTCAAAAAACTTCTTCAAACAAATTACCCACACATTTAACTCCATAGATTCTTTTTCCCAAAAAAAAAGGGAAATTACCCCTGAAGCAAGTTCCTCAGCCGCAGCTGTATAAGCATCATTGTTTGTTCCAATTATTCCAGCATTGTTCACCTGAAACAAAAAGTAAACATTAGCTCGAGGCGAATGAAACTTAATTTGTGAGCTAATTGTCAAGTTTTTTCCTCTCAACATACTTTTTCCTTAATCAGCAAGAGGAGTTTTCAATCCAGGCATGATCCAGAAAATATGGAAGGGTTTTGGGTACAGTTAATAAGAATGGATGACTCTTGAGCAGTACAGCAACAAGTATGAAATTAGGAATTCATGTTAAAGCTAAATCAGATATGGAAACCAATTAGTACCAAGATATCAAGCCTTCCAAACTGAGCCTTGATGAACTCGGCTAGTGAAACAATGCTTGATGGATCTGCCACATCAAGCTGATGATAGATCACATCCTCAGAATCAGAAAGACCTCCGATTTCTTGAAGCTGGTGGAGCGCATCAAGACCCCTCTTCTCATCTCTTGCAGTTAGCCATAGGATTGATTGGTACGAGGTTTCTGGAGTTTGCCTTTCGTTATCTCAGTTCACTAATGCTACTAACAGTATTCTTGGTGGGCTCACTGGTTTATATTTTGTAACCCAATGGTAAAATGATAAAATCCCGATCAATGCTTTCTAGTTTCTTCCCATATAACTGTCAAAATCCCAAATTCCCAATTCAACCAGTGGTGAGAAGTGATTCGATGGCCACGAAGTTGATAACTTGTCAGTCTTCTCCAGGAGTTCCAGGGCTGGATGTAAAAAATAAAATAAAAATTAAAAAAAAAAAAAAGATTTCGTCTTTTGCAGAAGACAAAAAAAATAAAAAAAAATAAAAAAAATGAAGATATAGATGAACATTTCCTTTACAAAAAGAATCAGCAGTATCAAGCTTTCTGCAAAAATCCGACATTTTTTGCCGTTCTTTGAGTTAAAACTTAAAAAGTTATTTTATACTTATTTGGACATTGATTTGAGATCACTGGTGATACCTTTACTATTCTCTCAATCATATAAAAAAATGTTCGCTTCGTTAAATTTATAAAAAATAAATAAATAAATAAAGTAGAATCTTTTCTGAGGCGGAGGGCGTCCCATAATTATTGTCCAGTTTGGGTTTTTATTTCTAGTATAAATTGTACTAAAATGAAATTTCAAACTGGACAATGATTTTGAGACAGAGGGAGTAGCTTTTAAGTAGGACATTTGAAGTTCATACTTTGGTCATTAAAGTGAACACAGCTCAATTTTGGACTAAATCACTTGAAATTGAATCATTGCGTTGATTCAAAACAGGTTATCAAAATTATTCAGGTAAAACCAATTGAAGAATCCAAGTTCCTGAGGAAAGGGAGATCACTGAGGACCCGTTTATATTAGAAGGATGAGACTTCTCCGTGAATGAAAAAGAGCCAGAAGGAGGCAACAGAACAAGCCTCAGAATCCTTTCAGCAGAAGGTCAACTGATATGACCTTCCAAGCGAGTTTAATGACTGCAGAAGAAGGTGCTGAATGGACTAATATTGAAGATTCAAACTGGATAATAATTTCGGAACGGAAGGAGTAATTTACTTTTGAACCTGTCTCACTAATGTGCAAGAGTTTCAGGCTATTTATTTCCCGCATGGTAAAACATCAACTATACATGTTCAGTGGTTCACATAGCATCATTTAGATAGACAACGTGGTTAAAATCTTTTAAAGATGTTTGGATCATTTAGAAGGGCGATTCTTCACCACGAATGAAAAACAAGCCAGAAGGACCATCATCCGGTAGCAAAGCAAGCCTGACTATACTTAGTGCACCTTCTTCTACTGTCCGTTTGCCGGTGTGGAAGTTTAAATCAGTTTTCACAAACCCTGGACAGACGCAGTTGACTTTGATGTTTGGCTGCTTCTTTGCCACAATTCTTGTGTATGCATTCATGGCTGCTTTTGAGAGTCTGTAAGCTCCTGAGAACGAAGGCCATCCTTTGGATTCAAGGGATCCTTCTTTGAAATCTTTCAGAAATTCATTCAGGACCTCATCCACTCTCTCTTCTGTAAGGACATTTTCGTCGCTTAATATTCCTTTCGCCCATTCGCTTTGTATATTCTGGTAAAATATGAAGAACTGGTTCAGGTACATTCCTTTACACAACATATACACTAATAAACATGCTCAAGTATGGTTCCTGATACAATTTCTGTGTGTTATTTTGCTATAAGTTGATTTCTTCTGATCAGCATTCTTTTTTCAGTATTAGTATTTCATTTGGTTAAACCCGAAAGCAGTTAACCTGGCAGCTCTAGTGCAGAGTCCAAATCCTATCTTGTTGACTTTCTTACAATAACAGCATTATGTAGGATTTCCTATGGCAAAATGGAAATCCACATAAATATATAGAAGATTTGAGAATGATATCACACCTTCAGTTTCCCCATTTCTGATGAGACATTGACAATTTTTGGTGATTGAGATAATTGGAGAAGTGGTATAAAGGCTTCTATCATTCTTTTTGCACCATAGTAGTTTGTTTGCAAGCAGCTTACTGCCAAATCGTATGTTTGAGTCATTATCTCATTCCAATTGATTTTAGCTCCTCCTGCCTGCAATAATCAAGATACAGGACAAATAAAGAACTTAAGAATTTGAGGTGGTGAATAAAGTCCTAAAGAAAGTGCAAAATAACAACACTAATGTAGCTGCAGTTGAAGGTACAGGACTTACTCCTCCGGCAGCTTCCCCTGCAGCTCTTAAAGCATCACCATCTACATCAGCTCCGCTAACTCCTGCATTATTCACCTGAACCGAAAAAATACCTTAGCTGGAGAGAATGAACTTGAAAATTCATCAAAGAGTGAAGTTTGCTCATTTCAACATACTTTTTCTTTCATCAGGGATGACAGTAGTTGACAAGTTCAATTATATACATATACAAGGTTTTAGCACCATATCTCAACACAAAAATACCAGAATACTAGAATGTTCTTGGACACTTGAACTTCACAATCTTGTTGGACTTCAGCCCAGAAACTGTTATTAGTCTCAATGCTTCAAAAATTTGCTCTTTTTGCCTCTTCTCAAAGCCTAATAGGTCCCATGTATCTATCAGAGAAAAGAGTTCTCTTGCCAGGGACTCTAATGATGAAGATTACATGGGTTTTTTTGGCCACAGCCAGAAAAAAAAAAAAATGTAATCACACAGGTTCAGAAAAGCATAGAACTATGAAATTAGACGTTCATACATCATTACCTAACCCTTCATCCTCCTGTGGGACTATATGGATTATATCATTATACATCGCCATTAAACACAGTTAACAAACAAAAAAAAAAGAAAAAAGAAAACAGAAGCAAAATCAGATATTAGAGTTGATTAGTACCAAGATATCAAGCCTTCCAAACTGAGCTTTGACGAATTCAGCTAGTGAATTAACACTTGATGAATCTGCCACATCTAGCTGATGGAAGATCACATCACTGGAAAGCCCACCAGATTCTTGGAGCTTGTGAAGAGCATCAAGGCCCCTCTTTTCGTCTCGTGCAGTTAAAACCACAGTGATTCCATGAGAAGCCAATTGCCTCACTACCTCAAATCCTATCCCTTTGTTCGCGCCAGTCACAACTGCAAACCTGCAAAAAAAACACACAACAGTTGATAGGAGCTTAAAAGCTGGAATCTTTAAGCATTTATTGCTAAAAGGGAATCCAGAACAGAGTACAGAAATAGGCCACCGACCTTTTCGCTTCAGCCATGTGATCGGTACGAGGTTTCTGAAGTTTGTCTTTGTCTCTGTTTTCTCACTTTATCAATGCTACCAATTGCATTCTTCACTCGTTTATAAATTTTGTTACTTTCGTAACCCAATGGTAAAATCCCGATCAATGCTTTCTTCCCATATAGTGGTCATAATCCCAATTCAACCTGTGGTGAAAATTTTAGTTTTTATGGTCACAAAGTTGATAACTTGTTTCAATCACATCCAGGAGTTCCTCAGGGCTGGATGTGTTAATACGACGAAAGAAAAGACTTTTTCTGCCTTTTGCTCAAGACACAAAAATGAAGATATTGAAGAACATTTCCTTTTACCAAAAAGTCAGCTGTATCTAGCTTTCTGGAAAGATCACATTTTTGGCGCTTTTTGTAGCTTCGCGGTAAAAGTTTTCTAATATTTATTTGGGCATTGATTTCAGATTGATGCTTTGTTGGATTTGTGGTGATGTTTTTCACTCTCTCAATCTCAGAAAAAATATCGAGTTTGTTGAATTAAAACAGTACAACAAAGTGAAATACTGTATTTTTTTTTCTGAACGGAGAGAGTATTTAATAGTACTATTTTAATAAGTAGTTTATTTGATGTTACTAATTTGGCCATTACAGTGAATATTGGTAAATTTGAACCAAATCACTTGAATTATTGAGTTGATTAAACACAGATAATCACAATTATTCAGGTAAAAAACAATTGAAGAATCCAAGTTCCTGAGTAAAAGGAGATCACTGAGGACCTTTTTTGATTAGAAGGATGAGACTTCTCCGTGAATGAAAAACAAGCCCGAAGGACCATCATCAGGCAACTGAACCAGCCTCACAATCCTTTCAGCACCTTCTTCTGCAGTCAATATGCCTGTGTGGAAGGTCAGATCAGTTCTGACATAACCAGGACAGAGGCAATTCACCTTCATTTTCGGTTGCTTTTTCGCCACGATTCTTGTGTATGCATTCAGGGCCGCTTTCGACACGCTGTAAGCCGAATAGGGCCATCCTTTTGATTCCAGGGAACCTTCTCTGAATTCTTTCAGAAACTCGTTCACCACCTCGTCCACGCTCTCTTCTGTAAGGTTTTCGTTGCTTAATATCCCTTTCGCCCTTTCGCTTGGTATAATCTGAGGAAGTGTCGAAGAATCAGTTCAGGTGCATTCTTTTCCATGCTCAAGTATGTTTTTCTATGTCAGTTTATACATATTTGACTTCAAAATCAAAATTTTCGCTTCTGTATAGTTGTCATTGTTGAAGCTGTTTCAGTTTTACATTTAGGCCTATTGTTAAGATATGGAAGAAAATGAAAAATAACACACAGGTTGAAATATTTTTTCGGAATTACTACCTCTAGTTTCCCCAGCACTGAGGAAACATTGACAATTCTTGGTGATTGAGATAACTGGAGAAATGGGATCAAGGCTTCAATCATTCTTCTTGCGCCATAGTAGTTGGTTTGCATGCAGTTCACTGCTAACTCATATGTTTGAGACATCATCTGGTCCCAATTAACTCGAGCTCCGTCTATCTGCAACAATTCAGATGTAAGGAAATCTACAAAGTTATAATGTCATTTCAAATGGTATTAGTAGAATGTGTAGATTGTAAAGATATCATATATTTGAAATCCTTAAATCTTCTTGAATCTCCTAGATGGAAAGGATAATATTTCTTCAAGCAAATTGCGATCTGATCCATAATAAGCTGCTGTTCTGTGTAGAGGGGAAAAAAGAAAAAGAAAAACTAAAACTTACTTCTCCGGCATGAATTCTCCTGGCTGTTGTAAAAGAATTGCCATCTGTAATAACTCCAATGAATCCAGCATTGTTCACCTGAAAAAGGAAATAGAATACACCTTTTGGTTTGAAGAGAATGGTCTAGTTAATCTACATGTCATGTTTCAATGGACTATCAAGGTCTGCTCATATCAATGTATTGTTTCTGTTGAAATTCATGTGCTGGTAATAAATCTCAGGTCAAATCAAAGATCTTGACTTGCGGTTTTCACTTGGTATCATTGGCCCCTAGTATCTACCGAGGAATCCATTTATCGCCACAGGAGCGCAAATCATCGAAAATTTGTATGGGTTTGTGAAAAGTGCAGAAAAGCAAAGAACATTGAAATAGGCCATCCTTAGTGGAACCATCAGATGTTAAAATAAAACAGTATACCAAGATATCAAGCCGTCCGAACTGAGCTTTGATGAATTCGGCAAGTGAAGCAACACTAGACGAATCTGCCACATCTAGCTGATGAAAAATTATATCACCAGAATGATCACTAGATTCTTTGAGCTTGTGAAGGGCATCAAGTCCTCTCTTCTCATCTCTTGCAGTTAGTACCACAGTGATTTCTTGAGAGGCTAACTGCCTCACAACCTCAAATCCTATCCCTTTGTTTGCCCCAGTCACTACTGCAAACCTAACCAAAATGCAACAAATAATAGCTCAAACCAGTCAACAAGTACTTCTTAAGTCTCAAAGAAATCGCCTACTTTGATAAATCTGGGATGGAGTAAGTATCACATACAGCAGAAAGCCAAAGAGAACACAAGCATTAACTACTAACCTCTTCACTTCTGCCATAAAATTAGGAGGAAGTTTCTTTGAGTTTGGTTTCAGTTTTTCTCAATTCATCAGTTTACCAACAGACGTTGATGATCTCACTTCTTCAGCTTTTAGTGCATATACACCATTAGATTCTTTTAGGACCATTTCCAAACAGCAACTGTTTTTTTCTTCCTGTGGTCATATTCATAACCCCACTCCATGCATATGTCAGTGGTGAATATCCTCCAAAAGTTTTCGGTTGGCTTTAGAAACGTGTGAAAATCTTAAAATCACGTCTTTTTGGGTTTTGGACAATGCAAAAAAAATCCAAAGCAAGAACCCAATGCATCATGTGTACACATTAACTTTATGATTGATAAACACAAATCATGAGGCTGCCAGAATGGTGAAATTATCAACTTCATTTAAATTTTAGCTTACATTATGACTACCATTTTATAACACTGTTCCGATGTCCAGAGATGATCAGCGTTATGCGTGGCAACGAATTTCTGGCTTGCAATCAGTGCCCAGAAGTATCCTGGGAGATTTTTACAAAGTTTTTGGCCAGTTCAGATTTAAAGCACCTTTACAGTCTTCTGCGGTATAGATGCTTGAGTTGAAGGTTATATCTGTTTTGACAAAGATAGAATAGACACAGTAAATATTTGGTGATGTAAGTTCACCATTTGGTATTCCTACTGAGGCCATTACAGAGAATGTAGTTTAATTTTGGACTAAATCACTTAAATATTTGAGTACAAAAACACATATAATCACAATTATTTGGGCATAATCCAAGATGGATCATTGAGTATAGAGAGATCATTGAGGACCAATTTTTCATTAAAAGGATGAAACCTCTCCCCGAGCGAAAAAAAAGCCAGAAGGACCATCATCAGGCAACAGAGCAAGCTTCAAAATCCTTTCTGCACCTTCTTCTACAGTCAATATGCCTGTGTCGTAAGTCATATCAGTTTTGACATAACCAGGACAGAGGCAATTCACCTTCATGTTTGGTTGCTTTTTTGCCACAATTCTTGTGTATGCATTCATCGCTGCTTTCGACACAAAATAAGCCAATAAAGGCCATCTTTTTGACCCCACGGCACCTTCTTTGAAGTCCTTTAGAAATTCATGCACCACCTCATTCACTCTCTCTTCTGTAAGAAGGTTTTCGTTGCTGAATATCTCTTTAGCTCGTTCGTATGGTAAAGTCTGCGATAAAAATGTCAAGAATTAGTTCAAAGGTTTACTTTTCCACTAGTCAAAACCATGCTCAGATATGTTTCCCTCGATCAGGTTAATTGTATTTGACTCCAAAATCAAAATTCTCAATTCTGTACCTTTGTACATGTTCAAAGTAGTCTAACAGGACAAACTCTACGGCAGCTATTATAGCTTCTAGATTTATCTACTTTGCAGTGTGGATTTGTTTAGATTAGTTAACACTACGTTCTGCTGCAAAATGATAATCCACACAACAGAAAAGGATATTTCAGAACAATATATTACCTTTAGTATCCCTGCTTCTGAGGAAACATTGACAATCCTTGGTGATTGAGATAATTGGAGAAGTGGGATGAAGGCTTCAATCATTCTTTTTGCACCATAATAGTTGGTTCGCATGCAGTTCACTGCTAACTCATATGTTTGAGTCATCACCTCATCCCAATTAATTTTAGATCCGTCCATCTGCAACAGCAAGGTCAAGGATCAAAGCCAATATACAAAGTACTACTGCCAACATTACCAAGTAACTAAGCATTGATTGTGAAGATATCATCTCTTTGTAATCCAAAGCTTCTTGAAGGTCTAAGGTGAAACAATAATATTTCTTCAAGAGAATTTTATGATGAACAGTAATCTGTAGAAGAAGGTACACAAACCCAAAACAAAAAGTACGAAACTTACTTCTCCTAAAGCCGCTCTTACAACAGTTGTAAAGCCATCGCCATCTGTAACAACGCCGAGCACTCCTGCATTATTTACCTTCAAGAAAACAGAATACACCTTAATTGGAAAAGAATGGTCAAGATTATAATCAAACATCAACAAGCAATTAAGGTTTCAGCAGGTCTGTGTATAGTTTCTGTTGAGATCATGAGCAAGTTCTGAGTCTCACAAGAATCTAAAGTTCTTGTTGGACTTTAATCAAGGAATTCTTCCGTATAAAGCTTCAGCATTTCCAGATTATTATATCCTTAGGCCAATTGGCCGCAAATATTAACCAGGGAAGGATTTTTCAGCCTAGACACAATATTATCAAGAATTGCATTGGGCAATCTAGGTAAACACGCAATGGGACATCAAGCCTCATAAAAAGCGAAATCTGATATAAGAACCAAGCAGTATACCAAGATATCAAGCCTTCCAAACTGAGCTTTGATGAATTCGGCTAGAGAAGCAACACTAGATGAATCTGCCACATCAAGCTGATGAAATATCACATCACCAGAAAGATTACCAGATTCTTTAAGCTTCTTAAGAGCATCATGTCCCCTCTTCTCATCTCTTGCAGTTAATACCGCAGTGATTCCATTATAAGCTAATTGCCTCACTACTTCAAGTCCTATCCCTTTGTTTGCCCCTGTCACTACTGCAAACCTAACAAAAATTCAACAAATAATAGCTCAAACCAGTCAACAAGTACTTTTTTAAGTCTGAAAACATCGTCTACTTTGTTACAATAAAATAGTTATCTAGGATGGAGTATCATGTACAGAAAAATGAAACGGATAACTAACCTCTTCATCTCAGCCATATTTGGTTAGAAAGTATCTTCTGTCTAGACTTTGGCTATACTTTTAATTCAGTTCATCAGTTGCCAACAGACGTACACTTGATGGTCTCACTCAGCTTTTAGTGCACACACCACAAATTTTTTTCAGGACCAGTTCTAAACCCCAATTGATTTGTTCTTCCTGTGGTCATTTTCATAATAACTCCACTTCATGGACGAATCACGCATGTAAAATTAATATCATTTTGGGTTTTGGAATCTGCAAGGAAAAATGCGAGAAAAATATTAACTCCATGCATGATGTGGCCTAATTTTCTAGAATGGATGAATATAATTTGAAACAGTCAAACAACTACAACAGAGAAACTATCTACTTCAATTAAATCTAAGCTTACATCATGATTATAATGTTATAACATTGTTTTGAAGGCCAAATGATCATCTTAGTGATGAACATACTTTAATATTTGGCAATGAGGATGCTCCTTTCTAGCTTTCGATCAGTACCCAGGAGTTCCGGGGAAGATCAAATTTTGTGCCCAGTTCAAATACAGTTCTATCTGTGATGACAGAGACAGAACAAATACAGTTCGCCTGGACGTTTCAGAGCTTTGCCAAAATCCTTGTTTAAGTCTTCAAGCTCTTATATATGTGTATTCATGACAGTAGATCCTGATAAGAAAATGCATAGATCGATAATAGAATGCTACACATTCAACCTCGTTAATAATAACTTATTTCCATTGCAGAACTTATTTATCCAGAGCAAAAGATAAAGGAAATGTTTACAGGAAGGAAACGGATCATAGTTTAGTACAGATAGTGGTATACACACACACACACGGAAGATCACAGACCACGACCGACTGAAAAAATCATAACTTTCCCAGGAAGTCCATTAATAGGATGACACCTCGGCACGACTGAAAAACACACCGGAAGGGCCATCTTCAGGCAGCAAAGCAAGCCTCACAATACTTTCCGCACCTTCTGCTGGAGTTAGCATGCCTGTCTGGAAGTTTAAGTCAGTTTTTATGTAACCAGGACAGACGCAATTGATCTTGATGTCTTTATGCTTCTTGGCCGCAACTCTAGTGTATGCATTCACGATTACTTTCGACACTGTATAAGCTGAAAATGTCGCAGGCCAGCCATTGGCCTCTATGTTGCCTTCCTTGAAGTCTTTCAAAAATGCATTCACCACCTCGTCAACTCTCTCTTCTGTAAGGTTGTCGACATCACTTAGTATCCCTTTAGCCCATTCGTTGTTTACATTCTGAAACATGTTGAGACTTGCTTAGATAATAATCTCAACAACGGATTTACTTATGCAGGAGTTTCTAGGTGAAAAAAAAAAATCAAGGTTGGTCTAATTTCTAAAAGATCTTTTGCTCATTTTAGTTCAACATCAACATTCAAATAGACAACAACATCAGAACCCGGTATCCATAAGATTTTCCCAGTTTTGAACAGACAGGCAAAGATAAACTTTAGCACAAATTCAGAGGCCTCGACTTATTGGCTCAGAAGTATCTAAAGGGCCATCCACAGATATAGTTTGGCTTACGTTGACAGTTAACCAAAAATCAAAATCATGGAGAAATATGCACCAAAACAAAAATATTTTCATACATAAACTTATTTACCTTTAGCAATCCAACAGTAGAGGAAACATTGACAACTATTGGTGATTGAGAACGCTGCAGAAGTGGTATGAAGGCTTCAATCATTCTTCTGGTACCAAAATAGTTTATTTCAAAGCATTGTACTGTGGACTCGTAAGTCTTAGTCAATGAACTCTGCAGAGCATCCCATTTATCCCATTTAGGATCTCGCGACTGCATCAATCCATATAAAAGATTAGATGGCGGGGAAGAAAGTGCTAACATCATACTGACTAGAATATAGCAGCTGCAGAAACAAATTGACAAGTTCACTTCCGCTATGCAGTAATACACGTACAAAGACTAATATCAAAACGTAATCCTTTCAGAAAAGTATAATCTTACCACACTGTATTACAACTAGATTACAGATATGAATCATGACAGCTTAAATTACAAGTTCAACTAACCTCTCCACCAGCAGCAGCCTTCATTGCCTCAGCATCTGCCTCCACACCAGCGACTCCGGCATTATTCACCTAAAATTGACAGAAGGGTTAGTGACAAATCGATAAAGTTTCCATCTTTACCAACCTATGCATGTTTGGACTCAATACAAGGATCGATCAATTTAAAGAATCAAAGAGCAAGAACTATGGAAATGCAACTGCAAATTCGAGCATCAACACGACAAAGATCTACTGTATCTTCTATATCTCTGAAATAAGGGATCATCAAGTTTTGTTTAACCTACCAAGATATCAAGCCTTCCAAATTTATTCTTGATGAATTCAGCAAGGGAAGCAACACTGGATGAATCAGACACATCAAGCTGATGAAAAAGCAGAATATCATCAGAAAAGCCATCAGATTCTTTCAGCTTCTGCACAGCCTCAAGACCCCTTTTCTCATCTCTAGCTGTCAACACCACAGTGATTCCATGAGAAGCTAATTGCCTCACAATCTCAAATCCTATGCCTTTGTTGGACCCTGTCACAACTGCATACCTGCAAATTAACCAAATTTCTTTTTTAAAAAAAGTTGGGAAATGATTTAATTATGGAAAAGCTGTTGAAGGCAGCAGCAAAAGTAAGATGATTTCTAATTTTAAGAGAAAATTGCGACAAAATCATAGAATCGCTAACCTCTTCGATTCCGCCATTAATGGTACGATGAATCTAAATTCAGGTTCAATTTTGTTTAGGTAAGACCAGTTCACTAGTTTACTGGGAACTGGCTATATAAAATTTCTTCGATTTGACCCACATGATTCGATTAGTCGTAGATTTCCACAAAGAAGAAAAGGGCACGTCAAACAATAATACATTAAAAATTGCAAGGACAATTCCTTTTTATATAAAAAATCACTAAAGTAAATTATTCAAGCTATGGGTCCACCCAGAGTAACGGAGTTGTTGAAGAATATTACTCCCTCGGTTCCTTATCATAAGATATTTTAATTTCGTCCTACCTTTCATTTAAAATATCTTTTAAATTGAAATAAAAACCTTAAAAATATTTTATAATAATTAGTAGAACACAATGAATGTGAAAAATATATTTTTAAGGTTTTTTTTCCAATTAAAGAGACATCCTAATTAAAACATAAGACAAAATCAAAATGACTTATAATAACGACCGGAAGGAGTAGAATAGAGAACATTTATCATTTATGGACTATTAAATAGTACCTACCAAACTAGGAGACAACATGAATTAACAATATGGAAGAAAAATACGTCTAAATGTCTTTTTTTTTAAATGAAATTTTTTTTTTCTTTCCGTTGAACCTCAATCAGTCAACAAAATAATCCTACACAAATTTTTACATGTGCTATACTTACCCATCTACAAAATTTACAAAAGATCTCTACAAAAAATACAACTACAAATCAAACAAATTACATGGTAATTTTCTCCTTTTTACACCAGACTCTATTCTTATTTACGTTTTTCATTTTTGAAATAGTAGACAACGTCATCTTCAATGAGAACGATACACTGCGATATCATACGTCTAAAATGTTGTTTCATTGTGTACCTTTAGTTTGAAAAGTAATTTTAAAACTCGAAGATTTGTTTTTTTTAAAAAAAAAAACCTTGAATGGGTGTAATCGAGTAAGTGGTAACCAAACAGAGTTGCATTATGAAGTAAATTCAGATATTATTAATTAATTCGAAGTCTTGAGAAAAAGAAATGTAAACTTCTAACAATAAAAAATGCTTAAATTCCTAAATAGTACTGATAACAAAGCATGATTAAAGTATTAATATCATTTTATAATTGGGGCGGCTATGACAATTTATATGGTGAACCTTGTTCACCATTCTTGGTACACTTGTGCATTTAATACATTTTAAATATGAAATGGAAATTAATTAAAATATTATTAAATTACTCCATTCTCTGTCACCATTTAATTTTATATATCATTTTCTAAATACACCACAAAAAATTAATATTCCAATAATTTTTTGTAACTCTCCTTTTATTAATAATTACTAACGGGGAATTGACAAACAATTTAAATTTACTAAAAAATTATGAAATTTTGATGTATATATCACGAAAAATGTTATTCTAATTGATGAACTTCATATAAAATGAGTATGAATATATGAATTCATAAATTCCAGATTAATATTTTCATTTTTAGTATGAAATGTTTTGTAATTCTCATGAACATCATTGTATATGAGTATGAATATAGTGTTTGGTCTTTTTATATGTGACTAATCTTCCAATTGTCATGAAAATTGTGAAACTTCAATACACGTGATATGAAAAGTATGATTGTCGTTCATGAATATTTCATAAAAACAATATGAATATTTATATTTTACGTAATAATGTATTGATAGTTCTCCAATTTGTATGAACATTTCACATAATTTTCATAAATATTGACTAATGTGTGTATAAATAAAAATTAAAAAGCACACAACTTTTACTTGTGATTATTATTTACAATTTTTTAAAATCAAAATCTGTGAACTTTATAGATATTTGATATGAAACATATTATTTTAATTTATGAATTTTACATTATATGATCATGAACCTTAAGTTTTTATATAAAAGACTATTATTTTAATTCATTTTTATTTTTTTCTGTTTGAATTTTTCACGTAGTTATATTTGAACTTGAAAATAGGACATCGAAGATTAAATGTAAAGAGAGAATTGACTAATTAAAAAATATTTTGATTGTTGTTATTCCTTAAATAAATTATATTAATTACATCAGTGCAGCATGTACAGTGAACAATATAAGAATTGGGCTCTAAGCAATTTAGTGATTGAGTGGACCGTTATTTCAATAAAGGCGGCTTAACTTAGTAATTAAAAATAAACATACAATAAAGAGTATTCCTCTGTGCGTGTCATCTTTGCAACAACAACAAAATAGCGGTACTAATAATATTGTTTTATTGTCTCAATGCGTGTAAAAAATAGTTTTGGTCCTACATATAAAGAGCATAATGTAATTTTTATTCTAATTTGATTTTGGTTTTTACTCATTTTAATCCAAAATCTAATATACTTCCTCTGTCTCAAAATTATTATCCAGTTTGAGATTTCACTTTTAGTACAATTTGAACTAGAACTGAAAATCTAAATTGGACAATAATTATGAGACGGAGGGAGTAACTTATTTTAAAAATCATTTCGTAAGTCATTTTAACATGTGAAGTTATCAATATTTATTTCGAAGAAATTATAGACAAAAAGAGTGAATTCATACAAGAAATAATTACTTTAGTAAATGTTGCGACACAATGTAAAAATTCCACAATGTGAATCTAGGATCCGTAGACGGTGTAGAGATTGAAAGAGTTGAGAGGAGTTTGAAGATGAAATTGGCATTTCTTATAAACCATATACTATCACCAATTCTGGAAGACTGTAGATCACCTAAATTTGGCAAAAAATACAGGGAACCCAGAACATCTTCATCTCCTCCAAACAACACCTTCACTTGCATAATTGATGATGATGATGAATTATGTCTTTGAACAGCTCCGATTATATCAAACCACTCCGTTAGACTACTCATTTCGCGGTTAACTCCAATTCCCTCAATCCTGTGCTTGCCCTGCAGCCAGCTTTGAATTTGAGGTCTCCTTGCCAACTGTTCTGGTAGTTTGAATCAATGTTATGCCGGTTACTAACTGCATAAAACATAAGTTGTGGTTAGTTGAAAATTCAATTGTTACCCCTTGATCATCATTCGTAGACAACTTTGACAATTAATAATAACCCCGAAATGGGGTTTCATTACTTGCTTTTTAAAAAGTGCATGTTTCAACCTGAGTAGTATATCTTATGGAAAGACGTCATGCAATTCATCAAACACCCAAAACTTGCAGTATGATTTTGATCGTCCCAGCACCATGAATTTTAATAGATACTACAATCGTTGCCCAGAAAATATAGTCATACGGATGTAATTAGTAATAGTGTATTTTACGGTACAATAGTTACCGCTTTACGGCTGAGTTATATTATATGTATGTATATATGTATAAACCCTAAACAACAGACGGTATTACGGCAATTTGAGTTTATGGCGGCCGCTCTTTTTGATCACAAGCAGCTTAACTCCCAACAATCCAACCTCAGAAATAATATCCAAAGCATACTTACGCTGACACAGAAAAATACCAGAAGAATGACGGATCACTTCAAGACCATGAAAGTACTTAAGAACCCCAAGATCCTTCATATGAAAACAACGATGTAAGTATTTTTTTAAAAGATACAATTTCATAAAAAATTTTGTCCCAAACAAATAGTCAAGTTTCATAACAAGAAAAAAGAGGTAATCCATTTTCAGAGTTGGAAACAAACTAAATGCGAACACAATTAAAAATTTATTGATAACTAATGTTTAGTATACTTGATATGATTGAGTTGACCATAATTAAAAAAAAAAAAAAGCATTGGCCAATCAAATCGTAAGAAATTAATTGGCCAAGTGGGGCTTTTATATTAACTTATACATCAATGTTCTGGAACGGAGCATTACTTGTTAAATCATTTATATCAACTGGTTGTAGTATGTATCATATGCTCCTCTACCAAGAAGCAGCTCTTTCTTCTCCTAATCATAAACTACATTTATTATAACCTTTTTATATACTTTTATTAAACATTTTGAAGCTTGAAATTTCAATATCGAGCCTAAAATGTTAAACATGACTTTTTCTGTTGAGAGAAATCATATTTAGCTGTTAGCACTAGGTAACGTTTATTTATTTCACTCAACGAAGATTAGAGGAGTTGGCTGGAAACTGAAACTAACCAGAAACTTGAAGGAAATTTCAGCCTTTTATGGACCAAACAATCAACATAATTCCAAGTAACGGAGCCAGCTCTTCTGAAGTCCTTCAATCCACCGAAGACCTGAGATTGGAATATTGAAAAAATTGATTTTTTTTTTCCCCTTAAAGAACCTAACACCAATTATGACAATCTACGGGTCACAAGTTTACGATATTTGAGACATAATGAATAATACTCCCTCCCGTCCTTAATATAAGGTATTTTGATTTATCATAAGATTAATCTAATACGCTCTTGTAATTGACAAAAAATATTAAAAATACTTCATAACAATCTAGAGAACACAATGAATATGAAGATACATTTTGAAGATTTTTTTGTTAATTAAAAATGCGTATTAAGTGAAATTTAGGACAAACTAAAATACCTTATATTAAGGACCAGAGGGAGTAATACGGTTTAAATTCATCGTCGTTGTTTGAATGCCTAATACCAAGATCGGGAAAAATAAGAACCAAAAAAAATAATAATAATAATAAAAAGAAAAGAAAGAAAGAACTATTACGAGACACAAAGAACTAGACATTGTAAAACTGTGAATAAAAAGATACCTGAAATCGCCACTCGATGCTAGAAATTCTTTGGATTCAGCCTTCGCCTTTGCTGAGCTTCAATGGCTTAGGCCGGTGCTCCCTGCAAAAAGAAAAGACGGGAAAAGAATTTTTTTTTTTTTTTTCCTGAAGGAGAAATAAGATGAATAATTAACGAAAATAGTTAGCGTTGCTCACAGCAATGATCTCAGATAATTCGCAAAGAGGGAATATGGGCAATCTTGGGCCACTCCGACCCACTTTCCTCCCTGCATCTCTCTTTCAGGATCGGACAGTCTATGATTGTTAAGTAGCGTAAATTTGTAAGTCTTCCAATTGCTTCAGCCGATGGCAGCTGCTTGAGGTTCTCGCAGCCTCTAAGTAGGAATCTCTGAAGACGATGGAGATTACGCAACCATTCAGGAAGAGATTCTAACCCAACGAAACCTCGTATCTCTAAATGCTCCAAGGTGGTTACATACTGAATTTGAGCAGGTAGATGAGTGACGTTGGGGTATTTTGATGCTCCATCCAATGTGAGAGAAGTAAGAGACACAGGAGGAGGATGACTCGTAGCATCATCACAGATGTACGGATATGGCCACGGAAGACAATCATCCTCCTCATCCTCGTCATCCTCAATCCAGACGGAATCTCGTAGAGTTAAATTCTGAAGTCTGGTTAAGTGGTGCAGGTCCTTGGGCCATGTTTTGATGCCAGCCGAAATGTCCAAGTCTTGAAGTGGGGTCGAACTTGGGATGAGGTCGCATAATGCTTCAGTTGTTTCTCCACATTCATTAATCCCTAGCACAACTAGAGATGGGAACCGAGGTTGAGCGGGGTTGAATGAGGAGGAAATCGGCGTATCCTTTAAACCCCATATCCGCAATACTCGAAGACTTGGCCGGTCACCTAAATTGGGCAAAATGCAGGGAACATTCATCATATGCAGCTCCTCTAAATGAGGAAATACTTTTACTTGCACGGATGACGATGAATTGTGACTTTGAAATGCTCCCATCACATCAAACCACTCCCTCAGACTGTCCAACTGATCTAAATCAAATATCCTCAATGCTGGAAAGAGAGTAATTACTGAACCATTACTACTGCTGCTACCAGGAGTACTACTCCTGGTTCCCAAATCATCATTTGACCAACCGTAGAATTCTTCTCCTATACGCTTTATGCTTCCCATATTCCGTAGATATAGATTCTCAAGGTAAGGCAAGCGTCCAAGTGTTGGGAGGTTTTCACATTTATCCAAATCCTGCAATTTAAGAATCTTAAGATTGTGGAGTACTGCTGATGGATATTCCTTTGCTACCATCCAGGATGCAAACTTTTGGCCCTGATAACCCTTGATTCCCAAGATTTTTAGATTTGAATGTGGCTTTAATCCCTCCAATACCTCAATATCATCGCCGCCTTCTTCTCCCCCTTCTCTATTCCATAAAAGTTGTAATCTTTGAACTCTTGACTTCTCCCACAATTTGGCCATCTTGGCAGATGCGCGGCTGCCCACATTTTCCAGATGACGTATACTTAGCATGCCTGTCAACTTGTTCATGTTTCCCAATTCTTGTATTGCACATCCCTCACTTCTCTTCACATTAAATACCGATAATGTTTGAAGATTGGTCAATCGGCCTATTCCTGGAAACAAAATTTCATCAAATAACCTGTCCAGAGGAGAAATATTCTCCATACGTTGGTCTTGCGAGCCAATATAAAGATGCCGCAAGTTTATTAAATTCCCGAATCCCTTTGGTATCCCATCCAATTTATAAACTCTTAGGGTTTGCAAATAGTATAACTTTGAAAAGGACTCTGGAAGATTATCTATCTGAGCAACTTCAAGGCCAAGAAACCTCAAATGTTTCATCTTACCGATTGAATTTGGCAATTTCATTTCACCTACATAAGCATCATGAACTATCAAAATAGTGAGGCGTTCAAATTCTTCGGACAAATCTTTAAATAGGGTTCCAGACATCGGCCCTTTCCAATAAAGTGTTCGCAAATTTCTGTGAAGAACACTTTTTAAGTTCTTCAGACTTTCGCTTGAAATAGGCCAACCATTTTCCATGGCATTGAGTGACACATGCAGAGTTTCAATCGTTTTCGTTATGGGCTTCCCTTCTACTACTACTACATGGGAGATTTGTTCCTTGGAGACTTCCAATGCAACATCATGCACGAGATCGTGCATCTTGCATCTCCATATGTTATTATCCTCATCCATTTCAACGTCTTGGAATAAAGAACTCCTCAAAAGAATGTTGAAGTAGACGTTGCCTATGTCTTCCATGAGCAAATCACTTTTCTCACCTGTATTTAACAGACCCTGTGCCATCCACAGTTGTATGAGTTCATCCTTTTTCAGGATCTTATCCTTCTCAAAGATAGCACAAAATGCAAAGCATTGTTTGATTGATGGCGAGGGCAAGTGATCATAACTTAGCTTGATAACAGAAAGAACTGAATTTTCTTGCGTAGCATTCCACCACTTACTTTTTTCAATCGTCAACCACTCATGTTCAAAATGCTTAGAGCTGAGAGTTGTGGCGATTGTCTTGATAGCTAGAGGAAGGCCTCCACACTTTTTTAAAATCCTTTTGCCTATTTCCATCAGTTGAGGTGTTTTTTTAGCCCTACCAGCTGCAAATGCAAACTTGTCAAATAATTCCCGGCTTTCGTCCTCGGAGAGTGGTTGAACCCGATGGATATCTGAATCTGGTGTTTTCATTGTCTCAGCAACTTCCTCGCTCCGTGTGGTGGCCAAGATCTTACTTTCTTTGGAACCACCGATATCAAGCAAACAATTCCTCATTTCTTCCCATTGAACCTTATCTTTGTTCCACATATCATCAAGCACTAGCAGATATCGTTGGCCTCTTAGATGTTTTTGAAGCTCATTCACTAAAGATTCAGCATTGGTCAGTTGACGGTTAATTCCTGACACAGATTGCAAAATCTCTCCTAACAACCTTGCAATGTTGAAGTTATCAGAGACACAAATCCATATTGTTTTATCAAAGTTTTCCCTAACCATGTGATTGTTGTACACAACCTTGGCAAGCGTTGTCTTCCCTTGGCCGCCCATTCCAAGTATAGTAACAACTGGTAAGGCATAGCCGTAACTGGAATGTATTAACATGTGTATCACCTTTGAGACATCATCCTCCCTTCCCACACGTTCTGAATCGCCTATGAAAGGATACGTTGGCCTAACTGCTCCAACATGAGGGAGTGTGTTGATCAAATCAACTGGATGAAGGCCAAACTTGCTTGCTTCTTCACAAACTTGATCCAAGGAAGATAAAACACTCTTGATCTTGTTACTCATTTCCCGATTAAATGGAAAACGATTAAAAGGAAAACACTCTCCTAACATCTGTTTCTTTTTAACCTTTCGACGAATTACTTCATAGCCAAAATCATCCAATACAATCTCGGCATCAACGGAAATTGACTGGATGTCCTTTAGCCAAAGTCGAAGTACGTCACTGTTCAGTTGTTTTTTTTGTGCATCGGATAACAAAGCTTGGAGGAATGTCAACTTCTTAGCAAGTGATTCAATATCTTCATTGACATTCCACATACGACCAAGCTCCTCAGAAGCTAGGTCAAATGCCTTCTTGACCGCGGGCGACAGGAGAGCCCCAACAATAGAGAGATAAGACATCTTCAAGGAAGCAAGAAAATGCCGCAACGATTGAAGGCTGATGCAAACATTTGGATATAAATAGATTATTAGTTCGTCTATGAGCATTTAACCCAGAAAAATAACAATCAATTGACAAGAAATAAATTTTTTTTTTTTTTTTGAATCAAATCAGAAAGGAGATTCTTTGTGGATGTGGTGTTTCTCTAATTAAAAAATCGGGCAAGTGAGCATGTTGTTGTTGTACCACCACATGTACATCAACAGGCAGAAAACTCCATACCGTCACCAAGCATTCTCTAATTCTTTGCAAATCTTCAATTTATTATTATATATAAGGCTAAGAAGATTGCCGGCGGCGGTAGGAAAAGCCAAGGCCGAAGCTTGGGAAAAGAGTAGTGGTGAAACTTGCATCTTCAAGTTTTAAGCAAGTCGACCTAATTAATTTGAAAAAAAAAAAATGAGGATTGAATCAATTCTTCTTTGAGAAGAGAAAAATTAAAAAGAGCGGAGGTTGGGATATTGCTGCCGTCAAAACGGCGGCCCTTAAAGAAAAAACAAAAGTCGGCAGCGTCACATGTGGAGTATGTTTTAGTATTATAAGCAGGTAGTATTTTTGCACAATTTCCCGGATCTAAGTATATATAGATCTTAGAAATGTTTATATTTGAAAAAAAAATTGTATTTGGAGCAATATATTTTAGAAATGTTTGAAGGATTTAGAAATGTTTTATAAGTGTGATCATAGAAATATTTGTATTTAATAAAAAAAAAATTGTATTTCGCCATGTATGTTTTAGAAATGTTACTTATTAAATATAAATAGACTTAATCGAATATATGTGTTGAAGTAAATATTAGATAAAATATAAAAGCATCCTAATAAGTTTAAATATTAGTAAGATAATTTATTGATGTTCTCCATTGGTCGTGCCAAATCAATACTTAGTTTTGGAGATTTTTAATAGCTTTGTAATAAGTTTCATCTGAAGGGTATACGCTTAAAACAAAATTGACATTTTGTAACAAAAACCTAATTCATCAATTCAATTTAGACTCCATAATTAAGAAAAAAAACCACTCTAATTGAATGAAACATAAAGAAAAAATTTTAAAAAAAAATGTGTCACGTAAAGTGCAAAGGGGGATTTAGTAATTTAGTTATGGTTAGACAAAAGGCAATTCAATACTTTGCTCATGTCACGTGGCAATCATAGGAGGTGTTTGAAAGAGGGGTTTTTATTTCTAATATAGTAGGATATCACTAGCCATTAGAAAAATACTCTAATTTGCCATACTAAGAATAATATATAATGGTACTTCCTCTGGCCCTTATTATAAGGCATTTCGACTTTTCATATATTTCACCTAGTACATATTTTTTATCGACGAAAAAATCTTAAAAATATATTTTCACATTCGTTGTGTTCTCTTAATTGTTGTGATATATGTTTAAAGTTTTTTCGTCGATTAAAAATGTGTACGAGATTAAAACTAGGACAAATCAAAATATTTTATATTAAGGAGCAGATGGAGTATATCATAATTAAAATGTAAATTATTTTTTTCAGGGCAGAAAGAGTATAAACTATAATAAATTTGGTTGGTTTGTAAAATTATGTCTAAAAAGAAAAAAACAATCACAATAGTAGTTTTGTTGTCATTTTACTTTAGATCATCATACTTACCTGTTAGGAACACCATTTGATAAACATTCCTAGTGACATATTAATATTTTTGTATTTTAGACTATGATCTCACTTAGAAAAAATGAAGTTGTAACTTCAAAACGCAAAATATTGGAAGACACATCTCCAGTCTTGCGAACCTCCACTAGAAATTCTTCAGCTAAAAAGATTGTGTCTATATAAACCGGAAGGATTTGTTGTAGTCGCAAGAGGAAAAATTGAGCAAGGAAAAAAATAAAATACTCCATCATTCTCATAATTATTGTCCAGTTTGAGTTTTCATTTCTAGTTCAAATTATACTGAAAGTGAAATCTCAAACAGGACAATACTTTTTGGACAAAGGGAGTAGTAAAATATTAAAACAATATCTAGTTCTAGTCCCCTCCCGCGGCCTCTGATCTTGATTATGGAGAAAGCATATGGTGAGTGAATATTCTACTGAAGAAAGTAATGAAATGGACGTTCATCAATGACCAAAATAATCAAATCCATAATGAAGAGTCTACTTGATCACTGATCATCAGTATTATGAGCTTGAATTTATGTACTTATTGTTATTAAAAAACTTTAACAATCCAACTAAATTAAAAGGTTCTGAAATAAAGGGGGAATTATTTTACTGAAAAAAAAAAGCACAGATCTAGGCAAGGAAGAGATACCTGGTTATTGATGAAAGCTCTCTTTCAATTGAACGAATACAATCACTTGCAAGTTTCAACCAACGCCAAGGGAAAAGATCCTTCCACTTAAATCCCAAAGAAAATGTTGTTCTCTTTTGTGTGTGTGGTTTTTTTTTTTTTTTGGGTTGTTTGTTGGTATCTTTGGTAGTACTATAAAAGTGGGGAAAAACACACTTCGAAATTAGATATCTCGAGTGATCAAATTAAGGCGACGGGAGAAAATGAGTGAATGAGTTTATAGAATACAAGAAGATCCAGAGACTAATATTGGGCTTGAACTTGCAAATGGCGAACGGATAAATTCTCTGTATTTTGATTGCTGTGATATTTTAACAATTATGACTTATCTAACAGGCATATATACATTATATTATATGGACCAAATCGCTCCAACTAATCCTTTAAGATTTACTATATTATATTACTTGACATAGTCGTCAAACTTCGAAAATATTCACTAGACATACCTAAACTTGAAAAATTATCTTCATTAGTCCCTCATGTTCTGTCAGGATCAATTATAACCAAGGGAAACTACGAGAATTTTTAGTAATGGTTAAAAAAGAATAAAATGCTAGTAATTGAATCCTAATTAGCCTTCCTTAGGATTAAAGAGAAAGGAAAATTTTAACGATAGAAACGAATTATTTAATTTTAGATTAAAAAAACTGAATTAAATCAAATTGGTTTATTTTTAAAACTCAGAAATCCTATGCAGTTATGCATTTTATGGGTACCATAATGTCAGGAAGATAATTTGGGCATTTATGGAGGAATCCTCAGAGATCTACAGATTTTTATATCTCACTCACGTTGTTGGAATCCTCAGATATCTAGGTAGGAAAAAGGTGGTTGACGAAGCATAGATTTGTACCGACGTCTCTAGTTGATTGAACCGGCAGCCATGGCGGTATCGAAACCATAAAACCTGCAAAAGAGGGCCTCGGGGTCTCCCGAGGGTAGACACTCAGATGCTTAAGTCAGTTACGGTAATTGTGATAGGGGTATGGATTGTAGTGCGTAGAGCGTACCTTTGATATGAAGGGTTGATCCCTATTTATAGAGCTAGGGTTACCTGTTTGTGAAACTCTTTCTTAGTAGGAAAGTAATTAGCAACCGTCCTAGAAGCTTCCAGGGGCCAGTTGAACCGCTCGCCGAACTTCGGCCGGCCTAGTCGTGGGCCGTAATAATTAGACTCGTCAAGTGCCTCTTATCAAACCTATATATCGAAGTCTAGAGATAAGGTAGGCTTGATAATATGAAGTATAAAGTTTCTTCAAGTTCGGGAAGAACTAACATGAATCGAGAACCTGCAACAAGTTAGCATCAAGGAGAAATCAAAGCACTGAAAGCATTAGTGCGTACCTTTTCGAATGTACGTGTCATAAAGGGCGATTGACATGTATGCCAATTTGTGAAGAAAGAAGAGTCATCAGTTCAAACTTTCCAGTGAGAAGTCGATGTGCGATGATCTTTACTAAAGCAGATGCCCTACTGCTTGAAAAGGTAATAAAGAAGTGTAATGGAGATTCCCATTACCCTGAATACAGGGATGCGTTATCAATAACTTTCAAAGGTACAATAACTGCCAGAACGAAAAATCTGTTTGAAGATTGCAATTCATGTCATTGACCCAGACTTCAGTCAAGAATTCCTTTCGCGATGATTCCCACGATATGCTCTAAGGAAATATCAAAGCAGGTGGCCCGCTCATTGAAAGATTCGAGAAGGAAACGTAGCGGAGATTCCCACTAGTCTCAAAATATGTGCCATTAGCAGCAACTAAGATATATCAACTCTCGAGTGAGGAGTCTACTAAGAACTATGACATATACTTCTGATCAAGTGGTAATAAAAATATACCCAAACCTTCGAGAACGTCCACAGAGTAGTGGATCGAGAAGCATGGTGATACTCGATGTCAAGGACATAAGTTTGAGAAGAAACATTGTCTGGGGTTGAACTGCATGTCGAGAACTTGCCCCAATATGACCTCCTGTTAAGAGATACAAAGGCTCGAGAAGACTAGCTCGGGTGTAATATATCATTAGAGAGTAGAGACCGTCATCATAAGCATCCTCGGTTGTCGAGGAAAAAGTTGCAGACACCGTTGAAGATGTTGCATGTGATATCATTAATGCAGAGATAGTAAGACTCGAGAAGATTCTCTCGAGTAGAGTGCTAGACCAAACTCAAGAATTGTAATTCTCTGACCTTGAAGAAGGTGCACATGCATTTAAGCTTACTTATATCCGCCCAAATGACCTACTTGCCATTTCTCATGTCCCGAGAAGTAAAGCATAGAACTCTTGGTCCAGGTTTGAAAAGTATAAATCAGGTTGATGTGTCGTATCTGGGTAGATATATAATATCATTGCTCAAAATGCAAGTAAGAATCGAGGAGATTGTACTCATTAGTATGAGAAGAAAAAATGCCTCTGTCTAAGCATTAGGTGAAGACCGTTGAGAATAGTCATAAAATGAGATCCGTAGATCTAAGATCATCACAAAAAAAAAAACAAAAACACAATCTCTCAAACACCTTACACACCTTCAGACACCTTACAATCTCTTATATATAAACGTTCTTCGTTATAGATAACCCCGGAACCATTACTCATTTCGGAGCCCCCCAAGTCTTGGGATGGCATTTGGCAGACCAAGACTTCTTAGATAAGAATAGTATGAGATTGTAATTTTTGCTACTCAGTTCGAGGCGATGCCTGCTCAAGAGACCCCTATACTCGCAGGAGTAAAGCAATGAACTGACATCTATCAGAAGGAGGTGGATAGTAACCATCAAAATAGAAGAAATAGGCCTTTATTGACGAGGCACAAAGTAAACTCGAGAACATCGAGAATAAAGTCATTTTGCATTGGATGATATAATAGGTCAATGCAAGAAAGTATACTCGAGAACAAGTCTAGTTCTCATTGATGTATAAAACATGTGTGTTTAGGTTTGGGGGATAGTCTTCCCCTTGTTCATGAACATGGCAATCTAGGCTTTTCTCAATACCGGATGTCGAGTACACAGCTTATGACTTATTTGTAAAGCACTTATATTGGCCGGATGTTAAGTACACAGCTTTTTTGTAGGCGATCCTAAAGAGGATACCTTTGTATAGATGATTCTGAAGAGAATGTCTTTCCAAGGACGATCCTGAAGAGGATATCCACAAGGAAACTGCATACGAGCTCATCGAATTTAGACGGTTGGTCATAACAGTTAAGGGTAGCATAACCTAATGAACATCTGGATGTTGAATACACGGCACATTCAAGAACGGCCCTGAAGAGCATAACAGTTAAGGGTAGCATGGCCTAATGAACATCCAGATGTTGAATACACGACACTTTCGATAACGGTCTTGAAGAGGATATTTGTTTCGAGGACGTTCCTAAAGAGGATTTCCGTTCAAATGACTACTCATGTTTAACTGGGTATATGTGATACGCCAGCTCTCATGAGTACTCGAGTGGGCTACCACTGTGTGCATTAAACTGATAGTCTATATCCCGGGTTTAAAGTATAAACTCCCTAAGGTCAGAGCAAATTTGGTGTCACTATTAC